CTTTGGTTATTCCAAATTCCTGTTCATTGACTCTCAAATCATCAGCTGTCAAAGCACTAAGATTAAGATTTGACTTTTGTCCCTTGTGGCCAGTTGATACTCCTGCTTCTGTTTTTGAATTTTGAAATCTGAATCCCCAGGGTGAGATGGTGGTGGAGGACTCCTTTGTCACAGTGCAATTTAGGGAGGACCAAGAAAGAGGTCATCACTCATCAATGTACTTACTGCATGGAAAGAGAGCAAAGCAACAGCAAAAGGCTGCGTGGATGGAGTGTTCTGTTCAACCTTCAACGGTGCGCTCCCTTTCTTTATTCAAAAAAAAAGAAGAAGAAAAAAACAAATCCCCATTTGTTTATCGCCACATCTAGTGGAGGGAAACGGGCACGTTTGAATCGTCGATCCATCCCAGCCGTCCATCCGCTCAGCGACGGCGGGGAAACGCCCTCGCGTGGAGGAGCGTGCTGGGCCCCACCTCGTCTGGGTGAGAGGGCAGAAGGGTGAGAGGATTACCGGGGAGGTGAGCGGAAGGGGCTTCGTCTGGATTTGAATCTTCTTTTTTTTTTTGAACTGATTGGGGGAGGACTAGGAGAGTGTGATTTGGGATCTCGGGGTGTGCATTCGTTCAAATTTCAAAAAGTTCAAAAAGAACGTTGAGGGCGAGGCAGACAGACAACGTGGGGGGCCCACCTGCCTGCCGCCGTGGCCGCGATGCCGTTTGTTCAGTGACCGTTTGTTCATGCGTGCGTAGTGAACTGGTGAACGGGGTGTGGAAAAATCGCATAGTATGTTTGTGTTTGCACTTGCACATCTTTTTTTTATCTTTGGATTTTGTAGGAAATGATTTGATAGCTTCTCTAAAAATAGAAGGCAAATCCTATGTTGTAAATGAGACTAAATGCTAAAAAGGATACGTGTGTGATTCTATTCTCTTGATTTAGGGTAATACCTTTTCGGGGAGAATTGAATTGTTCGTAGGAATAGAACGGTAGTACTATTTTTTTTCCATGAAAAGAAATGCAAGTGCTTTGTGTATTGAAGATCCTTGGAGTACAACCTTGGAATTTGGTGAGAACGAAACACTATTGTTCTTAGGCTTCGTTCGTTCCTGGGCGATTTGGGGGATTGAGAGAGAAAAGCATCTCGTTTTCCGCGCGCACGCTTCCCAAACTACTAAACGGTGTGTTTTTTGCAAAAATTTTCTATAGAAAAGTTGCTTTAAAAAATTATATTAATCCATTTTTGAAGTTTAAAATAGTTAATACTCAATTAATCATGCGCTAATGGCTCACCTCGTTTTGCGTATCTTCCCAATCCCCTCTCCCTCAAACACAGCCTTAGAGCATCACTAAGAGCAGGTACAATAGCAGACTATAAGTCAGTTATAAACATATTTTAAGGAGATAAATAAGGAGAGAGAAGAGTAGTGGGCTACAGATTTGTAGCCAGCTGTAACACGGACTCCAAGACGCTGTGTGTATGACAGGTGTAACCAGGTGTTAAGGGCACCCACAATGGTTATCTATAAGCTCTCTACAAGAGATCCATGTCAGCATATTTTCCTACTTGGAAGAGATTAAATGCAGAGAGAGAGCAAAGCTATCTACTAACATGGAGATAGTCTATAGAGAAAAACGAGGCAATGGATTAGAGAGCTATAGATACTCATGTAGACATACCATTGAAGTGGTTTACTATTAATCTAGTCTATTGTTGAGGTGTACATGTTTTATAGATAACACCTTACTTTACCATTGCGGGTGCTCTAATAGTGTAGTATGTAACTATTGTATAAGTGAGCTATTAGATTGGCTATAGATGAATTGGAGTTAGTAGTTGGCTATACTATTAAACTTGCTATAAGGTTGTGTTCTTATCTCCAAGTTCCCAACCCCTCTCTCTCGTTTTTCGCGCGCACGCTTTTCAAACTGCTAAACGGTGTATTTTTTTACAAAATGTTTCTATATGAAAGTTGCTTAAAAAAATCAAATTAATCTTTTTTTAAAAAAATAGCTAATACGGTACTTTAATTAATTATGCAACAACGCGTGCTTTGTTTTGTGTGCCAGGGAGAAGGGGTTTCTAACCCCTCCTCCCGAACGCAGCCTAAGAGAATGGCTAAATCTTACCCCCAATATCTGTTTATGGGAATCCTAAACAAAATTTAAGGTGTGAAAATGGTTCTCTTTCCATTAGATTGGGTAAAATCAACTCCCTAGAACAAAAGGGTGGATCCCATACAAAACTACTAACAGAAATTAGTTTATTCCTCCTCCTTCAGGTCCTGTGTGGTTTGTCCCTGTACGTCGCACCCCTGTATTGCAATTGGCACTAGTGTGCTAGCAACACCGGCGCTAGTAAGGCCATTCACAGTGCGGTGACTTGGCGTTTGGACTCGCCTCACCAGCTCGGAGATTCTGAGCTAGCTTGGCGTGGGTCGTGCCTGAAAGAAGAACGCGAAGCCTCATTTGGATGCGCGAACCTCGTCAGAAATTGTCAGGTGGTCCCAATGAGCCGGTCCCCTCCTGATCTTCAACCGTTGCCACCGTCGAGCTTCCTCGCCACAGTTATCGAGCTTTAGCCAAATCCAACGAGGTAGTGGAAGTGGGTAAACGGAGGTCCCACTGTCGTTGTCGTTGCCGTCGTCGAGCCACTGCCGTCGCCACCTCCCGAGGCCAGATCCGGCGAGCCCCATGCTGGATCTGGTGAGCTCGGTGGCGCGTGGTGATCGCCGCCATCATCGAGCTACCGTCGCCACCATCATCGAGCTTCCTTCGCCGCCGCCTCCCGGGGCTTGGTATGGGTGGTCTAGACCTCCTCTCTCTCTCTCTCCTCCTCCTCCTCCTCCTCCTCCTTTGCAGGCTTTTCAGTTGATGGACTTGGTTCTTTACTAGGATCCGAGCAACCTCACAAAACCATGGTCCCCCATCTTCCCTCTCTTCCACCACAACACTTGTCCTACATGGCGCAACGAATCCACGCGACATGATACCGCACTGTGAATGACCTAACAAAGTTTGAGAAAGCTAGGCCCTGCTAGCGTGGCAGTGAGATACTTGTCCTTATTGGCATGAGGTCATGTCTATATGTGAAGTATTGGCTGATATTTCACTTGTAAGGAAAAATGGACTCTTTGCACAAGGTTAGTGCGGAAAGCCTAATGCGCGAACGCTCTCAACATGGGCATCTCGCGAATGCTTTCCAATAGCATAACGACAAATGCCGGGTTAGGGTTAGGATTTCATGGGTAGGGTGGGAGGGGGAGGTTGGCACTTGGGAGGGGAAAGTGGAGGATCGGGTTTAGAGGGATGGCCTAGGAGGCAATAGACAGGCGGTGGGTGGTGGACAAGGACGGGTGGCAAGGCATCTGAGAGGCCGGCAGCGGGTGGTGGGCTGGTGTTGGTGTGGAGCAAAGTGAGGCGAATGGGAAGGGAAGGAGCCCGGCTAGGCGGGCCTCATTGGCATGGTGATGCCCTTTGGCGTCGGCGAGGTCGGCGGCGACACGGTGGGGGGTGCTGGTGGAGAAAAGAAGTGAGCCCTTCGTCACCTGAGAGAGGTAGCTCGTTTGCATCTCCTCTTCTTCGTTAGTGGAAGCTCACTAGGGTAGAAGGGGGCTCACCGAAGAGAGGTGCAGTGAGCTCATCGGAGGAAGGACGTGCTCACTCGCTCGCTCTCATGTCTTCACGTGCATGGTGGGTGAAGGCGTGGAGCCATGGGGATCGAATGATCGAGAAAAAGGTAATGTAGAGAGAGGAGGAGGCGGATTGTTGGGCTATTGGAGTGCTTGCACCCACTAGGCTCACTTGGGTTAGTGTAGGCAACCAACATGGAATAAGTTCACTTTGACTCCCTTAAAAAGTGACCCAAATCTAATCCATGACTCTAACCCATAAAACTAAATATCTCGACCCCCGAACTATTGAAACCGGTGCAATTTGACTCCCTTGGCGGTTTTGGAGGGCAGTTTTTTTGCTGATGTGGCGCCTACGTGGCGGTATTGACCGGCTCTTCTTTACACTTGGCGTTGACGTGGCGCTTAAGTGGCATTAGAATTAAAAATAATAATTCATTTATCATTCACACAAAGGATGACATGTGGATCCCACATGTCATCCTCTCTCCTACCCTTCTTCCTCCTCCCTCTCTCTCTCCCTTCTTTCATTCTCTCCCCCAGCCTTTCTCTTCACCACTGGAGCGGCAGTGACGGCGGTGGCATCCGGCGGTTGGGAGACGGTGGAAAGGCGGCTGTGGCGCACGACGGTGGGCAAGTGGAGCCGGCGGCGAGCGGAGGAGACGCGGGCGTGGCGGGGAGTGAAGACGGCGGCGGCATTTGGCGGTGGCTGCCATGGATAGGGTGAGGTGGGGGATCTCCTCGACAACGTCCTCCACCGCCACCATGGCGTGCAGGCCGGTCGTGTGCTCCGCCTCCGCCCTCACGCCGTTGCGCCACCGCCTTCTCCCCCTCGTCTGCGTGGCTCGCTGCTCCCCCTCGTCTGCGCGGCTCGCCGGGAACCCCGCCGCCGCGACCACATCACTCTGCCGGCGCTGCGACCACATCGTCCTGCTCCTCGCGGTGAGCTGCGCCCCCCATCTCCTCCCCCGCTTGCCACCCAACTCCCTTGCCGTTGTCGGCCTGCTCCCGCCTGTTGCTGTCCTTTGTCGCTTCCTCTGCCACCACGCACCACAGGCCGAAGGGGAAGACGAAGGGGAGAGACGGAGGAGGAAAAAGGTAGGAGTCAGGGAGGACTAGCATGTGGGCTCCACATGTCAGTGGGCCCACGTTTCTTTTTGTGTGAATGACTAATGGGTCCCACACATATTTTTTAATTCTAATGCCACTTAAGCGCAACGTCAACACCACGTGTAAAGAAGACCCGGTCAATACCGCCACGTAGGCGTCACTTCAGCAAAACCGTCCTCCAAAACCGCCTAGGGAGTCAAATTGGTGATGGATTAGATTTGTGTCACTTCTAAGGGAGTAAAAGTGAACTTATTCCCGACCAACATATTCCATGTTTGTCGATGACAATTCATATGATCGATCGCCTACCAATAGCAAAATGTAGAATTTCTCTTCATATAATGCTACGTCATTGCTATATAAATCAATTTTTTTCACAATAAATAAATAAATCACTTTACCTGGAGTAATGATGATATTTTTCTCCTCCTCATCACGAAGAAATACAATCTGGATCAAAAAATCGTATGGAACCATGACGTATAGCAACGTAACCTGGGCCTTGGGCCGTCGAAGCAAGCCCACCTAACCACACTCCCAGCGCCGCCGCCGGCCGTACGCCGGAGACCGGAGCCTCTCGGGAACACCGCCGCCGCTTGGCCATCTCCCCTGCCGACGACACGACCGCTTCCACCACCGCCTCTCCTCTTCTCTTCTCCACTCTTCTCCTCCCCCCGCCGCCGCCGCCCCACGCGCGCGCGCGTCCTCTTAAATTTAGCCGATGCCTCCTCTCCTCTCCTCCTCTCCATCCACCTATTCTCGCCCCACCCTCTCCTCCTCCTCCTCCTCCTCCGCACCCACATCCAGGCCGTCCCGCCGCGGCTGGATGAGGGCTCATCGATCCCTTGCCGGCCGCCGCGACCGCGGTGCGTCCATGGAGCTTGCGCGCCTTGGCCTCTCTTCTGTCACCGCGATGTCTCGCCGTGGAGCTTGAAGGCCGCCGTTGGTTCGGTCACTGCTAGGTCCGTAAATTTCGTTCTTTGCTTGTGTGACCATTCTTTGCTCGAATTTGTTGTGATTGGTGGGAGATTCTTCTGCGGATGATGAATTCTCTTTTTTTTTCTTCTCTCCCATGCATTGGGGAGGTAGGGAATTGGGTATCGATCGGTTAGGTTCAGTTCTTCAGTTTGATTGGTTTATATTACCTCAGTTTTTTAATAGATTACGCCGTTGACTTTTTCTCACATGTTTGACCATTCGTCTTTTTCAAAAATTTTATGTAAATGTATAAGATATAAATCACACTTAAAGTACCATGAGTGATAAAACAACTCATAACAAAATAAATTATAATTACGTAAATTTTTTGAATAAGACGAATGGTCAAACATGTGAGAAAAAGTCAACGACGTCATCTATTAAAAAACGGAAGGAGTATTTAATATGTTCGTTTGTATCTGTTTAGTTAGAATTTACAATTTTGGGCATCGTGATCATGTCGACGTGCTGGTTTGACCTTTGGTAGGAAATGGCACACATGTTGTTTTGTTCAAAGAAACTCAAAACGGATCAAGTATAGATGTGCCTTTTGTTGTTCTAGCTGATTCTTTTTTTTTCAATTATAAAGCTTCAAAAGTATATTTTGTGATGCGTTCAAGACATTTGCACGACCTATATTATATATACCTGCATGTTGTATTATATTCTAAACACATAGTATGCCCTGTTTGGCTCGATATTGAAAAACTATCATGATGGACAGTATGCTATAGGAGACATGGGGAAATGTAAAAAGAAAAAAAAGAATTAAAAAAAAGGTGAACGCATATGATCTGATGATCCGTATATATGCATTTGTCGGACCTGCATTTACCGTTCTTGGAGATGCTCTTGTTCATTGGCCTTGTCTGTTTGAGTTCCATATAAATGTATCTGGAACAAATTCTGTTGTCTCACATTCTGCTTGATTTTGAAATCCATTGAATTCTGCTTCTGGCTGATACTTATGAGGTCAGGCAGTAAATGATCAATAAACCATTATCATCACTGATTTGTTACTATCCTAATCTGTGCATTTTGTGCAAGTTTCAGATGAACTCCATGTCATACAACAAGCTGTCCATAACGAATGACAGAATGGATTTCAATACCCGTGGAAATGCAGTCCCCAATGGCAAATTAGATCGGAATCAGTCAGGTGTTTCAGCCAATCGATCCTCAGCCTCCAAACCAACAGCACGCTCCAAGAAGAAACCGGATCAAGCTGACAAAACAACCCCAAATCCAGCGCAGAATTCAGCATCATCAGCAACAAGATCCGAAGCAGCGACCGTCACGACGACCACGAAATCGCCGGCGATCAGCGTGGACAGAAGCAGCATCGCGAGAAGCAACAGCCTGGACAGCTTCAGCTACGGCCAGGCGAAGCGGCACACCGGCGGCGACAGCCGGTGGGACGCCGTCCGGTCGGCCAGCTCCGTGGACTGCCCCCTCGGCCTCGTCCACTTCAGGCTCCTCAAGCGGCTCGGCTACGGCGACATCGGCAGCGTCTACCTCGTGGAGCTCAGGGACACCGACGCCTTCTTCGCGATGAAGGTGATGGACAAGGAGTCGCTCATCAGCAGGAACAAGCTGGTCAGGGCACAGACCGAGAGGGAGATCCTCGGCCTCCTTGATCATCCGTTCCTCCCTACGTTGTACACGCACTTCGAGACCGACAAGTTCTACTGCCTCGTCATGGAGTATTGCTCCGGCGGCAACCTCCATTCGCTCCGGCAGAGGCAGCTCAACAAGCATTTCAACGAGCAAGCTGCAAGGTTGGTTTTGGTCACATTTTCAAGATCACTCCAGCATATATCCTCTTTGCCTCAACATACTACATACAATGCTTGCACATTGACATGGATATATGTCATTGAGTAAATTTGCACTTTACACCAGGTAAAACGTACTACTTTGTTTTCCCTTTACAAGAGGTTTAGCACATGTTTTAGCTTTACACCAGGGATTATTGAAGTATTCCCTCCGTTTCATAATGTAAGTCATTCTAGCATTACCAACATTCATATAGATGTTAATGAATCTAGACACACATCTATATCTAAATTTATTAACATCTATATATATGTGGGCAATGCTAGAATGACTTATATTATGAAACGGAGGAAGTAAGTTTCACTTAACACTAGGACACATATTATCTAAAAACACTAGGACACATCCTTAAACCTATATAAATTTGAAGAAATTTTATAAAAGTCTGAATGGAATTTTCTGAAGCATGGTCTAAATTGAAGAAGCCTCAAAAGTTCCACTCATATTTCACAAGGTTTCACAACGATGTACGATGCAACCTAGTACAAACTGCAGAGTATTTCAAAACACCCTGGTATAAAGTGAAAATGCATGCTAAACTCGGTGTAAATTGCCTTTAAATCATTTGCTCACCATGATTCTGAAAATCTCTGAATGTTTTTTTTCATCAGGTTCTACGCATCCGAGGTGTTGCTTGCGCTGGAGTACCTGCACATGCTAGGCATTGTGTACAGGGACCTCAAGCCCGAGAACGTCCTTGTCCGGGACGACGGCCACATCATGCTCTCCGACTTCGACCTGTCGCTGCGGTGCTCCGTGTGCCCGATGCTGGTGAAGTCGTCGTCGGTGCACGCGGGCGCCAACGGCGTCGTGAAGGGCCTCGCCGCCGGTGGCGGCGGCGACGGCGAGGGCGTCGGCGTCGGCTGCATGCAGCCGTCGGCGTTCTTGCCGCGGATCCTCCCAAAGAGGAGCCGCAAGACGTCCAAGTCGGACCTCGGGCTCCTCCACGGCTCGCCGCTGGAGTTCAACGCGGAGCCGACGGACGCGCGGTCCATGTCGTTCGTGGGCACGCACGAGTACCTGGCGCCGGAGATCATCCGCGGCGAGGGGCACGGCAGCGCCGTCGACTGGTGGACGTTCGGGGTGTTCCTCTACGAGCTCCTCCACGGCATGACGCCATTCAAGGGGAGCAGCAACCGCGCCACGCTCTGCAACGTCGTCGAGCAGCCGCTCCGGTTCCCCGACGGCGGCGCGTTCCCGGCGCCGGCGGCGGCGAGCGGCGTCGCGCGGGACCTCATCCGGGGCCTCCTGGTGAAGGACCCCGGCAAGAGGATCGCGTCGAGGAGGGGCGCCACCGAGATCAAGCAGCATCCCTTCTTCGAGGGCGTCAACTGGGCGCTCGTGCGCAGCGCCCACCCGCCATCGGTGCCTGACCCCGTCGACTTCAGCCAGTTCGGCGTGAGGGAGAAGCCGGCGGCGGCGCCGACGAAGGTGGCCAAGCCGGCGGCGAGCGATTCCTCCTCCGGCGACTTCGAGTATTTCTAGCTCCCATCTGTGAGTATTTCTAGGAACTGAAAAATACATTTAGATACAGAAAAAAAATATACAGTCTATTGATTCTTTGTTACTGTTGTATTGCTCCTTAATTACAGTACACCCATACATGATTCTTGGGATCCTGGTATACACATGTACAAACAATGTGATAGCTTGTTGCTAACAATGATTAATGAACTGTAAAATATTCTGTTACACTACTGACAGATGCAGATGTTCATTTCTTTAGCTGATCAAGCTTTGCCTTATATGCAGCTCATTTCTTGGCTGATCAAACCTGCGTCATGCAGATATTCATTTCTTACTAGCTTACCTGAACAAAATTGCCTAATGCAGATGTTCCTCTGTTGTTATAGGCTATAGTTTAGCTGATGAAACTTGCTTCGCGAGGGACACACTATTCTTTGCAGAATTGCAGTCTTTGAAAAAAAAAATGATCTACGCGAACCTTCGAGTTTCAGCAGTTCAAACTTGCTCCTAAAGGGTTTACAAATGCAATGGAGGCTAAAAAACCGCACCCCTGATCGGTAATTGTAGTTACCGAAAAAAAATAGTAAAACCCAGAAAAAAATAGCAAAAATTTAAATTTTAGTTTGATTTTAGCTTGATTTGTTGTTCAGGAGGTCTCACAAACCAGACCAGCATCGATATGTCTACTGTGAATATTTCATTTCATATTTGGAACCCTGGCTAAACCTCCGCATAAACCAAATTTGCGGTACTTTACAATTTCGAGCATAAATAATGTCTGGAGTTGAAAGACGTCATCAAAATGGACGTCTTCAAAACCAAAGATAGAACACGCTCTGCTCTGTCTGTTACCACGTAAATATAGGCATATATAAACTAGTGCAACAGGTTCTATTAAAAATTTAAAATGCAGCAGGTTCAAAGCCTAGGCTGGCAGAATTGGACCACGTTTCGATCATCCAATTGGTGTATCACCAGAAACAGCTACTAAACAAAATGGCTAGCACTGAACTCAACCCGAATTCTTGCATAATTAATCCGAACGATCTTGCCTCCAAACAAAAAACCTACACAGTATGTGTAACGAGTGCTATGATCTATACACCATTTTCACTTTTGAGTTAGGCAGGTGAACTGCAATGGTCAAATGCTCTGACGATTCTAGCTGCTGGTACACTCAACGATCTCATCTGCGGCAGCCGGCGAGTCTCTTGTCAGTTTCAGGAAGTGTGTGCGGTTCGCGGCCAAGTCCTTCCTGAGCAGTTCAGAGTACTTCTCCAGTGACTTCTTGAAATCTGCAAACGATCTGTTGTTGTCGCGGGGATGCTTGGTGCCCTTCGCAGAGGATGATCCAACGACTGCGCCAGATATGTATGCGTCGCACGCATCCAGGATGACGCGCTCACGCTCATGGAAGTGGCGTGCAACAAGGGACTCAAAATGCTGCAGTGAATGAAAGGTGTGTGTGAGAGCGAATCGATCTGCAAGAGGTATATGGAACTGAATTGTGTTTATAGGACTTCATAGGTACATATGGTGATGAACTGATGATGTTTCAAAATCAAATGTTCTTGCGCTGATGCGCTCACTTATTCAGCTGTTTATTTGCAATAACATACTGTCAAAACTCCAAAACACATTATCACAATGCGTGTCTTTGTTAGTTAAATGTGCCCACAGATAAATTTTTAAGTTGGCAATTTCATGACGCAACACAACACAATTCTCAAGCCGGAAAATCGCTCTCCTGGCAACTGAATGCCTGCTAAAGAGTTTCACGGAGTGACAAGTACGGTTGGTACAGCATGACTAATGTTATAGTAGTTCCTAACTGTATATCAGTATTTAAAAGCATATAGGCACAGAGAGCAGTTCACTTTATCTGGATGACTGTAGAAGCACTGATATAACCCTGACAGCTGAAATTCTTCTATTACTATCTTTTCCAGCACAGAGACTTGTGAAATTACCACTTTTAACTTGACGAGAGATGGGGGTTCTGTAGTTACCTTTGGAGGCTTCCGAAGTGAATACATCATTGTCCTGCAGGATAGTAGGAAGGCAGTCTGATTATAAGCCAACGAGTACTTTTCTCCAGGAGCTGTATTAGCCGAATTTTTGTTGCCTGGCTCATTAAAGTATGGTTTATCATTCAACACAAGACCCTGGATGGAAACCAGCACCTGCAGTATGGTTGATTTTGACTTGCCCCACTTCTCGCATCCAGTACCCCACCAGGTGTTCAGCAGGCTAAGGCAAACTTTCCCACTCTCATACAAGTTTGGATTTAGCCGAAGCCCACCCGAATGGTAATGAACTTTCTGTACATGTTGGATATGATTTTAAAGAGATTATATTAATGATGGTAGTAACATGAAAATAATGGTGCAAAGCGTGTGTGAACTGTGAAGTGGTTACATACCGGTGGAGATTGTGGGTATTCAGAAGGAAAGCGAACATCAAAGAAGAACAGACCATCATGATATGGAGTTCCAGCTGGCCCAACAATAGCAGCCCTCAGCAGATCAATCCTATCCTCATAAGCTCTAACATAGATAGATTCTGCATGATTGAAACCATGCTGAGATGCAAGTTGCTAGTACTGAAGACATCATATAATTTCAGGCACAGCTCCTCTAAACGAAAGATTTAAGGCACAAAAGTAAATTGTATGTAATGATACTTGTGATACCCTTCGGTGACATGATTTGATATATGTAGAGATTAATTTCTATTTGTCCCATTCCCCAAACTTAAAAAAGATTAATTTCTGAATACATGTTATATGCTGCTATCACAAGATTACATGGAAAAGGGTGACAAATGCAGACCATAACTAAAAGATATGTGGCACACAACAGAAACTAATAGATATGGCACCAATAAAGTATTTTATACATCAAACCTAGACAATGTCATTAGCTAGTTTGGGACTCAGCACCAGTCATGCCAAGACTACAAACCACACAAGCAAATTGGTATAGCCCATACAGGGCATCCAACTATCTTTAAGTCTAGAAATATCTCAAACGTATTCTGTTGGCATGTGATCAGATACAATTGGCATAAAACAGCAGGTCTATTATAAGAAAGGACCATTATATGTATTCACCATCTAGGCACTGGCGGTTTGATAAAAATGCATACATTGATTTGCCATATAAAAGCATGTACTGACCAGGTAGATCTTTCTGTAGAAGCTTCCATTCATTTTGGATTGTCTTCACCCAATCTTTGGAGGTCTGGTCAGTGGTCACAAGTAAAGACAGGAAATTAATTCACAGTTGGATCTAGTGATAGAAATAGAGTTCATAAAGCGGCACAGCTTACCTTCCCTGGTGAATTCTTTGCATAGTAATGATCAGAAAAATCTTGCACAACATCAAATTGGTTAAACAAATTGTAGCCATCACTTTCAGATCCATATTCTGTCCTTGTCATTGATGATACAACACTTGAACATTCAGGCTCATGTTTTTGCACTAATAGCACAGTACCATTCCCACTTGAAAAGGGATCCAAAAGGCTGTTGTTTGTACTGACATTTGCAGTGGGGTGTGGAGCGGCAACTGAAAGTCAGTAGAGTAACTAATTTCAAACCACGATGTTATAAAAAAAAAGCACATCAATCTTAAAGACAGAGATACAGAATGGGATATGGAAGCTCGCTTAACTGCAAAAATAAAGAGGTGTACTTGGCATCAGTACTAACTACTGGCAGAAAAACAGAGTGATGAACATTTAGATAATGTGTAGTTCTGTTAAAGTAACAAATATCCCCCTTTTGGGGAACGGGAGGGGAGGACCCTAAATTTTCATTGATTTTATTCTTTAAAAAACAGGTTCAGCAACATGAAGCATGAGAATTACTAAAACAAATAAGGAGGAACAAGTTGCATGAAAAGATACCTTTACAAAGAGGATTAATGGCTTTGCCTGCATGAAAAATATTCTTTTATTAGAAAACGCCAGGCAGAAGAGCAAAACACTTGATTTTATCTTTCTGAAACAAAATGAGTAGAACTCCGTGCTTCAGAGGGAGATGGGTATACAGGCTAATGAAATATTAAGTTTGTTTTTTCTTTATACAGTTTAACAAACTTCAAAACAGTGTTGACAACCAAGACTCATGGATTCATAACACCAGACTATCCACTAGTTCACTCTCCAGTGGATGTATCCAACCACACTAATAGCACTCTGAATTTGTCAAGATTAAGTTTATACTTTACACATCACATTTTGGTATACTTTGAAGCATCTGGTATAGCAATCCAGACCAATGTACAGCACCCACAATTATCCAACAATTTTAATCCATTATGACCACCTCATTTGATCTGCAGTATCCTTTCACCGGAAAACACATTAATATTTTCACTTTTTTTTAAAAAAAATGCAGAATTCATGGAAGAAAGAGTACACAAGACAACTAATAATATGCCATCAAAAGAGGAAAGCATCCTTGGATCAATCAAACAAACAGAAGCAGCTGATGTAAACATGATGTTAAATAGGGGCAGTAGTGCAGCTGTACAGCACCTTTCTTCTTGGAATCCTTCTTCTTCACACAAAACAGCTCGAGCACCTTGTTTAGAACCATCCTTAAAACCCGCTTCACGCGAAACGCACCTGAAAAACATGAGACGCCATCGTCAGAATTAGATAGCCAGAAAACAGAAATATAGGCGTCGTCCACCATCTCCAAAATAAATCATCTTCTCACCAAGCGTAACCGAAAAGGGAAAAAAAACACAATCTTTTGGAGAATCCCAACTCCCCCAAGCAACTAGTATTTTCTCCCTTATATTTACTTCTATTTACACAACACTTCATGAGTGAACTTTTGGGTTGGAACTCTTGTTCATCTGCCTCACCTGTCGGCGTCTAACTCCACACTCCAATTCCAATCAGTGACATACACGAAGGCTTGTCCAATACGATCGGGACACCATTACCCCCAAGAACAGACAACAACAACAACAACAACAACAACAACAACAACAACAACAAAAAATAAAAAAAAAAGAAAGAAAGAGAAAAGGAGAAGAGAGAAGGCATTGAAAGCAAGAAGCCAAGAAACGGCAACTACAGCAACAGAACAAATCCGAAAAAAAATAAAAATAAAAAAGGAATAAACTTGGACCATCGCCATCTATGAACAGGAGTATCAACCATCCATCCACCACCCCCAATTCCACAGAGAAAAAAACGAGAGATCGCGCGAAGGTGGTGATAATCCCCGATCAGCAGCCACAAAAAAAAAAGAAAACGAAAAAAGAACCCTTTCCCCGCAAGAACGATGGCTGCTGGCTGCATCGATCAAGAAGAAGAAGAAGAAGAAAACCTCGGGTTTGTCTGAGGTGGTGGTCGCGCTCTGCAGTTGAGAGGGGCCGGAGGAGGAGGGTTTTAGTTGCAGTCGGTGGAGACGAGACTGCAGGAGGCAGGAGGAGAAGCGGAGACGGACACAGGGACACTTGCTGCTGCTGCTGCTGCTGCGTTGCCTCTACCACTTCGGCGAGAGAGAGAGGCGCAATGGCCGCGAGGAGGGGGTGGACCGCACCCTTGCGTGCCCCGCGAGGAAAAGAACCAAGCAAAAGTGTAGTACTACTCCTACTAGTATCTCTCCGCCGCTGCGTCGCACGGACGTCGTCTCGTCGTGTACGTGTACCGGAGTGTGGCCCCAGCCGTATCGGCACGCGACGTCTCGTTCGGCAGAAAAGGAAGTCTGGCGCTTTCCCCCAATCAGACGACCGCTACGGCCACGCCACGGCCTCACCGGTGTTTCCCTTGCATGAAATCAAAATTTATTTCCGTTTTTAATTTTTCATCCAAGTTTATTTCTTATCATTAGTTTCTAAATTGCTAAAAATATATACATAAAAATTTATTTATAAATTATTAAAATAAAACTAATTTGATATTTTAGATGTTGCTAAATTTTAATATAAACTTGATCAGATTTAATAAAATTTGACTAGAAAAAAATTAAAGAATTTATAATATACAATAGAGGAAGTAGACCCTATCTCTATGGAAATCTTAGTACGGAGTACTCCCTCCGTTTCAAAATATTTGACACCATTGATTTTTTAATACATGTTTGACCATTCGTCTTATTCAAAATATTTATTCAAAATATTTAAGTAATTATTTATTCTTTTCATATAATTTGATTCATTGTTAAATATACTTTCATGTACACATATAGTTTAACATATTTCACAAATTTTTTTAATAAGACGAACAGTCAAACATGTGCTAAGAAATTAACGGTGTCAAATATTTTAAAACGGAGGGAGTATATTAGTAGCCATACGGTATATTACGGGAAAAAGATAGGCCCTACGTGTCCACGTATAGGGATAATTCTATGGGCGATCTCGCGACGTTCTGGGCGTGATGCGTAGTAGTAGTAACCAAAACAAGCCTTTTGCTGCTAATGTAATCCATCCCTATAAAAAAAGATTATAGAGTACGGAGTACTTTTTTTTACATGGCGAGATGCGACAAAGATTTACCTTCTCTTTTTTTGGGTTTGTTTTTCTACTGATGGAAACCGACAGAAATTTCAGCTGGGATTCTGGCAAAAGGCCCAGATATGATCCGGTGAACACAAACGGTTCTGGCTGGGCTACCTGTCCTTCTGGCGCAGTTGAATTTAGGCCTGTTTGAATGAGCCTCAATCCAGGCCCATAAGCATGAGGGTAAGTGCTATGATAGATATGACTATTGTCTCCAAATTTATCTATTTTATTCACTCATAAAGCAAGAGGCAACCCATACAATGTATCACCTCTAGTTTACAAATACCAATATATCTAATACTCTCACATCCTTTTTGAAATTTGTGTGGAGGTTGCCTCTTAATTTAGGGGTGGCTCATCATCTCTCTCTTCACTTTTCTCCTCCACCTCATCACTTAATCCAATGTGGCACTTGTAGGAGCAACATATAAAGCATTATAGTACTTGCCCTGATGTGCTGGTGTTTGAGTCACGTGGAGGAATATGTTTCATTCGGACTTGGAGTACTGTGTTCCAAAGCCTCTGTGATTTTAATTGGAAAATCCATAAGTAAATTTTCGTCTCTAATGGTATCTAATCTTTTAGGGTATGTTTGGATAATGGGAAATGAGGAGTGGGATTGGGAGTGAAAAATGAATGAATGGTTATAATTAAATGGAAGAGGGAGAATAAATGGTTAGGATTTAAAGATGTCTTTTGGTGGGTGAAAAATCATTTCCCTAACACATTAGGCAAACAAGGCATTAGGCTTAAGTTGTTAGCCTTTTGGATTATATAATTTATAAACAAAAGTCTTAATAAGTTCAATGGTGGAGTCGTATCTCTATCTCACTAATAGTAATAGTGGGAATCTAGTTCAAATCCTACAAAATAAAAAGATCGAGAAAACATGATTTTTTTTTTCATAACTCCCTGTACTCCCTGTCTCCATCACATCCATTTCAAAACGGTGCTTCCCAAGTTTGCAGTACAGCTAACGGGTCCTTTTAGATCAGTAATACTTTTTGAAAAGTTCCTCAAACAGAAGGCATTTTATAAAGAATATTTTCATGCGTGCTAATATTAAGATATACTAACCCAAAGACATTTTTTTCCTGATCACTTGAATAAATACAGTGGTATTAGATATTTTAAGGGTCTTTTGATTTGTAGGAGAACCATAGGAATTTTGGAGGATTTTATCTTATAGAAAAAGATTCATATGGAGACATTTGAAATAAATGATTAAATCATATCCTATCCTTTGATATTCCTATGGAATTAACCATCCTATAAAGATTTCGGAGAAAATTTAGTAAGAGTTTCAACCTATTGGAAAACTTTCTTTGAGTCTATGGCTGTGTTTAGTTCACGCCAAAATTGGAAGTTTAGTTGAAATTGGAATGATGTGACGGAAAAGTTGGAAGTTTATGTGAGTAGGAAAGTTTGATGTGATGGAAAAAGTTGAAAGTTTAAAGAAAAAATTGGGATCTAAACACGGTGTATATCTCTCATCCTATTCATGTGCTTTTTCCTGCAGTCCAATCAAATGGTAATTGCAGTGTTTTTCCTATTCCTCTATTCTTTTCATTCATACGATTCAAAGGAGCCCTAAGACTCTGTTTAAGAAGAGAGGAATTGAGAAAATTGAGAAGATACACAAAACGAGATAAGCTATTAGTGCGTAACTAATTAAGTATTAATTTTTTAAACTTGAAAATGGATTAATATAATGATTTTTAAATAAATTTTTTATAAAAAGTTTATTCAAATAACGTAATGTATTACAAACTAAAGAACTCGGAGCCTAAGTACACCACGGGTTCTTTGTCAGAAACCGTCGGAGATTCGTGAGATGGGGCGAAGAACAGCCCACACAGCGCATTGCGAGAGGCATAGCCCCGTGCTTCCAGCCAGCAACCAGGGAGGAGGGCCGCCAGACGGGGGAGGAGGTGAGGGCCGAAGAAAGGAGGAAAAAGCCTCGCTGTTCGATGTCCACTCGCCGCCGAGGCCACTCCACCATGTCGCCGGCCATCGACCTCAGGGTCGATTTCCCCTTGTAGCATCCGGCCACCGGCCAGATCCGCGCCATCGGAGAGGAGCTCGAGGTCGTCTACCACCAGATCCATACCAGCGAGCTCCGCATCACCCTAGGCTTGATTGGTATAGTTGGCTACGGCTGCAACTGTGCTGCATCTACAGTATCAATAACATATTTTTGAATTGGAGCTGTTGCAGTGCTGCGGCTGTGCAGCAGCAGCAAAGCTGAATCGAAACAAAAAAAATTAAGAACTGAAACAAAAAATTTTAGTGGCTAAAATATTACATATAGCCACTTGCACTATCAAGAATTCAGATTTTGGATCATCCATAACCCTAGCCTACGTGACACCCCCAGACTTGTCAAATATGTGTGACGCACGTGAATACCTTGTCTTCTTTCTGCGTGTACTCCCTCCGTCCTAAAAACACCCAACCTACCACTTAGATGTGACATAATTTAGTACTCCCTCCATCCCTTTTAAGTGTAACCATGAATTTTCGTGTCTAATTTTGATCGTCCGTCTTATTTGAAAACTTTTTATAATTAGTATTTTTATTGTTATGAGATGATAAAACGTAAATAGTACTTTATGTGTGACTTATATTTCTAAAATTTTTTAAATAAGACGGACGATCAAAGTTGAACACGGAAAATCATGGCTACGCTTAAAATAGGACGGAGGGAATACAACGAATCTGGATAGAGCCTGCCCAGATTCGTTGTACTAGATTATGTCCAGGTTGAGTTTTTTTGGACGGAGGAAGTACGTCTACCCATATTCGTTGTACTAGATTATGTCCCATCTAAATAATTGGTTGAGTTTTTTTTTGGACGGAGGAAGTACAGGGGATATAAAAACAGATTTAGCGAAAATAAAAGTAGGCCCCGTTTAGATCCCACCTCAAAATTTTACACCCTGTCACATCGAATACTTGAACACCTGCATGAATTATTAAATATAGGGTGTGTTTAGTTTTTTGGGTGTAATGTTTTTGAAGTGTACGAACGCACATTTAAAGTATTAAACGTAGACTAACTAGATGATACCCCGCGCATTGCTACGGGATTGCAAAGGATTCATTGAGAAAAATATAAAGATAAATCATATTTGTACCTTTAAGAACTATATCAGTTAGATATCATATATAGCATACATCAGTATATATTGCATTCGTGTGATGCATAATACTGAAAATATGGACAAAGTTAAATGCGACCCATAAACCATCCAATTTAACTGGAGAACATAATTTAAATCATATCGAAAAAGAGTGAAATTGTACAGATATAGAGAATTAGGAAATAAAAATATTAGTTGCGTGAGCATCACTTGATTGAACCTTCTATAAGAGGACATCTATTTTGAGACATGGGAGCAACAAATAAAACATTAGCAGAGACAAAAGACAAAAAAAATAAATCAATAGACTAACAGAAACCACATGCTTGTTTTGTTGCTATGCAAAACGAATGCAACGTGCAACAGTTCTGCTCGTCACGGTACTATTAAAATCTAAACTATGACGTGCTTTTTAGTGGTGCACAGTATAGCATGAAAGGCATACTGAATTAAAAAAAAAGTGAATAGAATTTTAGGCTTACAACACAATTTGCGCAGTATAGCATGAAAGGCATACTGAATTAAATAAAAAGTAAATACAATCTTTAGGCTTACAACACAATCAATTAGGAATATTTGCAAGAAACTATATGATCAATAACAAATATTCTGTGATTGACCGCACCTAAGTTAGCTGCTAGAATTGTTCAAGTGTTTATTCACCAGCAAGAAGCAAGTTGCCATATCAATATTTTAATTATTGATTCCTCTTTCCCTTGCATATTCTAGTAAATAGTAATAGGAAAATAAAATATAACATTAGATAAAATATAACTCTGCATCGGAGTATAACAAATTAGACAGTAGCAACTACACGAATTATTGTGGTGTGAATACAAAGGAAATACCAATATAAATTGCCAAATGTTGGTAGTATGTGCAGTGCGCAAGACAATTAACTAAAGGATTTTTTTATAAGAATTGTATTGAGTAATAAATCTGACACTCGGGTAAAACTGAACTATTAATTCTTTGTTAAAAAAAAGAAATATACTGAACCAACCATCCATCTGTTTCATTGTAACGACATTTTTGTTGGTGATATATACATATACATAAAACTGCAAACTCAATCAGGCCACCATTGACCGTTGGTGACCTTCTATAATCAAAGGTCATGGCCACATGAGACAAAGTGACTCAAAGATGATAGTGTGAAGGTATAAGTAAAATTTAACTATTTCAATACGATTAAGAAACCAACATAAAAATGAACAAATTTGAGGTGATAATTACCAGCTCTTACGAATTATGAAAAAACACCAGTCCACCTTGAATTCGCTCTTAACATGAAAAAGCCACCATTTGATGACAACAACAGGGTTGAAGGATATAGAAAGATCCATCCTTATAATATGATCATCATTCAGCCATTCCGTTTAACATATGACAGGGACATCTGAAAATATTTCCAACCAACGCCATTCCATAACCGTCAATTACAGGAATTAAAAAACGGATTAGCAGTAAAATACTCACCAGGGAGCCACAGCCTATGGGAGTGAGGAGCTCCCTGGTGTACTGCTGGCCAGGTAAGGGAACCGACGCACGGGGAGGGAGTGAGGGAGGGAGGGAGGGAGTTGAGCGGGTGGAGGGGAAGCAGCGCAGGGGAAGGGGAACCATGCGGCGCCGCATCTACGTGGGGAAGGGGAGCGAACAGCTTGGGGAAGGCAAAAGGTTGGGTTGTTGGGCTGTCAAATGGGCTTTTCGTGTGTAATACTTGGGTGTTCTCACCAGGATAACATATGCATTGATATCATACCATTGAGATTTCATCCAACGGCTGCTATCTTTTTGGATGACGTGGATCAACCACAGTGCAGAGAATTGGTAATAACTGCAGTTAGTGGGGATCACTTGTATAGGTATATAGGATAACAAAACAAATTACAGATTCCGCCTGTAAACTGCGAGACGAATTTACTAAGCCTAATCAATCTGTCATTAGCAAATGTTTACTGTAGCATCACATTGTTAAATCATGGCGTAATTAGGTTTAAAAGATTCGTCTTGCAATTTACATGCAAACTGTGCAATTGGTTTTGTTTCCCACATTTAATGCCTTATGCATGTTATCAGGGTTATGGGTACCACATACCTAATAATAGTTGACTAAGCACGATAGGACCCACCATATACCAAGTCTCATACGGAATCATACCTCGTATATAGAAGGAGTTCTGGATAAGGAAAGCAAATAGAGTTGTATATGGAAACGAAAAGGACTACTCGGATCGTATCCATGCTTATCTCCCTAGTTCTATTTGGACAAGAGGGCATCTATGAGTATAAATACAAGACCCCCTAGGAGGAGAGGGGTTAAGCCACAAGACCAAGATCAACATAGATGAATACAAGCCAACACATGCCAAGACAAACCGCCGAATATCGACATCAAAGATAAGTCTAGACAAACCCAATATTGTGTCTGCGAAAGCCAACAAGAGGGATCTAGCGCTATCTCTGATCTCGCCGAGTGCGGATTTGAGGAGGAAGGCTACCCTGTCGTCGACTACGAGTTGGTTATCCATGCCGCCAAGTCGACGACAGCTAGATAGGTTATCCTAATTATTGTATTGGTGTGATTATGATGAATAAGAGCAATACCGGCTTCGGCCAACAGGATGTAAGGCTATTACCTGTCAGATAAGGGGCCCGAACCTGTATAAAAACCCTTGTCTCCGTCTCTTTTACTTCAATCTCGCATATACCCTGGTACCAACGATCCATATACTATGCAAAATACCGTTGTCGCGGTCTCAAACGTCGACATATGTGTCCAAACATTTGATGTGACGTTTTTGGCCAAAATTTTTTGGATCTAAACAAGACCTAGGCTTAAAAATATAACTAATTATATAGATTACGTGTAAATTGCGAGATAAATCTTTTAAGCTTAATTGCTCCATGATTTGATAATATGGTGCTACAGTAGACATTTGCTAATGACGGATTAATTATGCTTAATAAATTCATCTCATATGCTAATTAGCACACGTTTACTGTATCATCACATAGGCTAATTATAGATTAATCAGGCTCAATAAATTCGTCTCGCAAATTAGTGTAGGGTTATAGAATAAGCTTTATAATTAGTCTATATTTAATACTTCTAATTAGTGTCTAAGACCCTGTTTAGTTCTAATTTTTTTCCCAAAAACATCACATTGAATTTTTAGACTCATACACGGAGTATTAAATATAGATCAATTTAAAAACTAATTGTGCAGTTAGGGAAGAAATCATGAGACAAATTTTTTTAGCCTAATTAGTCCATGATTAGCCGTAAGTGTCACAGTAATCTACATATGCTAATGACGGATTAATTAGTCTCAAAAGATTCGTCTCGCGGTTTCCAGGCAAGTTATGAAATTAGTTTTTTCATTCGTATCCAAAAACTCCTTCCGACTTCCGGTCGTCTGATGTGATACCCAAAAATTTCCTTTTCGCGAACTAAACAGGCCCTAAACATCAAATGTGACATGTAAGATCAAATTTAATCGTTGATCCAAACAGGCACTTGGGGACGGAGGGTGTAGTAAAAATCTCCTGCGATATTGCTGACACCTAGTCAAATCAGTCACCACTTGCGCGGAGCTGAAGAGCCGGCTCGTTCCTCTCCTTCCCGTTCACATTTCAAAACCTCAAAGCCCCCACAAACTTCGGAATCGAGGTGAGCGGGAGTTCGGAGAGATCAACCCGAGGGCCGCCGGCCGATGGCGATAGATCAGCCCATCAAAGCAAGTTCTTTCCTCTCCCTCTCTATCTGTATCTCTCGTTTCTCGATTAAACCCAGTTTTTTTGGGGGTCATTTGCTTCGCTTATTCACTGTTCATCCGGTTGATTAGAGACCGAGGGTTCTTTGATTTGTTCCACTCTCTCTTGAATCATCGATTAATGGCGGCGGATTTGGGGGCTAAAAGTTTTTGTCTTTTGTGTTAGATTTCATCTTCTTAGCTGCTTTTCTTGTTTTGATTCTTCGATCCGAGTGGGAGACTGAAGAGAGTGTTCTGTGTGTGTGAGAGAGAGACGTGTTCTTGAAAATTTCCCCATGCTTTTTTTTTCGGATGACGGAGTGATCTGATATTTCAGCTATGTTATATGGTTATCTGTGATCTTCTTGGAGATTTTGCTTCCTCTTTGATCAATTTGGTTGTACTGCTCGTTCTTGGATACGATTTTTGTTTTCTGTTTAATGACTGAAATATTGGTGTTTACTTCCATGGGTAATCTGAATCTAATTCGCTTGTCCTTTGGTTGGTTGTTCTTGAGCAGAAGAGAGGGAGACCACCAGGTTCCAAGAACACGAAGAACAAGATGGAGCAGAAGATGGAACTAGTCCATCAAAGGCTCGCCTTACTTGACAGCAGCAGTGGCAGCGACAGGGATGACGATATTGGGCCGAGGGTGAGATTCTTGCATTATCATTTCCCATTGATGCGATACATACATTGTTGTTGTTGCAAGGCATTCAAATCAGGACAGGTTCTAACTGGAAAAAATGGGAGAGGCATATACTACAATACCTGGGTGTATGCCCAATCTGGATTCTTAATTTGATAATATTATCTACTTCTACTTAAATGCTACCCTGAATAATTCATGTATCGCAGCACATCTGTATGTTGATATGTCACTTCACAATCTGGATTCTATCCGCTCGTTCTTGCATGTTTATGAAGTGACATATCACATATTAATCTACTCCCTTTGTCCCAAAATATAAGCATTTTTAGCTATGAATATGGACAACTGTGTGTCTAGATTCATAGCCAAAAGCTGTTACATTTTGGGACGGAGGTAGTATCTTATCAAATTTTTTTCATAACTATTTGGATGACATACAAGAAAGAGGGATTAAAAAGAGTTTCCCGTAGGTTCACAAATTTTGTAACTCTGAACAGGTAAGTCATGACAAATTATCAGATGCTGTATTTGCTTAAATGGTCACTTTATGTGTTAACTGTGAATTTTATCCAGGTCTATAAAGTACTATAGATGTTAATATATTTCTCTATAAACTTGATCGAATGAGAGAAGTTTTGACTTAGGACAAAACTAAAAGACCTTGAATTATGGAAAGGAGGGGGTATTTCTAGCTTATGTTTCTTTTTTCTGTTAATGCTCATTAACATCTGGTAGCCCCTATAATAATCAAGGGTTAATTGGATCTATGCCATTATAAGAATCATGTATTTACCATGATATCAAGAATATATGTTCTTTTTGTACTTGCAGAATTATAATCTTGCTTTTGTTGTTGCTCCACAGGCTATAATAATTGATTGTGATGAAGATGATACGGATGACGTGATGGAGGTTGTTCCTTTGAAAGTAAGGGCAGTGCTGCTTTAGTTAGCGGGTGGAATTTTGTCACTCGAGAAGACATCCCCTTGTTTTGTGCATGTTGTTCAAAAAGTCATAAAAAATTGAAAACATAAGATAGATCAATATGTAAAATATCTCTTCACAAACATGCAAGTTCAAATTCGACCTATACAAGTAGAAAAACAAAAACAATAAATTTGATTACAAATAGTGTGTTTTGTTCTATCGTGTCACATATTGATCTATAATGTCAAATCTTCTTAAACTTTTTTATGATGTTTTGGGCGACATGCACAAAACAAGGGGATGTCTCCTCAAGGGACAAATAGACTTTTCCCTTTATATGATTATCTGTTTACAATGGTGTAAGTTTATATGATATAAACTACATGTGCTCTATTTAGAGCATCCCTGTCAATGATGCTACATCATTGATAGCACTCTATGTAGCAACAATATTTTCAATTGCACAAACTCACAATATCTGTCCTCCTTGTTATCTCATAACTTCATTTATTAATTCTCATCTCAAAAACAACTTATTGATTAAGTGTTCTGATTTTTCTTGGATTTCTTACTGTGCAAGATGCTGATGCCAAAGGAGGTGGAAAATGAGCAAAGAACGGTTCCTGGCATTCCTCAAACATGCAATACCCAGAACACTAGCAATGGACGCACTAACACCACTGAAGTAAGATATGTTCACCAACTCTATCTGTATTGTATGAATGCAGTATGAATGTAATTGTAAGAGGACTTTCAGTTTTCATCTATAAAGCTCATAATACCCCTAAAGATTTTTATATCATAAGCCATAGCATTTAGGATTTCGATTGGCTGGCTGAAATCTCCGGTTTTCCAATTCGAAAAAAAAAGATCACATAATGTAATCCTGGAACACATCTCCAATCTTTATTCAGTGGACTTTACCATTTCCTTTCCAATTCCTGTATAATGTATACGAAACCGTTGCACTTTTGAGCTCCATTACTCATAACTGAATGAGTTGTGACTTAACAGGTGCCAGTTAAGGGCCAAAATAAATGTGCAAGGTATTCCAGCTCTCCTTGTTCTTCTTATGAAAAAAACTACTTATGTAGCTCACAAGCTTGTTCAATCACACGCAGTTATCTTCCAAAAAAATCTAGTGTTCAGGCGTTCTGTGGATCTGCTATGAAGAGAGCTCAAGAGATTCAAACGAAGTTACCAGCAGAGCATCCTAGCTTTGTTAAACATATGTTACATTCACATGTTGTCAGCGGATTTTGGCTGGTAAGGGTTGTAGATTACTAACTTTTCTTATGCTTGTCAATTTATGAAGCCTTAGATAATTGTTTCTTATGAACAGGCTGTGGAGAAGCACCTTCTGCAGAAACATACAAATTGCATTTACTATTAGAAGATTTTATTTGTCAAACAAATGCTCTCACTAAAATTAGAAAGTAAAAGTTTAAAGCGTGTTATGGATCTTATTTAAAACTTCCTACTACCCTATTAACATGTTCTAAACTTCTAATCTTTTTCATTAAATTTTGTTTTAGGAAGAGAAGTCTCACACATACAAGTTATATCCAACTTATGTACATTTCTTGCATGTTAGCTCTTACTGCTTGAGTTATTGTGTTTATGAAAATGGCTGACACTAGTTCTGCACAAGCCACCTAGAAACTTCTTTTTGGTTTTCTCTGCATCTGATTATTGTTCTCCTCTGCAGGGTCTACCAGCTGGCTTCTGCAACAAGTATCTCCCAAAGCATGACACTGACATTGTGCTCGAAGATGAGAATGGGAACAACCATAACACAAATTACCTGGGTGGTAAGCAGGGACTCAGTGCTGGATGGAGAGGTTTTGCGATTAACCATGATATCAAGGTTGGCGATGTTGTGGTCTTTGAGCTTGTGAGCACAACAAAATTCAAGGCAAGTGTTTCTGAAATGCTTGATAACTTTCTTCCAAATCTACTACTACTACTTGATTGTTCCTTTATAATCTTCATTCATACCCATTTCTTGAGTTCCCTTGTGGGTTCAGTCTTCCCTAATCCAACAATACAATTACCTCTTGTTTCTTCATGCCTTACATTCAGGTGCATATAATTAGAGATAAAAACATCAGCCCAACTGACAGAGCACCCGGTCTCAAGAGTTTTTACGCCTGCAAGAAACGGAAGATATCTAGTGAGTCAAAGTTTATGTTGTTAGTTTTGCACCTTGAAATGTGTTAGACATGGGAATATACACTAACTATTGAATCTCCCGAATCATGTGCTGTGTTCTACATGACAGAAGAAGCTACTGATAATGCCACCAAGCCTAAGGAGGATCCAGAGACTACTAGAGTCAGTAGCAAAGTGGCTCATGATGATACCCAGAATCTAGTTCATGAAGCAATAGACGGCATCAGGTTTTCAGACTCAGAGATGAGCTTTGACGACGTGATGAGCTACAGTAACTTCAACATCGTCGTGGACGGCTTGGTCATTGACTGCAAGTTCCCCGATCACCAGCGCAGGACGTACTATGAGCTGTGCTGCGCCCAGAAGTCGTTCCTCCACAGGCATCTGCTGAGGCAGCTGAGCCTCACGCTCGTCGTGGGGGTGATCATGGAGACGATCAACATCGCTGAGGGCATCAGGGCCTGCGGGGCGGGTACCTCCTCGCAAGAGGACTTCCTGATCTGGAAGAAGACGCTGCAGTCATTCGACCTGCTGGGAATGAATGTTGCGTTCTTGCTCAAGCGCGTTGACGATATTCTCGGCCTCCCCGAGCAACCGAGGGATCCATCGGAGTGTAGCAAGTACAATGAGCTGAAGCTTGAGCGGTCTCGTGCTGGGGAGAAGGTGAAGGCTCTGGAGTCCATGATGTTGACAGTGAAGGATGTGCTGAAGAAGATCGATGCCGAGATGGAGGAGATGGAGTCGAGCGTGAGGAACCATGACATTGCGCTGCGGAAGATCGCCACTGCGCCATGGTGATCCTGCTTGACATCTGGGGTACTTGTCTGAAACATTTTGGGTTCGTCATTCAGGGTTTCAGATGATGATGATGATGATGATGCACTGGGAAACCTTCGTGGTGAGTGACTGAGTGGTGAATCCTGCTAAACTCAAGGACTGACCACATTTTTGTGTACATTTCTTCAGTTACTACCACGCAGCTCAGTGCCTATCTAGAACTGTTCAGCAGCAAACCTGTCTAGGAATCAGGATGCTGTTTTTACACGGTAAATCGTATAACAGAAGTTGTAAATTTTGGGGGGCGAATGCGCTGTAAGCAGTGCAGGAAATGCGAGGAAGAAATGCAGAACACTACTTAATTATTTCAGACTCCGTCATTCAGTGCACCCTGTTCTTGGTGCCTGTTTGGTTGGTCGGTAAAGGAGGCGTGATCTGAATACCGGATGCCACCTTCAGTAATTTTCAGATTGTTCTAATTTACATATAACAAATTTGTCATTTCTTTTAGCAAGCTTGCATTTCCATATGTTTCCAATTCAGATGTTCCCTACGTTTCACAATGTAAGTCATTCTAGCATTTCCCACGTTAATATTATATATCTATGTAGATTCATTAACATCAATATATATGTGGGAAATGATAGAATGGCTTACATTGTGAAACGGAGAAAGTGGTATATTTTATGGTGGAATGCATGAGTTCCTTGCTTTGCCTTGTATTTTATTTTACTGGTCAAATACCCGTGTATTGCAATGATTTATATATAAGGAAAAAAAACGAGTCTTTTTGTTGAGAAAAAAATGGTTGCTTCTATTTGGTTGAAATGGGATTCTTTATCTTAAAAAGACAAAAAGAAAAGGGACATAGTATAGTTCTTAAAGTGAGACATAAACCCTTTTTCACGTGGCAATGAAATTCTCATTACTAACAAATTGTGCAGTGTAATTAACTTAAATGTACAAATGAAACTTAAATTTTCATGGTTTTTTAACTTGAATAGAGGTGAGAAAGAAGCAAAGCAATATAGCATTAAAGGGTTGCAACCCGATTAGAAGCACCCAATTTCCTCTTTCCGGAGAGGAAGAGCAATGACTGCAACACACAAAGCAAGAGGACTCACATTTGTACTGCTCTCATGGCCCCACTCGTCAGTGGTGTTGGCGGCATCATCGCCACAAGTCTTTCGAAAGGAGTATGGAAAATGATAAAAGTACATTAAGTTTTCTTATGCCATTCATAATACATCTGATCCCCATGCGGTTGAGGAGTGGAGGAAGCGGGGTTATGACTTCCACAGGATGATGCTCTCTCTCTCCCCACGTTACTTACCCAGGATTAGGCTGAAGAACGAGTGATCAAAGTTAAATACGGGGACTTCAAGTAGGTGCGACAGAAGCGAACGTAACACGAAATATTTATTGGGAAACGCTGAGGCCGAATGCCAACTCAATGCACTGTAAACGCCCTTAGCTCATGTCCATTAGTGTTTTTATTCATTCATAGGCAAATCGGAATGTATCTGTTCAAATTTTTGTTTTTACAGATATGATTCTTTTGGGCAACAAATGGCATCTGAACGTATGTCCGCCCTCAAACTAATGGTAATGTGACCATATTTTCCACAGGTTAGATACTGACCATTTCGTACTTCTCTCACATTTGACATTTTTGGCTTCATGCATGGGTTTCTTCAAAAAAAAAAAAATATTCGAGAACCGCCACTATGAGAACCCCACGAAACCATCATTAATTTTTTTCCTCCTAGATCCGCCAATGAAGTTCATGCATCATACTACTTGATCCATACATCATAATAAAATTGGAAAGTATTTATCTTAAACATTCCTTAAAACTAAAATGCATTATAACGTTAATAAAACTAAAACTATATCTTGAATCATTTCTTAAGGTATAGTTTATCAGTCAACTAAATGTACATATTGCGGTCAAAGAGTACACACCTTCTTCAACATCATGACACGCATCTTAAAAAAACATTTCTTAAGATACGTTTTATCGGATGATAATATAGAACCAATTTTCCCTACCAAAATACAGTTACCTCAGCTTTCTAATTCAAATTTGAACTTGCGAGTTTTGGAGGTTGCAGATCGACCCTACCGACAAGGAAGGTACCACCATTGAAATTTGTTGTTCCTGATGCAAACATGTATATATACACATAATCCCACATAAATGCACAAACTATCTTATTCTGACATGTGTTTCTGAACTAACAACTTCAGTGGCTAGTCTCTGAATGAAACTCCAGTCAGTGGCTAGTCTCTGGATGAAACTCCAGTCTTTGCATCTAGCGGGCCACGGTAGCCAAACAGACGCCTGATAAGACCATTGCCAAAAGCTGTAATTGCAAGAGATAATAAGCGTTAATTACCATTAGCTGTAAAGCCTAATCAACTGCAGATAATGCAGTCAGCCAAAATTAGCCGACTCATCGTCAGATGTGCACACACCTATTTTCGAGAAACTTTTAGGAAGCTCAAGCTTTGACCCAAGCCTTCCTGGAGGTGTAGTTAGCGTCTCCTTGGTCTGTGAATCGAAGGTAGGGTTGTCTATGATCACATTGAGGAAGACCCATAGATAGCGCTTCACATCATCTACATTGAAGTTACACTCCTCATAGTGCTCATTCAGAAGGTTCATCAGATGGGTGGTAATCAGCTCCGTGACGTAATCAACATGGGTTCCACCTTTTAGTGTCTCAAATCCATTTACAAAGCTGACCTGCAAAACCATAAAAAACAGGAGTAAAATGCAGCAACAACCATGGCATTTAACTAAGAAGCTACCCTGATATAAACATAACCAAAACATTTACCTGCTGAAAGTGTCCATCATCACTCAGGCTCAAACAGACCTCACACCAATCATTTAACTTCTCGTAAACTCTGAAATCGATCAAGAAGGCAAAGGTGAATTCAGCTAATTAAAAAGACAAAACCATTATGGATAGATTTCGATCACTCAACAAACTAATATGCTCGTTCGAAACAACACAGCACAATAACCTTGGGAACCCTGCTCCTGATCTGTCACTGACAGGGGAATCGATATACAGGCGCACATAATCGTTGAAGCTGTTTATACGCAGCCTCACGCCATCCCACTCAACTTGCACGGAGTCTCCTAGAATTCCTGCCATATCAACCACTCTCTTCCACATGAGCGTCACGTGATCCTCTTCGAGGTAGGTCATGTTGAACCCAGCAAGATCTGGCTTGAAGGTGATTATGGTCCAGTTCTCCCCTTGATTGCAGTCTGTAATATGGGGCACTGATTTCTTCCCCATATTCTCAGAGAAAACCTGGAAATTAAAGTATTCAAGGAGTAAGTAACATCATGATCTATATTGTTTTGATAGTAAACTGACCTATCCAATGCTCCATGAAAGTAGTAACTACATCTAAAACTCAGAAAATTTGTTGATAATACAGAATTTGCATGCCTATAAACGATGAGTTTTTTTTAGCAAGAGGCCAGGCCTCCCATTTCCATTAGTAGAAATGGAGATAGACTTACACAGAGTTTTTTGACTCATTGACTACTACCTGGCAACTACATTCCTCCAAAAGCCAACCAAGCAGCTGGATCAGATCTGGACATCAAATAAATGACAGCGAGTATATATCAACAACAAAGCCGATAACCCCTGCCAAGTAACAAGGTCATGGAATAGGCAAAGAAAACATATCATGATCCCAGGAAATACTGGTCATGGTATAGGCAAATATAACATATCATGATCCTAGGAGATACTGGTCATAGTGTGCAGGATCTAACAGTTAGAAGAGTCAAAAACAGTATCAGGTGTACCAAACTATGCCACATGCTCTTTCCGGCTTTCCAATTTATGACGCCGTTGACTTTTTAATAAGATATACTACTTTATGGACTCTGTTATTAACATCGTCTTGTCACTGCATGGGTCCTTTTAATTTTTTCACGGTGGAATCAAAATTTATAAGTTCTTTGATGTTAAAATTTGAGTATAAACAACCATGCATATTATTAGTTGCTGTACTGTGCGAGCCACCGAATTTTCGCCATCTCTACTTATGCGTGACCACCTTATTCTCCTTGTATGTTCCGTCTATCCTCCTACTTGTGATACATATGTTTTAGCAAATGTAATTTTATTTTACATATTTGAATAGGTGTTAAGAGAATATAATTGACAGGAAACAATAGGCGGTTTTCCAAAATTTAATTTATTGGAATTTGATTTGTCCAATCGTTGATTAGTTTTTTTGAGTTGCAAATTAATAATACTCCCTCCGTTTCACAATGTAGGTCATTCTAGCATTTCTCACATTCATATTGATGTTAATGAATCTAGACATATATATCTATATAGATTCATTAACATTAATATGAATGTGGAAAATGCTAGAATGACTTACATTGTGAAACGGAGGAAGTAGTTTTTTTTCTTTTGTGTCTCTTTTAGATTTAATTGAACATGTTGCTTAACCCCACGATCATTCGGCCCACTGAACTCAACCGATCCCATCCCATGATCATGCTTGCTAAGCGATAGCTGAGGCGGAGCGTTGTTTCTTTTTCTTTTCCTTTTTTTTTAATCCTCTTTCTTCTACTACTATCTCTCTCTTTTTACCTTCAGGAAGGCTCTTCATTTGAACGGATGGCTACGATTTGTCATTTCTGTTTTGTCGTTTTCTGTATCGGATGGTCACCGTTTTGTTCATTACATGGCTCATCCAAGTTGCTGTTTTGTTCATTACATGGTTCATCCAAGTTGCTTTGAGAGATTTACTTTTTCAGTTAGGTAGATTTGATGATTTATTTTACTACAAAATATTACGTAATTATCGTTTATTTTATGGTGACTTGATCTATCATGAAATGATCTTTAAGCATGACTTCTTTTTATATATATTTGTACAAAAATTTTGAATGAGACAAATGATTAAACGTTCATAAAAAAAATCAACGACATCAATATATTAAAAAACGAAGGTAGTATCAAATTTGGCACAGTGGAGTTGATTTGTGAGGGTGTGACGCTGCCGAGAGAGAGTAGAGAGTGTGTGCTCAGAATTGGCTCACTCACCTGCTTGTACTTCTTCATGCGGCACCCATCGGCGGTCTCGATGATGAACTCCGTGGAGAACAGGTTGGCGAGCTTGACACCGTAGCCACCGCCGCCGTCGTTCGTCGCCTTGTTCTGATCATCCTCTTCGTCGTCGTCATGGAGGTGGCCGAAGAACATCTCCGGCGCGTAGACGCCGCGCTCCTCGTCGACGAGCTCGACGGGGACGACGCCGCGGCCGTTATAGAAGACGGAGACGCTGCGCTCGACGACGTCGACCTCGACGGAGAGGGTGTCCATGGAGGGGTCGCGCCGCTTGTTGCTCGCGGCGTGGACGAGGACCTCGTCGAAGATCCTGTGGAGGCCCGGGCGGTAGGTCACCTCGCGTGGCACCATGTAGTAGCCGTCGTTGATCCAGAACGTCTGCGTACTGCGCTTCTCCGGCGAGCCGATGTAGCCGTCTGGCCGCCGGAGGATGCGCTCCCGCAGCGTCGTGTCGCCGCCGCCGCCGCCGTGCGCGGCGGCGATGCGGGCGGACCTCCGCCGCGGCGGCGCCTGGCGATTCATGGCGGCGTGGCCGGCGGCGCTAGGGTTTTGGGTGGTGTGTGTCAGTGTTGTGTGTTCACACTCGTGGAATTAATTGAGAGATCCGGGGGAGAGAAGATGCGGTTGCCTCGTTTTATTCGGAGTAAATTTCATGAATTTGGAGCCTTCGTATATATCGTTTTGGATAAGATGAGTGGTCAAATAGTGCAAGCAAAATGTCAAAATCCCTTATATTAAGAGACGGAGGGAGTAACAAATTTACGGAATCGCTATAATTATGTCGACACATTTTCTCCTCCATCACAGTCGGTGTTTTGAAGCGTTCGATTTCCTTTGTCCCGTGCCAATGCAATCATGTCCGTGCATATTGCTATGGCAGGCTAACGTTACGGCTGTCAACATGATTAATTAAAACTTAACGTCTTCATTAGTTCAAGGTTTTACACGCATGCATACTATACTTTATACAAATTTACACCCCACTTACACATGTAATGTAATTACTATATAATTTTGGAACTTACACATTGCCGTTCTTTTTTCCCCCAAAACCTTGATAAAACCTGGAGCGGCCTCCAATCCTTCACAAACCAAACAAATTGAAGCATTGGAGCCCGATCCGGATTGGAGGTGGCCGCGGCCATGTTACGGACCACCGGAGCGGCTGCCGGAATGGCGGATTACCAGTGGCCGGCCGGTGTCGGTGAAGCGGCGGCGGCCGGTGCATGATTGCACATGCACGCACGCACACACCGATCTGGCAACGAACAAGCTAAGCACTCGCCGAGTCGCCGGCACGAGCGGATGGGAGTAATGCGATACCACATCACCATTTACTCCTATTGCCCTATTGGCATCACATCCATAGGTTCAGGCCCCTTTGATTCAAAAGAAATTCATATGAGGCTGTGTTTAGATCCAAAGTTTGGATCCAAACTTTAGTCCTTTTCCATCACATCAATCTGTCATACACAACTTTTCAGTCACATCATCTCCAATTTCAACCAAAATCCAAACTTTACGCTGAACTAAACACAGCCTGAATTTCAGAGAATTTTATTCCTATAGGATTTTTTCCTATATAGCCCTTTGAATCAAAGGAATGGATCCTATGGAATCCTATGAAATTCCTATGGATTGTCTTTTCCTATGCAAGTTTTGCAGGAAATTTAACATGAGGTAGAACCTCATGGAAAGAATACTTTGAGTCTTTATCTCTCCTTAAATTCCTGTGTTTTTCCTGCGGCCCAATCAAACAATCATTCATATGTTTTTCCTGTGTTTTGATTTCCTCTGTTTTACACTTGCATTCCTGTCAGAATCCTATGTTTTTCCTATTTCTCCGTTTTTTCATTCCTGTAATTCAATGGGGCCCTTATCCTTTTCTATTTGCTTCGGTTGCACATTTTTTTTAATTACACATTAAAGCGCACACATACTCATTCTTATGAACATGCGTACATAAAACCCTATCGTGTCTGATCACAATTTTGAGTTTTCCATTGCGAATTGTATGAGTTCCCTTCGTAGTTTAAAATCGGTGTGTAAATGACTAAATGCACACCAAATCCAGTCGACACACCCAAAACTTGGCAATATGAAAATCACCGAAATTACAAAAAAAAAAGGTGAATTCCGAAGCAAAGAGTGGCCAGTGTGAAACTAACTCAGCGAACACTCTCCTCACAGCTATAAATTCTATGCTTCACTTGTCTCGCTTTTGCTCCACTTACACCAACAGAGATTTGCGAGTAGATTTTGCATGGCCCATGCCACGCTCGGCTCGCCTGAGCCGGCGGCAAAGCCTCGGCTCCGGTGCGCCGACGGCCGCCACCGCCGCCGCCTTATCGTCGTCCTGTGCATCGTCGGCGTGGCGCTCGCCGTCGGCGTCGCCGTGGCGGTGGCGATCGCCGTCTTGGGGAGGTCGAGGATGACGTCGTCGTCCGGCGGTGGCCGGGCGCCACGGGGGCGCGCGCCGACCGAGGCGATCGCGCGCACGTGCGGGGTGACGCTGTACCCGGAGCTGTGCGTCGGCGAGCTCATGGCGTTCCCCGGCGCCGCCGGCGCCGGCGACGCCGAGCTCGTGCCGATGTCGCTGAACGCGACGCACCGCCGCGTGGTGGACGCGCTGTACAACGCGACGGCGCTCGGCGGCGCCGCCGCGCTGCTCGCCGGGGCGCGGTCGGGCGCCGCGTACGGCGACTGCGTGGAGATGCTCGACGCCGCGGAGGAGCTCCTCGCGCGGTCGGTCGGCGCCATCGCGGCGCCGCCGCCGCCGCCGGACTCGGTCGACGCCGACACGGCGGGACGGGACGACGACGACATCATGACGTGGCTCAGCGCGGCGCTCACCAGCCACGACACGTGCATGGACAGCCTCCAAGAAGTCGGCGCCGGCGGCGACGCCGGCGACGACGACGGCGGCCGCATCAAGCCGCAGATGCTCGGCTACCTCGGCAACCTCGGGGAACACCTCAGCAACAGCCTCGCCATCTTCGCCGCGAGGGGAAGGCCCGGCGGCGAGCTCTCTGATGTCCCCGTCCACAACCAACTCCACAGACGGCTACTGACCATCGACGACGACGACGACGACGACGGGAGCTTCCCAAGGTGGGTGAGACACAACGACCGGCGGCTCCTCCAGGCGGCCGCCGCCGAGATCGAGGCCGACATGGTCGTCGCCAAGGACGGCACGGGGACTCACCGGAAGATCCGCGACGCGATCAAGGCGGCGCCGGAGCACAGCCGTCGCCGCGTCGTGATATACGTCAAGGCCGGCGTGTACACCGAGAACGTCAAGATCGGCAGCAAGAAGACCAACCTCATGCTCGTCGGCGACGGCGCCGGCAAGACCGTCGTCGTCGGCTACCGCAGCGTCCACGACAACTACACCACCTTCCACACCGCCACGCTAGGTACGTAACGTACTACGTAGCACTGTTACCAATGGCGGCGGAGCACGTTGCTGATCGTGTCGTGTCGGTCTTCGTCGTCGCCGCAGCGGTGGCCGGGGCGGGGTTCATCATGCGGGACATGACGGTGGAGAACCGCGCCGGCGCGGCGAGGCACCAGGCGGTGGCGCTGCTGCTGAGCGGCGACCACGCGGTGGTGTACCGGAGCGCCGTGCTGGGGTACCAGGACACGCTGTACGCGCACGCGCAGCGGCAGTTCTACCGCGACTGCGACGTCGCCGGCACGGTGGACTTCGTGTTCGGGAACGCCGCCGTGGTGCTGCAGAACTGCACGCTGTGGGCGCGGCGGCCGCTGCCGGGGCAGGAGAACACGGTCACGGCGCAGGGGCGGCGCGACCCGAACCAGAGCACCGGCATCTCCGTGCACGGCTGCCGCCTCCTCCCTTCGCCGGAGCTCGAGCTCGCGCCGGCGGCGCGGCGCGGCCGCGCGGCGACGTACCTCGGGCGGCCATGGAAGCCGTACTCGAGGGCGGTGTACATGATGTCGTACATAGCGGGCCACGTCCACGCCGCCGGCTGGCTCGCCTGGGACGCGTCGGGGCGCGCGCCGGACACGCTCTACTACGGCGAGTACCGCAACTCCGGCCCCGGCGCGGCGGTCGGCGGGCGCGTGCCATGGCCGGGCCACCGCGTCATCAAGCTGCCGGAGGAGGCCATGGAGTTCACCGTCGGGAGGTTCATCGGCGGCTACTCCTGGCTGCCGCCCACCGGCGTCGCCTTCGTAGCCGGCCTGACCGTGTGAGGCGACTCTCACTGACTCATGGTAGCTTAAGCCAATAAGTTGCATTTGCTAATTGGGAGATAGGTGGTAGTAAAAGTAGGTGTAATTTTTCAAGTATGATGTAATCATCTACACATGCTAACTGATTCAGGAAAATTATGATTAATGATTAGTTTGTAGGCTTGAATTTGGATTGAGAAATGAGAATTCTGAATTGGGCACAAAAACACCATGAATGTGAATGAATAAACCTGTGAAATATTATACAATAACGATATTTTTTGCAATGTTGGTGTAATGAGAAAATAAATTGTTTGTCCAACTACTTGGTCCCTGCAAGCAATGAGAGTGCAGATGAAAATAGTGTACTAGCTAGTACCCTGGAAATAAAATATGCCAACCAAAAAGCTCCTTTTGGTTGTCACTTAGGCTGCTCACAATATCACAGTGAGAATATATGCTTTTCTTTGCATTGGATTTCCAGGAAATAGTACCTGCTAGATGGGTGTGGGGCTTACCACTAGAAGATCGAAAGAACCAAAAGCTAGCATAAAGAGAGAATATCAGAGAGTGGCTTATAATTGATGGGCTATTGCCACTAAATTCCTGGCACAAATTCTTAGCTAAAATATCGTGTATTTGTGCTCCTTATCTTGTATGTAGGGGAATAATTGTGTATTTGTGTTCGACAATCTTCAGCTATTTTTTCCCGGCAAAGCAGTAGCATTGTATCGTTATCAACAATGACAACTGATAAAATCTAAACATAAACAATTGGATCCAAACCTTCACATAAATACATAATCATGTGCAATCATCTGTACATAGTCCCATGCTTTCTCATGCGATTCAATTCTGCTTGCTTGGGCATGGAAGGCGAGCATTCATGTTGATATATCCATGGTGTTTTCGTCTGTCATTTCCTACTTAGCTAAAAGGCCATCGATCAGTGCATGCCTTTTGAAAGCAAGCAGAGCCTTTTTATCCCAAGTATTCCCAACTACCCCCCCCCCCCCCCCAAAAAAAAAAAAAATTCCAAAGGTGCAGCTTCTTTTGCTGACAAAGTAGAACTAGAAGGTAGCTATCACACGTACCAGATCCAAGATTGAACTTGGGCGGTGAGGCAATGTGGAGCCCTTGGAAGAGTTGATCTTGAGCACAATGATGTGAGCCTGAAGAGTGACAGATTCTCATGATTTACAAGCATAATGCAACTGTTAGAACACAGGCACAAATTTAAAGCAAAATTAAGGTAACTCTAATCTGGTGGACAATGTCCATGTTAAAATTTACATAAATAAAATGTCCATGTTAAAATTGGCTCAATTGAAAAGCAAATTAAAGAAGCCCAAATAGAGAGCTCCATATTCTACTTTTCTGTAACAAGTGATATCAGAGCATTTTAAAGAAGTACGGACACAATTAAGGGGAATGCTACATGACAATTAAGAAGATGTACATCAGTTAAGTCCAGCTTTGCGATGGAGGACGCCAGTTGGATGAATCCATGTCGCGCGGCCGACCTAGTTGCCGCCGAGGCCAGTGGCGTTCTTGACGGCGTCGGCGGCGCCCTCCTGCGCGGCGCTCGCCGCGCCGTGCGCCTTCTCCACCGCCTCCTCCCTCCTCGCCTGCGCGTGGCCCGCCGCCTCGCCGGCCTTGTAGCTGAGCTGGTTGGCTTGGTCGGCCATGGCGATAGCTCAAGCTGCTGCTGCTGCTCCTTGAATTCGAATATAAACGCCCCCCGCTCTCTGTACGTCTTGCCGTTGCCGTACGTCTTCCTGGCGCGCGGCCGCCATTTGTAGGTGTACGTGCGTGGTCGCCGGCGTGCTGTCGCTACATTTGCCGTTGCAGCTTGGCATGCGCGCCCCGGCCGCCGCACGAGGAGGACGAGGAGAAGAGAGAACGGCCGGCCAACAAGCCCGTAATGGATGGGCCGTGAAGGTACTGTGATGACGGGAAAAAAGTTCATTTGAGGTCCCTCATCTTGTCGTCGAGTTTCAAAATCGTCCCTGAAGGTTCAGAATCCTATCTTTTTATAAAGTTATCCCCCACTAACTGTTTAAACTTAACATGCAAAGATGCCACATCATTATTCACTAACAAGATGCCACATCATCATCCACTAATTAACAAGATGCCACATCATCATCCACTAACAATGATCACATTTAAACATCATGCAAACATGCTATATTTTTATAGTTTTTATAATTTAAGAGCTTTTCAAATACAAACCTGTTAAATTATCATCTAACATAATTCACATAATGTTTCAATGTATTATGTTTTTTTTTGATACATGCTATATCTTTATGTATTATGTTTTTTTTATATCCTATATACTTATACAGTTCATCCTTACTTAGTTAGTACTTAAATGATTAATCTATGGTCCAAATTATCTTTCTCCTTTTTTTTCTAATTAAGTCATATCACATTAATTGTTTTTAGCCTTGAGATGAATAATCTACGGTACAAACTATCTCCCTACTTTTCTTCTTCTATAAAGTCATACCACCTTACTTTTTACGTTTGAATCACCATTCTACATACTATTTAAATTTAAATTATCATAAACCATATTGATTTACTTAATCTGATATTATCTAGCTATCTTACACATTATTTTTTTATTGTTATCATACTAAATTTTCGCAGCAATGTGCGGGGTTTCAGCTAGTATCATATATAACGTGTCCCTAGCCTTCCCCTTCACCGATTGACTAGCAGCCAGCTAGGCATGGAACTCTTCCGACAACTGCGCCATGGAGACCGTTTCGTTCCTCCGCGCTTCCATTCGTTCCACTGAACAAGGCGCGCGCATTTTAATATTCAACGCTTTAAACATTTGGCCAATAATTATTTTATTATAAATTAAATTTTATTTGATGCAATTAATATTATTGGGTTGACATTTTAATTTAATTTCCTATGATTACGATTTTTCTTATAAACATTATAATATATGAGAAATTTATTTTATATATGTGAGAGATTTATGGTTAAAGATTAGTTTTGGAGCCATTTCTAAATTTGACAGCACCTTATTCGGTGGGTAGGGCATTTTTTTTCTAAAGAAAAAACTATATATACAGATTTCTTGGAATACTTTATATGTTCAATGTTAATTCACTCATTTGTGCCCTTAAATAATTGTAACAAAACCAGAATAATCTACCATCCGTCCTCCACAGTTTAAAACGAATGGGGGCTATTTTTTTTTCGAGGAACAATGGGGGCTAAATTTCCATGCTGTGAATTTCATCGTCTTTGATTTCTTGAAAATTTTGTGATTATTATATTTTATTTGTTGTTTCGAGCAGAAGACGTACACTTCTGGGGTGTGGCAATTCGAGGCATACGGGTACGTGCCATCGGGCACGACGGGGTGTCCATCCTGCAGGTGTTCGGCGCGTCGGGTCGTAACACGACGCTGATACCTTTGAAAGATTAGGGATAAGTTATATATGGTATTATAGTTGAGAGACGATTTTGAAACTCAACGACAAGATGACAAGATGAGGGACCTCAATTTAACCTTTTCCTACTGTGACGAGTGTGCGTGCAGCCCATAATGCATCAGCTGGATGTACGGCCCGACCCGTGTTTATGGTTTGGATCAGATCAGGCCATGGTTAATTTGTATAATGCAGGAATAGATACCAGCATCCGTTGTAGTCTAGCTGGTTAGGATACTCGGCTCTCACCCGAGAGACCCGGGTTCGAGTCCCGGCAACGGAATTTTTTGCTTTTATTTCTTCTTTGTTTCACATGGCCAGATGTGCGTCGAAGTTTCTTTTCTTTTTTTTTTTTTACCGTCTACCTTACTACTCCTACTTTGTTTTTATTATTTCGAAGTGAGGTGGCCAGCAATCCAGCATCCTTGCCAAAAAGCAAGCGAAAGAAGACGACGATTCGGCCTCTTTTTCCCAAGGGAAAAGAAGGCGCAATCAACGCGGCATGTTGCTTACACACTAAGCTCCCCGCGAGCGAGAGCTTTGCGTCCCAAAAGAAACACACAAAAAAAAAAGCCAAAGAAATACCATTACTACAAAAAGAATACCGAACCTCATCAGCCATAATCCCCAACTCCGTTCCTGTTAATTTCCTGTTTGGTGGAGTCCGCGTCCTAACTTCTTTTCCCTTTCGCTCGTCGCTTTGCTATGCTTTGCTTTGCTTAGTCAAGTCACACTCGTAATACCAAAGCTGTGGTTAGTCTATGCTAAAATTAAAAATTTGGTTGAAATTGAAACGATGTGATGGAAAAATTGAAAGTTTATGTGTGTAGTAAAGGTTTGATGTGATGAAAAAATTAGAAGTTTGAAAAAAAAGTTTAGAACTAAATGCGGTGCAAGTTTATCCCACATTGCTCGACAAAGCCCAGCTAATCAGTGAAGCTGTGCTGATCAGCTGATCAGCAGTTCAGCGTAGAACAAAGTCTAGCTAACACGACAGTAACAGCTTCACTGACACGAAAGAAAACGAACGTGAAGCTGAAGCATCTATCAATACAACCATCGAACCAACGGCCAGGATTCGTTTGCCCTTAGAACACACGTCGTCACATCTCCTCCTAGGGTAATAACGGATCGTATGTTAGTTCTGCGTTGAGTCTGTCCAAAATGACGGTATAGTATGGGTTTATAAAAATTTTAGCGAATATGGATACGGATTCAAATAATATGATATGAATACGAATATGGTATCCCTAAAATTCAATAGATGCGGACTATCCTATGAAATAATATATGCATAATCACACTATCTACTCTATATATTATGAGTTGACACATTCAATAGCCCAATTTATCAGTTACCCTATTATCAGCATGAGCTCTCACGATCTCTTCTCACGACCGCATACTACCGTCACGCACCGACATAACGCAGGATGCAATGAGCCGCGAGGGAAACCCTTTTCAGCACTTCCCCTTCCACCTCCTAATTAATCTCTGATGTAGGCTCTGGTCTCGTGATCTTCAAGGTACGTAGCAACGACACCAGCCCACCACACACATGGTTAAAAAAAAGTGAATATTAGAGAATGATCTAATATCAAATAAATAGAATGAATGAGGCTTCGAACTTTGGTCGGCTAACCCACCACCATGTGGAGCTAGCCAAAAGACCCTAAGCACTTCTCCCACCACACAATGGGGTTCACATCGTCTGCTGTTGAGGCTTACGGCAAACATTGCCATTGCATTCATCCGTGCCACACATCCTTCTATCAACGGCTGTATGCAGTGATCCCACCATGATTAATTAGGGCCTACTAATCAGCATAATTACTAATTTCTCTTTTTTAAAAAAAATCAGAAAACAGAATATGCACTTGGCGGCAAAGCGTGTGAGAACAAAAGTAGAGTAGACTGTTTTTTTTAAGATTTGATAAATTCTATTTTTTTAACTTATATCAGTCTATACATTTGTAGGGTGATTCAAATGGTTGTGAGTTGTATTCTCAAGGATTTTGTTAGTAGCTTCATTTCGCTGCTAGTTTTTGGATAAAAAATACTCTGTATGGACATAGTAGTAGTGCGGCAATGCTATTTTTGTCAAATGAATACTTAAATAGTATTTTATAAGATATGTACTATTGTTCGAGGATTTGGATAGCTCTCAGTATAATAGAAGCTTGCTTTGCTGCAGTATTTTGCTCTGCTCTGCTTCTATGCTTGATTGCTCGCACGCTTTGCCGCCGAGTGCGTATTCTATTTGCTGATTTTTTTTTCAAAAGAGAAATAAGTAATTCTGCTTATTAGTAGTTCATAATTAATCACAATAGTGGGATCACTTCATGCAGCTGTTGATAGAAGAATGTGTGGCACGGATGAATACAACGGCAAAATGTTTGCCGTTAGCCTCAATGGCAGATGATGTGAACCCCACACAATGGTTGATGGTGTGCACGAACAACTTGACATTGTTTTATTTACACACAGCATCTGAGAATTTTAATTATTTTCCGAACAAATTCGATATCGACCCCCACCATTTTCAACGTCCGAAATTATCCCTTTCATATCCGCTCCAACACATAGGTCGTAGATACTCCCTCCATCCTAAAATGTTTGACACCATTGACTTTTTTAAAAATGTTTGACCATTCGTCTTATTCAAAAAAAATTTAATTAATTATTAATTTTTTTTCCTATCATATGATTTATTGTTAAATATACTTTTATATATACATATAGTTTTGCACATTTCACAAAAGTTTTAAAATAAAACGAACGGTCAAACATATTAAAAAAAATCAATGGCTTTAAAAAAGTTAATGGCTTTAAATATTTAGGGAAAGGAGGGAGTACGATACAACCACTACCAAAATTACCGATCTCACTCCAAACTAGAACTCCTCTCTCTCCTCTCCCCGACAGCCGACAGCAGCAGCTGCGGAGGCTGCCGCGAGAAGCCTCCACTTCGCCGCGCTCTCCACTTTTGCAGCACATGCCGCCCCCAACCACTCCATGCCATCATTCACTCCTAAAGCGGCGCGCCACCTCCGGCGCAAGCCAACAAATGCGCTCGCCACGCGCACGCCCGCCAGCAGCAACCACTTCCCACTCACCACGCATGCAGCCGCCGCCAAGAACCCGCGATCCGGCCATCGCCATCGCCGGCGACGGCGCGGCGCGGCGAGGTCCCCCGCCGATGCAGCCGCCCGGGCCGCCGCCGGTAAGGCATGGTCCGCCGCCGGTGCGGCAGCAGCACGGCTACTACTACGAGGAGGAGCAGAGGCCGCTGCACCTGCACGTGAGGACGGCGAGGTCGTCGTCGTCGGCGCTGGCGTCGTGCCTCGTGGCGGCGGCGTTCCTGGCGCTGGCGGTGGGCGGGGCGGGGGCGGCGCTGTTCGTGCTGTTCCGGCCGCGCCCGCCCGACATCGCGGTGGCGGCGGTGCGGCTGCCGGCGTTCGCGTCCGGCCCGAACGGCACGGTGGCGTTCACGTTCGAGCAGACGGCCGCCGTGCGCAACCCCAACCGCGCGCCGCTCGCGCACTTCGACAGCTCGCTCCGCGTCGCCTACGCCGGCGGCGAGCTCGGCTCCGTCTACATCCCCGCCGGCCTCATCGACGGTGGCCGCACCAAGGACATGTCCGCCAGCTTCGCCGTCCCGGCGTTCGCCGCGGCCACCCCGCCGTCGCTGCCTCAGGAGCAGATGGCCGCCGCCGCCGCCGCCTCGGCGCAGCAGCAGCAGCCGGCGGCGGCGGCGGCGGTGATGGAGGTCGACTCGCTGCTGGTGGTCAAGGGGAGGGTGACCGTGCTGCGTGTGCTGACGCACCACGTCGAGGCGGCCAAGGTGTGCCGCGTCGGCGTCTCGCCGGTGGACGGCAAGGTGCTCGGCTTCCGGTGCTGAACACCACTATGGATTTGGATTTGGATGAAATCCAAATTAAGCCGAAATTTTGCGGGAAAGAATGTAATTTAATTTAAATTCTGCAGAAACCAAGCATTCCCGTTAAGTTTCTGAGCTCCAAACTGGTGGTGTAATGGTAGATGATGATATACTATGTAATATGTTCCATTCTTAAGACACGGTGAAATACCAGAGTATCAGTAGCATTTTAGCTCAAAGGTATCATCAAGGTTGTTCATGTTCTACATCAAGATAATCTCAAGTTGTTGCATGTAAAAAATATCATATTTAGCATAGCATTTGAGCTCAAGACAAATAGGCCCTTCATACTTAACGTTGTTCTATCTCAAGTTGTTGCACTGCATGCCAAAATCTCTGACTACAGAAGCTGATAATCTGGCAATGAGAATGACCTTTCTCCAGCAGCATAACCGGACGTATTCGATTGCAGCTAAAACGTCTGAGTCACAAGACATTCCATGCAGCTTTGGATGGTATGTGCCTTGTCCATCCATCAGCCTGAAACATCAATTCTTACATGGTGAGTTTGCAAAGAACATATACCATTTCGGAGGTCGAAAAGCCGACTCTACACAACAATTAGCCAGAAATCGGTGCTGCAAGAACTCAAGGACTTCTTCATCCATCAGGATAGGCTGGGTCGATGACGAGGGTTTATACTACAATGGGTTTAGTTTGGATGATCTTTGTTGGGAGGAATAGGCAAAAAACAAAAAAACAAAAAACAAAAAGCACGGAAGAAGAGCTACACTACTACTCGCTTGAATGGGCAGATGCGGGATAAGCCATCAAAGCATCTGTTGAGCCAGAATCGATTCGGGGTGCACGGAGAACTCAAGTTCCAGCACCGTAACAGGAGGCCTGACTGTTACTCTCAGTCACCATATCTTGTTCTTGACCCAAAAGAGCATCAGTACTATTCCAATCACAATGGCAACAAGGGCATACTTGCGAATAAGGGCCTGAAAACCATTGAAGGAAAGCCTTGTCACAGACGTGAAAACAGGTGAAGTGGTAAACTGGTAATGCAGATCAGGTGTTTGTTATGCTTAACAGTCCACCAGTGATATGACATAGATAGGACATAGTAACGCATGAGAGATTCCCATATCCCTCACGTGCATTGGTGAACATAATTTGGGGGTATGGCAGGAATTCATATGTTTAACAAATAAAGGATGTAGACATGTTCTAAGCATTACTGTGTCAAATTGATCGCAAAAGGACCAACTTAGTTGTTGACTACTTGAGCACAAATTCCCCCCCTTTTCTCCTCAAAGAGCAATGAAGGTAAGGAAATTTGAAGTGGAGTTGCTGGAACTAAGCAATACAATTTTACGGTTTTTGAAAATAAATTGCAATTGCCCATCGATCATTCTAGGAAACAACGGACTGTTGATGTATAATTTTGAGAAAAGTAAAGTGTCACAATTCTAGAAAGCAAATGAGTAGACTCCCTTAAGACTTCCATGAATAAACAGCAGTCACGATTTATCACATGTCCAATATTAATTCACAATTTATTGAAATATTAATTTCATATTAGTTGCTTGGAGATTGAGATTGCCAGATGGCAAATGCAGTAAAGGGAATAAGGGATCACACCTGACGATTGAGATCCTTCGCCTTCTCCGCATAAATTCTAGTATCAGAGATCAACCTATTGGACATTTCACTCACCTCTGCAAACAGAAAACTTTCACTGAGCAACAGCTGGGAAATGTAAACCTCTAAGCATGAAACGAAATGTGAGATGAGACTGCAACAAGTCTTGCCAAAAGTGAAGCACTCATGCAAAACTGTCAAAGCGTGGGATTACAGGCAACACAAAGAAAGAAACAGCTTTGGTGTGTACTGGAGCAAACAATTCAAAAGGAAGCATGAGTCTAAGAAATATTAATAAGATGTGAAACAACAAAATGGCCTATTGAAGGAAAACACAAAATATAACAACAATATAGTGCGGAATGAAAACACAACTCAAGTAATTTTAGGGCAAGATAGTCTGCTGAAACCAAATTGATTTTGCGAATTTGACTGCTCACCTATTCACTGATAATCTTTCAAGGAAATACGTAAACTCAAGTTAATCTCATATGCACAGAAATCATTGACAAGTCCATCGTGCTAAAAACTATGATGAACGATGCAGCATAACACAGATAAGGTGCAAAGGCAAACTCATGATCTAGTTTTTCACCAACACCGAGAACTTCTTGAAAATTGCGAGTCATAATCTGGTGCACCTCATAAAGCTCATCATTCAACTTGGCCAGGTTCCTTTGGGTTCTGGTATCCAAATACAACTTCTTCGTCTTCTGTATGAAAGTGTCTAAACAGGAAATATAAGCCATTAACTAGTAGAATAAAGAGAATGAGTATAAAGAAAAATATCATGAATGTAAGAACCATACCAAACTTAATAAAAGCATATGGTCTTGCAGCAGTTTCAATTTGGTTGCCATTGACCCTCTCAAATTCATTTTTGAGATCTTCTAAGTACTGGAAAGCAAGTTTCTTCGGATAAGAGCAGTCACACATTGTCAAATAGCACACACGGCCCTCGATGATGTAACTGTTTGGTTAAATCAAGGTGCAACAAGTGTACCACAAATGATTTTCACAAGGCAAACAGGATGAAAATTCAAGAAATGATTTAGTTTCTTAACATACGGCATTAGTAACACAACTTTCCTGGCATCTTGGTGCCATTAACATCCAAGTATATGACGAAAGGCAGATGATGCATATAGGGCATAGAATATACAAGTTCTTGCTGATGCAAAAATTGGGAGAGTGGTAGACCAAGTAAAATGTCTAATACAATACTTATTACTCACCAATTCACTCACTCCCCCATAAGCAGCAAGAATATGTTGTCAATGGAATGAGCAGTTAAATTTAAAATAAAGAGGAAAACTAAACAGAGTGTATGTATCAACCAACATATCTAGTTGGAATCATTGTCTTTGCTGCTGCAATTCAAATTTGAGCCTAAAACCACAAAAAGGGTAACCATGAGTTAATCTTTTGGGAATTGGCACGGAACACCTATAAAAAAAATCATGAGGGAATAATCTTTTTCAACAGGAACTCTAAATCTGCAGATAGCATAAGAATTAAGGATACTGGAAAAGGTATGGCCCAGTCTCAATTGACATCCTTGATGCTTCATGTTGCCCTTTCGATAAGTTCTTGAACAACAGTTTAGCTTGCTGCTTGTAGAAGTCAGCATCCTTCAGATCCCGACCATCATCTAATCCCTCCACTAACGGAAGGTCATCAGTAACACGTGCTATCATTGTCAGCTTCACCATTTTGGATATGCAGCGTGAAATGAACTAGCATAGGCAATCTGAAAGTGCCACCTGCATGGTAAAGCAGATAAAGGGTAGAAGATACATTAGACATGTCCCATAGTCAAACTTAGCTGCAAAGTTTTAATGTTCAATGTGAATTCTACTTATTGCAATGGGCCAGATCTAGTTTTGGAGAAATTCCATTTTAATCACTATGTCTAAACCGGAGTGCAAATAGTGCTACCATGGGATTCATTATCCAACTACTCAAACAGTAACAGCGTAACACACATTAAGCTTCCTAGTTTCAGAGGGCAAACGCAATCCATACGAAAGCCAACAGGGATGCATGATAGTGATCAAACAAGCTGCAGCAGAACAGGTGGAAGTCGTCTGAACTTTTGCATTCTTCAATCAATCACTATCTACACATGCTAAAGGCCTACGACAACCAATACCAGTAAAACTTTAGATTATAAAATATAAGCGCATATTCGATATTCTTAAGCTTGACAGGAACACCTAGAAATTATAAACTAATCATACCCCCTGCATAACACTAGTGAGACTAGTAACAACAATGTTACGATCAACCTAGGAAGTGCAGAAACCTGACCAAATTCAGCCAAAGTAGATAGCTAACAGTCTGTGCCTATAGCCCTACAGACCAATTTCCCTGTAACACTACATAATTGACCACTCTTGCAGGTAATGAAGCAAATATCCGCTTAATGTGGGGGCATGGGGTTTCAACTGAATCCCCAATTATTTTTGCAAACAAACTGCTAGCAAAACAAGTCCCCTCAATGTCAGTACTGCACCAAGCAGCGAAGAAATCCGGAATCAAACCAAGGGCTTTGTTCGGTTAATCCCTAGGAGGACCACACCTCACTACGCGTGGAACTATTCCCTTCCAAACAAATCCCATCCAATCTCCTTGGGGGAAGATTCAATCACCGGATGGATCCCCAATCTACGCGCCACGCCGGCTCGTGAAGCGGCCACAGGAGAAGGGGGGAGGGCTAAGCGAGGCGAGAACGAATACTACCTTCAAAATTTCGAATCGGGCCGCGAGGTGGGGGCGCCGGTGGGATGAGCCGGCCGCGTCGCCGCCCCCGGCGAACCCGCTCGCCGGCGATCGGGGGAGGAGAGGAGCACGTCCGCCGCCGTTGCCTCCGGCGGGAGCAGAGAGAGAGAGAGAGAGAGAGAGAGAGAGAGAGTAAAGTGAAGGAGAGAGGTAGATGAACTGATGAGGGTGTGCACTTAGCATTTTGGTTGGGTGAATGCCATTTTTTTTTCCTCAAAAATTTATTTGAATTCGAAATTCCTGCCACTGTCGAAACTCATTTTCGCCCAAAGGGGGGAGTCAAATAAAGTGAGATCGATAACTATAAGTTTTGTTATAGTAATATACATGTTTTCTTTAGGAAAAAAATTGCATAGCGTGATGTTTGCAGTGGTGTGTGCGCATAGGTACATATATATTTTATGTATTATCAGGGAAAAAAAGGTTTTAATTTTGATTTGATCTTTGTGTTACTTAATGTTTTGAGAGTTCATACTAATACTTATATCAGCTGAACATGTTTAAAGTCCCCATAATTTCATCCTCAAGAGGAAACTTTAAAGGTATCATTCAATTACTTTACACAAAATTTTGAGACAAACCCTTGTTTCAAATAAAAAAACACTGAACATGCAAGATGTTGGTGAGATATACACAATCCATTAATTTACAACATTCTTCACTTATATTCATTTACAATTTACATCGAGAAATGTAAGAAGGACCAATGATCCTTCCTTATTATTCATGGAGGCGATATCTTGACACAAAAGAGACTTACATTACTTACAAATTCACTTATCACACACACTCGAAACCATAATTCACAGTCATCTTGAGGAGCATTTCATTTGAAGAGTTCATTGAGATAGCGATCCATGATACCTGAGATGGCTTCCATGAATGCCTTTTCACCTATCCCAGGAAGAACAACATGCTCTGCCTCTTCAACAATCTCTTCAATCTTTGATTTGGTTGTAATGTTCTCCCTACACAACATGTTACCGATCTCATATGGAGTTAGACCTCTCACAGCACCCTTCTTCAACATCATGGTGCTTAGACGAAAAACACGAACACACTTAGATGATGGTTCACAACCATTGAGCTTGAGCAACTTGATATCCTCTTCCTCGTCAAGTGACTTTATGTAGTCCAGGGTTTCAACATTGAAAGGCTGGCGTGCTTGGGGCCAGTAAAGCCAATCAAATGTGCAGTCTTCAAACTATAAATTGTTTAGAAGTCAAATCAATTACTAAAACTAAAATAGTTCAAACATTGTTTACAACATGAGAAAACAATCATTGCTAGTAACCAAATTAGGACAAAAAATTTAGCAATGGATATTATATTAAAATGTGTACATAGTGTGTGGTCGTGAAAATTACTCCCTCTATCCTGAAATATAAGCCTCCCGCAATTTTAGGAAGCCAACATTTGCAAACATTGACTAATAATTGAACTAGCGGTACATATGTTTAGCGTCAAGCATGTGGCATCATAAGATTTGAATTTGAAAGTACATTCACGTTATGTCAATTTTATAGTTATTGATATTAATACTATACAAGGAATTAAAGGTCAAAGTTTTGCACTGAAGACAGTGTAAGAAACTTATACAGCTTATATTTTTGACATGGAGTGAGCAACTCTTTATGGCGATTAGTGACTATGGGTGATCATAGATTTCAATTTTCAGTACAAAAAATGCAGTTCAAAGCAAAACAAAATACTTACGCTTTCAGGCAGACAATACCCATGATCAATTGGTATCAGCTCAATCTGCCCATTCTCATCCTTACGAATCAGTATGTTGCCGCCATGGCGATCCGTGTTAGCTAGCCTCATATCCAAAACAGCAATCTTGTGCACCTCTTGCACAGGGAAAGCCCTAGGACCAAACTCCTCACAACTCCCAGAATTCTTCACAAACATTTGCAAGGACCCAATTTTCGGTTCTTTCTCCGCGCAATCATACTTAGTCTGATCAACATAACCATTCAAACATCGAACAAGAACTGTCGGAGGAACACCAGCAAACCCTAGTTCATCGCTCACGCGATAACCACTAATAGGATGGTCAAGAATGTATGCTGCAACCTCCCTGAATGCACCTTCACCGACTCTTGTTCCTCTCTTTAATCCTTCCCCATCACTGGACAAAGGGTAGCCATTAGGATTGTCCTTTGCCATTGGCTCTTCATTTATTGGCTTGAAAACAGCAACATACTCTTGGCCTGATGAATCTAGCATGAAGTAGACTCCCCCAGTGCCCTCTGAGGACATCACAGGTGTGTGCTCCATTTCTAGCCCAGCAAGTGTAGCTTCGATCATACCCGTAATTTTTGGAGTAAGGGTAACACTTGGGTTGACAAGAACTGGTTCAATCAGGGGATATTTCTCCTTGGCATCATCAAATTGTAAATTGTTTCCAATGTCAGAAGAAATGGATAATTGCTCAAAAGATTCTTCTATTTCATTTCCATTAAAATTTTCTGACTTGTTTGCAAGAAAATCGGTATCAGAAGTGTTGGTCTCACAAATGGTGGAGATTAATGTGCTTTCATCAAGCTTTTCACCATTGACCAAAGTCATGCTCTCTCCAATACCATTGGGACTTTCAACATTTCTTGAAATCTCTTGCTTCATATATCTAGCATTTCGACGTTGGTCCACTTGGAATTTAAACTTCCTTCCATAAACAGTCCTCACAGCGGTTCGTCGTGGATCTGATAGTCGGATCACGAGATGAAGCACACTTCCATACCTCACCCCATAGTCACGGATATGGCTATCATTGCGAGAGAGCTCTCTGCCTTCGAAAACCAACCTTTGGTTTCTCGCCACAAATCCTTTGCTGTTTTGGATCCGAAGCTTCACTGCGGCAACCGAATCAGACTCAAGTACTTGCATTTTGGCTAGAGGAACACCGGGAACTGCAAGGTAGAGTAAGAAGACCTCTGGTGTATGATGATATGAAGATTGATCACCATCTAATTGTGCAACAGCTAGGTCCAAAGCATCGTTGTTGCTTGGGCTCACTGCAATGCCTGTTGATGCCATGCTCTTGTCAACAATAGTTTCTTTGATATGCACCACAAACTTTAGTAGCGTCTATGGAAGCTGTGAGGGATGTGTTTTTAATTACAATATCTTGGAAGCCATCTCCAGAAATCAAGTACATGAAGAGAAATAGTTGTAAGAACATAGATAAAGGAACTTTGCATTTCGAATTCCAAATATAGTTATTGTGAAATTAATTAAAGTAGTACTCCATCCGTCCAAAAAAAAAAATCCAATCCTAGATATATATCTAGACATACACGTTGTCCAGATACATCCCTAGGATTGGGGGGTTTTTTTGGGACAAAGGAGTATGTGTTAGGACATCAATCACAATTTTGATTTGATCATTTTAATCACACTACATAAGCACAATATCCTAAATAAATTGAACATAGTGTTGCCACACAAAAAGGCACATCCATAAAAGTAGCTCCCACAAGACCTACAGTGTACTTAAAAGACATAATTTTCCCACATTTAAGTAAAGATTAAAATACACTAGAAGTGCTCCCTAAACTTGTTGCATGGTGCCATGTTGATCCCTTAACTTTGAGAAAAAAGTACACATCCTAATCTTATTAAAATACCAAATACTCCTTCGGATACTGGTGTGGTTACCATCTCTCTCTCTCTCTCTCTCTCTCTCTCTCTCTCTCTCTCTCTCCCCCCCCCCTCCTCTCAAACTCCATCTTCAAAGTTTCAAAGTTTAGGGACTAGTATGACATCACACAACAACTTTAAGGACCAACAATGTATTTTACTCTACATGTTACCTTCGAATCCATCCTCCATAATAAATGCCAAATAATAATAAAAATCCACAGAATATACCCATCAACACATGAATTTGTAAGAAAAGGGGGTTAAGATTTCTAGAAAAGTGGCCAATAAAATAAATGACGTGCATATACATATATAGTGTGGCACATAAATGATACTTACCAAAGTGATGGGTATGGATATGTTTAGTTAAACATTGAACTAAGAGTAGTTTAGCCTTCAACCTCTTGATGGAGAATAACTAAAGCAATCAAACATGAGTGAGATTTTTGGGAGCTGAGAGAGGGCAATGATAACAAAGTGGCTAGTCTTGTTTATATAGCTTAAAACTAGGAATAAAGGTGAGTTTAACATTAATTGTTGACATAGGATTTAATTTTTTGTGAGTACAAGATTGCCCCTGCGAGAAGTAGGATTCGTTAAATCACTTTTCCTGCTATGTCCCCAGATCATTTGCACCAAATCTTTTTTGTTTGTTTCTGCAGAATATGAGCTTGGATTTGTCTCTGCAGCATATTATGCATTATGATACTCCATGGATATGATTATTAAGAGTGCAACTATTAATTGTTGCTAGAACTTTGAGCTTCGATGATGGCATGCATGCTCTAAAATGATAGTACCTGCCTTCTTAAATAATTGACACTGAAAATATTTAATTTCAAACCACTTTATTTAGCAAAATATCATAAACAGCTGAAAATATGTTATGTCATCGAAGCGTGCAGCGTCAAAAATTATAATCATACAACTTTCATTTATCGAAGTGAGATGGCAATAAGGCAGTAATCAATAGAGTCAATTACTCCAAAACACAGAGAGGAGATGTGTTTATTTATATTTTTATGTCATATTTTAAGTATTTTTTTCTGTTTTCTTGCGAATTGGTGAAATGTTTTGCTAAACATTATTTTTTTTATTGAATCAAATAGTGAGGTCAGGGATTTTTCTTTTGTGTCCGTCTCTTTAAGCGTGTGTTAGGGCCTTTGGGAGGGAGGTGGAGGGGGGGGGGCTTCGCATGTGTGTGATGGTGTGCATGCGTGGTGGTGTGTAGGCATGTGTGTTTCTTGTAATAGCAAAAACAATTTCACTTATACAAGAGAATAATAGATATGAGATTTTTTAACATGCAAGTTTCAAAAAATATCCTTACAAATACTTTCTTAATTTAAGTATTAAAATATGATTTGTGCTCATTATAAAAAACAATATTTTCCCATTCTACCAAACTATGCTAAGTGTTTTCATATAAAAATATCATGAAACATTATAATTTGATAGTACTGATAATGTTTTTATATAAAAAAATAGAATATATAGGAAAGGGAATCCACTACACAGGTCCTTATAGAGAACTTAATAATTTTCTAAAAAGATATTGTGACTATACTTACACAGGTTCTTTTCCTTATCCTCCATGTAAAACAAAAAAACTCAGAAACAACATTGAAACCCCTTGGATGATGAAGATCATATGTCATACTGTCAAATTCCGACATAATTCTTCTAGTGGTTAGATCATTTACTGATGAGAAGCACGACGGTTTGACCGATGGTGCTTGCCACCATCAACAATCGACTCCTGCAACCATGAGCCAAAGGAAAATGCAAAAACAGGAAAATAATCGTATCATCTACTAAGGAAAGCCATTAGTCTCAAGGGAGCAAGTAGAAAAAGAACAAGAGTTGAGAGGAGACGGGGGTGAGGGGAGGGGGAGGAGAGAAATGTGTTGAGTAGAACACCCACACCCCCTTCCTCTTCAGAGCTGGTTGGCGAGATTACAAAACGTGAAAGGAACTTGTTGGAATGCTTGTCGAGGTACCACACTGAGCAACGCCAAAAAAAGGATGGTCGTATCCACATGTCAACTTGACGGTTTGTATTTGCTTGAACTTCCGAATATGGGCCTTCCATTTTTGATACACTGTACTCCTCCCATAGTATCCAATGCTAAAAAAGTAAATTAATGGGACATATGTAAAGTGGTAAAATTAACATTAAATATGCTCTTAGTAATTTTGGTTTGGTGCAAACGTTATTATGCCACATAAATATTCAAATCTGTGGGTCACAGAGGATCCCCATAGAAGCTTAGAAAGCAAGTGGCAGTTCAGTAAATATAGGAAACATGTGAGGGGAGAATCAACGAAGGTGAGTGGCATTTCACAATATTAAAGCCAAGTTTAGGGGCATGGTGGTATATTAGAGAGAGACATTTCGTCACGAAGTAGATGTCGGTGAAAAAAAGGAACAAAACAAAACGAGCCAGCATGACATGCCTATAGTCTTGACGTGGCCTTGTGATAACCTTTGTGATGCAATATACAATAAAAATAGTTGGTAGCTAGGATCACGCTTGAGAAGAGTTTGCCGTATGGTATAAATTGTTGATATCTTCTTCTTGTTGTTTCCTTGCACGGGTGGATGCAATGAAAGCTTGCGGCAAAGAAAAAGGATCCATTTTGTGACTAGGATTGTCCCAGAGGGAATGTGACTCTTGTTACCTTTGCTCACAAAAGGTCTTGTGTTTTTTGTTCTCTACATGGAAGGATAGAAAGTTTTCTGGCAGTATGCAACAGCAAGACAGGAGATTTGACCATGTTCTTTGATGAGCCTGAACCGTGGAAGAAATAAGATCATTGTGGCATTTTGCCCTTTTGACAGAAGTGATTTGCTTCTCTTTGCGTTAGCGTCTTAGGATGAAAACTTTTCTAGGAAGTATTCAAAAGAAGTTGTGAGGTGTGACACTATATCCTTTGGATGACTGGATGGCGTAGTGTGTAAGTATATTGTGTGTATAGGAAAATGTGATTCCATTGTTGTGTTGCTCTTTACAAAGTTTATACGTATATATTTTACCTACATTTTTTTGTTTGATTAAAGAGGATCTAAAGTTCTCCTGGAATCATATATGGAGGTTGGGAGATTCCTGACAGAAATGCAACCAGGCTGTGATGCTGTTCTGTAAAGAAAAGCATTTTTGTGTTTTTCTATCTTTCTGTTTGCTCACATGAGATGATTGAAGTTGCCTACATTGTATTATGCAGCAAGAAATGTGATCATGTTGCGTGCTGAGGCTGGATATTATGGAGAATGTGACTCTGCCGTTGTGTTGATCTGTGGAAATTTCATGTGCATATGTATCCATTTGTTTGCCTACAAGCTAACTACAGAGGAAGAGGAAAGTTTTTCTGAAATTTATGTGGCTCTGTAATGTTCACTATTAAAATATGTATATTTATTATATATCTGTAAATGTTATTCTTGAACAGTGGCACGAAAATTTGGCCTCCTTGTCATTTTATTTAATGGGAAGATATTATTTCTCCCTGGGATTATCAAACCGAAGTTTGGCCCTATACCATATTCTCACTTAGCCAAGATCCCCCCATTACCTCCTGCCCATTACTCTCAAGTCTCAACTCTCTTAGCTCATCTTGACAAGGACATCAACACATTTACTTAAGGGGGTGTTTGGGAGAGAGGGGCTAAACTTTAGTCCCTCTCTCAAAACCATTAAGTCCCTAGTTTAGCCCCTCTCTCAAAACCATAAGTCTAGGGACTTATGGTTTTGTGAGAGGGACTAAAGTTTAGCCCCTCTCTCCCAAACACCCCCTAAGTCATTAATTCTTCACACAAGAATGTCCTGAAGCAAAATAAATATCATTGCATATAGGTCCAATCTGGACAAATGGGTGAAGATCAGTTTGCCCATGCCAATCGTCCAGAATAACTGATAACTGATCAAAACTGCTGATATCATCGTAGATCTCCCAGATCAAAATCAAGTGTTCAACCATGTTTTGCTGTCAACTTGTAGCTCTTCAGAATAACCAGAGCCATCACTTGAAAAATAGTCACATCTCCATCAAGACCCTTCGCTTCCAATGCTGAAATTTGCTGATGCAGATAACTGAAATTTGCTTGCAGTTGTGGGACTAATGGAATTCACAATTTAATAACAGGAAGCAAAAATGCAGTTTCAGATCCAGCCGAACTGAAGACAACAGAGAGCTTGAACGCTCGATCAGCCAACCTGTAAGATATGGGGTGCCATATACACACATTTTACTTTACAAGAGCGTCCTACCCTCCTAATGTTTGTTTAGCAAAGGTACAACATGAAGGCGTTGCCTCGGAGCATACAAAAAAACAGTAAGACATGGCAACGGGATAGATGTTATCCGGCCGCAAAGTGGAGTTGAGTTTCTTTGTTTCTTCTGAATGTTGTGATTGCTTAGCTACAGAGATTTGGTATGCAGGCACCGTCTGGGGTCTGCTGCTCCTTCCAGATCCGGCCGGTGATCCTCAGCTTCAGCTCCTTTCGGTCGCCCCCCGAGAAGAACAGCGCCATGTTCCTCTGGATGATGAGGCCATCATGGCTGTCCCGCACCTTCCGGTGGCTGTCCCGGACACTTCGGGGGGTGCCCTCCCATACCATTTTCCTGCCGTTTGCGCCGACCTCAAGGCTGTAGCTATAGTTCCTTGCCTCATTTTCATCACCCATGAAACGGAGAAAGGCCATATAGACTGGTGCCATCCCAAGCTGGAAGGCCTCAAAGTGCAGGCAGAAGTATTGCCCGAAACAGTGGAAGACCTACTCACAAGACAGCAATTCAATGTTTCAATATTTCTATAATACAATTTCCACAAGATAATCTTATATCTACCACGAAGGTATTATAGTTCAAATAAGAATAACAAGAGCGCCACAGTCTATAGGTACTTACCGTCAGCATCCAGGTGGCATTTTCGACTTCTCGTGGGTTGGACTTGACATATCTATGGTTGAATGTGCAACCACTATGCATATCAACTTTGTGATCATCCCTCAAATGGGCAACAAGATAAGGGATATCACCCACCACAGCACACTCAGAACCAGCATAAGGGCAATTGTATGGTCTAAACATGCACTGCGCTTCATGTTTTATCTTGCTGTAGTATGGGAAGATCTCTGGGCACCCCAAAGAGCAGTACTTACAGGGAAGCTCAAGCGATTCAGCTACTTTCTCCAGGGCCAAACACCTGATATCACCAAGCTCTTGTCTGCATGTAGGGCAACGGTTGTGCACCCTAGCTTTGCAGGTGGAACACAGAGTGTGTCCATTTTGGCACTGCAATGAAATTCAAAGAGATGAGAATCATATCCAAAGATCAGAAGTTCAGAACTACATAATGAGACTCTTCAGGTTTACACCACTAGATCAATCTGACACAACGAATTGGGAAAGGGAGTGTATGGTTAGAATTGCTTATTGAAATTCAGCCCATGTATTCTCTAAGGATCTTCGAATGATCCATTTTTAGGTTAATTAAGTTCTATACTTCTACCCAACATATATACTTCACAAGTACCGTCGTCTTCCTTCCCTTTTATAACTTGTGCTAAAAGGGAAAACTCACCATGGCTAAATGTTAAAGGTACTACTATTTTTTATAAATTCTGCTAAAGATAAACCGAATGACCTGAAGGCATGATTATTTTGGCAGCTCATTCCAGATTATAATAGATATTAGCCATCTAATTCTAACAGTTGATCATTCGCAAGATTCAACATTCCTGCTTCTTCTTAGGCATCGACTATATGTCAAAAAGGAGCTCTATAATTACTAGAAAAATAATGCAGGAATTGAACAATAATCGGCCGATCGATAAGCTAAGTCAGCAATTCGTGCACGAGAATAACAGAACAGATCACCGAAATTATTCAGGAATACACAACACCAATCGGGAGCCCAGAGAACACCAAGATCCCAGGAAATTCTGAACGACCAACAGGAAGTCTACCCCCCATTGTGCCAGTATCATTGTATCAATGATCGAATTGGATATGATGCTCCAATCACAAGAGGAATCAAATCATGACAGGCATGGCGAAAACGACATTTTCCTCTCTTTGTTTCGCTCTAAAATTCAACCCCGATTCCGAGGCTCCCAAGCCCAGACGCACACAGATCCCCCCCCCCCCCCCTCTTTTCCGAACCCCCCACGGATCGCATCCCACACGACGCGTATGCGAGCGCGGAATCAAGCGAGAACCTCACCTGGTGGATCGGCGGGTACATGGAGTTGGTGCAGACGGGGCACTCGAGCAGCTCGTGCACGCCGCTCCCGGCCGCCGCGCCTCCCCCTCCCCCTCCCTTGGAGCACGCCGCCGCCCGCGCGGCCGCCGCGGCCGCCAGGAGCGCGCCGTGCGCGTGCAGCGCGAGGCCGACGTCGTCCGCCGCATCCATGGCGCCTACGCCCCCACCCCCACCCCCACCCCCTCCGCCGCCGGCGCCGGCGCCGGAGGAGGAGGAGGAGTCCGGCAGCGACAGGCACTCGACGCTGTCCACGTCCATGGCCGCACCCGCGCCCGCGCCCGCACCCCCGCCTGCCACGAACGGGGAGGAATTGGGGGGCACGGCGGGTGGGCACCGGGGGGGGGGGGCGGCTCCTGCTCCGGCGAGCGGGGGCTTTGTTGTGGCGGTGGCGCGCCGCGGATTGCGGGGGTAAAAAGGGAAACGAAAGCGAGAGGGAGAGGGAGAGAGAGAAGAGGGGAGCTTTTGGCTGAGAATAGATGGATGGGGAGGGGGGGGGGGGATTAGGTGAGGACGACGACCACCGCGACGCGCTATTATTGCTGGATCCTGGATGCCGTCTCCCCTCGTCTGGGTTGTGGTGGTGGCGCCGGCGACACCGATGGACCCCGCCGCGGCGAGCACGGCGACGACTGCCTGACTTTTTTTTTCTTTTCCGTTCTTTTGGGTTTTCCGGCGAGTAAATTTTGTGAGTGACTGGACTGACTCCGGCACTGGTTTACCTAGTCATCCGGATGTGATATTGACGTATTGTGATGTGATACGGGTGATACCGACAACATAAATGCGGCCATAATTCCTGGGTTTCCTAGGTGCCTGCCTGGATGGACTACTGTTCCATCTGAACCGCTCCCTCCCTCTCATCAAAAATCAATCTATTACCGAATATGACACATCTTAATACTATAAATCTGGACATACATACTCCCTCTATTCTAAAAAAACTAAATCTAGGAGGGGATGTGACATTTTCTAGTATAATAAATCGGGACAAAGGACTATCCAGATTCATTGTAATAGATGTCACATACTTGCCTAGGTTAAGTTTTTTTTAAAGACATATGTGTCAAGATTTATTTGTACTATAATATGTCACATCCAGTACTATATTTGTTTTTCATGGGATGGAAGGACTACCTTCGTCTAAAAAAAATTCAATCTAAGGTTGGGGGTTTTTTGGAAGAGGGGAGGAGGGAATATGTGTAGATTTATTATTATGGAATGGATCAAATTTATTTCAAGTTATAAAATAAGTTTAGATAAAGGTAGTAGTATTCTTTGTGCTTCTTTCACATTTATAGTATAGTGGCTAATCGAATATTATATATTTTAAAACAAAAAAAGTATACGGGTTTTTTTTTCATAAAGAAATTTTTACATAAGATAGCTGTTGTACCGATACCAAAGATAGGTAATCTGCATGATATGGAACGAACCGTATCCTCTGACATTACTCAGTAATGTCACGGTGTGGCATTACTTCAATCCACACCATCCATTCTAAATCAACGGCCGTAGATTATTTGACATGCAATTAATCAAACTAATTAGTAAATTGTGCAGCTATAATTGTCCCTAGATCAGATATTGCATTTTCAAGAGGCAAACATCGTTGACTGGTGGAAGAATCGGCACATGATGATAATTAGGTTTCACTTAGTACTTGTTAGATGCAGCGATTAGCACATTATCCTGGAGGAAGTGAATCCTGTGCATCAATTTTGTGCTGCCACATCCTCTGTCGTCGGAACGGGGCAATTCTTAATCTACAAGCCGATGGGTTAATGTTTAATGAAGATGAAGAGACTGCTTTAGTGTTAAAAAAAAATCCTTCCCACCTATTAAGTACATACCTACATAGTACATACTCTGCTAGTTAGTTTGATTAGTTAGATGGAGTACCAATTAATCTGTGGCCGTTGATTTAGATTGGATGGTGTGGATTGAAGTAATGTCACGCGGTGACATTATACAATCAGAGGATACGGTTGGGATATGGAAGGGTTTGTGTTCGGCTGCAACACAGCTAGCAAGCACAATAATTTATGTCTGTGGCAACGGATATACTGGCTAGTTGTGTTGTGTATACTATATCAAACAGTCGAATAGACCCTCTAAAAGAAAAGAGATGTAGATATGTTTATATTTTGATCTTATCGATTTATCATTACCAATTTTTTAAGGGCACAAAATAAACAAAATCCGACCATTATTTTCGTGCTAAAATATGATAGTTTTGGAAGCTTTCTTTCTTAAAAGTATACTAAAATTTTGTGAACTTTTAAACCAAACAGAGCCCCATACTACCAAAATTCGAAAAACTTGAAATTATGTCATCGTAAAAATAGGTTTAACCTAAATATCATTATGTAAATGGGCTTTACTCTTATACCATTTGCAAAAAGAGCTGCACACTAGAAATGCCCTTGGACCTTCACTTCTTTTCTAGTTCTGGCTGAACCTCATCATCCATGTCTTCTCCTCGGGGGGTGTAGGCTGTTGTGGCCACCTCATCCCCTCACTGCCATGGTTCCTCCTTATGTCCTCCATGTGAAGACCCTCCTCTACCATGCTTGTTGTCTGGATCCGTCCTTTAGTCCTTGATGTTTCACTACCGTCCTAGGCACTTTCTCGCACTGCCACCAGCTCAAGGCCCAATGCTCAATCACAAGTCCCGCCAACCTCCTTTAGCTTCCACGTTGTCGTCCTCATCCAGCTCTCGCGTTGTGATCTCTTCAAGCCCATGCATCATTGTCCTCGTCAAGCTCCTATGTAGCCACAACCTCCTCAAGTTCCTGGTCTCACGGAACTCCAGTGTTGGCTGTCCTTTCTCATCATGCTCATGTACCAACTGTCCTTTGTGGAGCTCCAATGTGGTAGGTGGTAGTGATAGTGCATGCCTTATCACTGAAGAACACACATGATATTGACTTAAGGGATCTACCATCATCTCGTTGACCCTATCAGCTCCATGACTCCGCCTCCCACCCCAATTGTTGCACCGAGCCTGGAGGTGGAAGATAAGTAGAGGGACAAATGACATTTCTATCATTTTAAATTGCAAAAGGTTTAGCGTGTAGCTTCTATTTGAGAATGCCATTTTAGTGAAGTCTATTTATGGGGATAACATTTAGACGGGTTCTATTTTATATGATGGTGTAATCCCAAATCTCTCCCGAAAGTCACTAGTGTAAAAGTATACCAAAATCCACTATATTCCTAATATTTGGTCAGGTTTAATTGTTTTGATAATGAACCAGGCCTGTCCTATCTATAACATTATATGATCTATTTATAGACTATATATAGTGCAATTTGCATATAAGGACAGGTACCTCTTATCCACCAACTGTGAGAAGTCACATACCAATTACACCTACAAGAGTACAAGTACAATCTCTATATCCAAATTTATGTGCACAGTGCGCTCCATTAAAAATGTTAGGGTTCTACTTGCCTAGCGATGGACGTTGTGGCCGCAGCGGCGGGTGAGGGCGACCGGCGACGATGTGCTTCATCCATGCCATGAACTCCGGCAGCTGCAGTCTAATCTAAAATTTAAACTAAGACAGCGTTCGAGATAACTAGAAAGATGGAAGATTTGTTTCCACGCACATACGCTTCTTGAACCGTTAAACGTACGTTTTCTATCAAAAGTTATATAGAAAATTACTTTAAAAATTTATATTAATCAATTTTCTAGATATAAAATAATCAATACTCATCCATTAATCATGTGCTAACATCTAACCTCGATTTAAATATCTCAATTTTCTTATATCCTCTCCTAAAGAGGTGGGCCTGGAAATGATACGTGTGGTATTGGGCCTGAAGCCCAGAAAACACCCAGGAAGGCCCAAACAAAATCGCTGACCAAACACCGATCACTCAATCTGGACCGCTCAAAGACAATCGAACGGCGGCACACCGCCACCGCGGCCGTTCCCCGTGCCTAGCGCCGTCCACCGGCCGCCGGCGCGCAGCAGAACACCAGCCGGCGGTGGCGACGACAGCCACGGCGGCGGTGCGTGGCTGGACGAGGCGAGCGTGCCGGCGCCGCCGGCCGGCGGCGAGCCTGGGAAATCAAATGTCAGCTGCCATGCGAGTGTGACTGACAGTTTCTGTTCGTGCAACTGATGGAATTCAGAGGAGAGAAGAGACAGCGTTTTTTTTATCTTGATGACTTTTAAATTCTATGAAGATTCCACGAGAACCAAATGAAATGAGAACAAATTTAGTAAGTATTGGTGGTTCGTTAGGTTGGTGATAGTATATGCAGAGTTTCAGCACAAGACAAGAATCAACTGAACAGGAACACTATAGGACCATTATATTGATCATAATGCAGTGTTTCCTGGACCTAGCAATCGGCAGGGACAAGTTCTTTTGTTTATTAATTTAAATATGTTAGGATGTTGGATATAAGCGGTTCCATGGTCTAGCGGTTAGGACATTGGACTCTGAATCCAGTAACCCGAGTTCAAATCTCGGTGGAACCTTTTTTTGCATCAATTTTTTCCTGCCTTTATTTTTTGGGAGAATTGCTCTTTTGAAGCCGCCCCTTATTTTTTGGCTCATTTACACACGAGTGGCTGTTCAATTCTTCATGGAAGATCCCTAGAAAAAAAAATTCTTCTGCCTTTTTTTTTTGGGGCTCATTTAGTCATTTACACGAGTGGCTGTTCAATTCTTCATGGAAGTTCCCTAAAAAAAATTCTTCATGGAAGAACACGTAAAACAATATGTTTATTTCCGGAAGAAAAATAAAATCCAACGAGCAACATCCACCACGCATTATCCCACCACAAAGGTAAGTAGCCCACGTGGCACCCAGTTCGTCCTCCAATCTCCCCCCCCCCCCCCCACCCCCAAATTTCCACCTCCATTTCTCTCTCTCTCTCACCTCACCGGGAGGAGGAAGCAGAGGAGAGGGCAGGAGGCGCAACAATGGCGGCCTCCCTGTGGCTGCAGCTCCCTGCTCCACCTGCTTCTGCCGCCGTCCACAACCCCGTCTTCCTCACAGGCAACCTCAGCTCTTCACTGCTCTGCAAGAAGCATCCACAGGCGGCCAGAGGGAGCATTCTGTGCAGCAGCAGCAGCTCATCCAACTCTTCTGCTTCTGTGGTGACCAAGGAGCAAGAGGCAGTTGCTGCTGCTTCCTCCTCTCAAGAGGAAGGAGTAGCAGTTTCTGAGACTGAATTTGTCAGCTACAGGGATGACCCCAACTTCAGGTAAATATATATGCTTCATACTTGTGTGTATACGTTTGTTTTCTGAGATGGAGCTTCATGTTTCAGAATCTATAATTGGCATGTTATTAGCATCAATCAGTGGTTCTTGGCTTCCATTTTAATGTCAGAATAAATCCTTGGAATTTATGTGGAAATGGGTTCCTGAATTTGATATAATGGATATTAGATTTGTTTTGTTCTCCGTACCAACGAATGGTTCCATGGTCTAGCGGTTAGGACATTGGACTCTTAATCCCCCTATTTTTTTTCATCTTATTCATATATATTGGCTAGAGTGGCTGTGTGTGTCTCTATATATATATATATATATATATATATATATTGGTTGGAGTGGCAAGCACTTTTTTTCCATTCATCTCTACATATATTGGCTTGAGTAACAAATTCATGATTTGTAAGCCAAAGCTCTTTTTTGTCTTTTTGTAAAAAAGAAACTTCTGAAGATTGCCAAAAAAAAAAACTACTTTATGTACATGTAGTAAGATTCTTGTATCAAAGAAGAGAGAAATTCAAAAATACCAGCTCAACTTTTTCTTGCACCTTCTTGACAATGCCGTGTGCGTAACTGCGTATGTATATGCAGGGGATGCAGAGGGTGCGGGCGGGAGGAGGTGGAGAGGGGTTGCAACGGCGAGGGGCGGATCCAGGGCGGCATAGCCACCGTCCCCGGCTTCGGGTGGTGGCCTATCAAGGCGTACCGGCCGTGCCCCGGCTTCGTCGCCTCCGGCGGCCGGTACCGGAGGCAGGGGCAGAGCATGGACGATGTGGCTTCCGGCAGAGGGAAGAAGGTCCCCTCCAACAACAAAAAAAATACAAAAGGTATTACTACTCCCTCCGTTTCTTTTTTTATGATGTTGGTTATCATCGTACATTTTAGAATGGAGGGATTTCTTTTTTATGATGCTGGTTGTCGTCGTACATTTTGGGATGGAGGGATTTTTTGTTTTTTTATAATGTTAGTTATCGTCGTACATTTTGGGATGGAGGGAGTATTTTGATTATGAGCTTATGGCACAGCACAATTCATTCCGTTATCACATGATTATGAGTTTATGGTGTTTATAGGAATTTCATAGGAAACTAAGAATTGTTCCAAGAAAAAAAAACACACTCCTTTTATGATTTTAGTAGGAATTTTACAGAAAACAGAGAATTCCTGAGGAAAAAAAACTCCTTTTGTATAAGAAATGACATGTATAAATCTTGCTCGTACATTGTAGCATATCAGTTGATCTCACTTGGATTTTCCAACTTGCAGCGAGAGCTGAGAGGTGATCCAGTCCAAGAAATTTCAAGCCTGGAAATGTAAGCAAATTTGTCTATGAGGTGATCAAGTAGGAGGCAGTGTGCATCACCAAGGATGGCTTCCAGAATTATTTCAGATTTTTAACATTCTCTAGGCTGGACAAGGATGTTCAAAACTTCAACCCCAGCCTGCAAAACTCTGTAGCTGACGTAATATCCCAGTGCCTCATGGCATTCATGGGTTGCATATTGCTACCAGGTGTAATAGCGAAATTGTATCGAAACTTTGAAAGTACTACTATCCTATGATAAGAGTAGCAATATCAGATTGTTGATTTACTGGCTTGATTACTATTGAGCCTTGACACTGCGACATTATTGGTAATGCTGTTGCTGAATGTATTATGAACAACGGCAAAAAACATTAGACTGGTACTCCCTCCGTCCTAAAATAAAATCATTTTTGGCTTCATCCATTTATTCCAAAATAAGTTTATTTTTAAGCAAGTAGAGGATAAATGCATTAGGAATAGATAAATTGAGAAATAATTACATTGATATTTGATTGAGGGTATTTTTTTAATTTTGTATTGGTATATGTGTAGGATAGATGAAAAATAAACTTATTTTGAGACGGAAGATCATTTTCAGAATGTATACAAGTATACAACCAAACTTTAAAAATGCTGGACATAAAGTATAGGCTAACGTTATTATGATTAGTCATTTGAAAATTGAATCAAACGGCAACACCACGCATGCAATTGTGTTGATGCCAGATAAAGGTGGTGACACCCTAGTTATACATCTATCTCTACTACAGCTTTGGATCATCATCACTTAAAGATCAGCAAGAGAAATTGAAACTGGTAAATTCTCATCAAAGTTGGGTTTCTTCATTGATGATAAAGCTGCTTTCTACACCATGTTCAAAACAAAAATTCCTTGCATCATCCAGCAGGAAAGTTCTGAAACCACACGCATTTCAACAAATTAATGGAGAAGGTACATCCCGTTTGCATGTTCCTTCAATTCTTCGCTACCTGCTCTATTATCTTCCTCTAACAAAGATGCAGAAGAGCTAATTAAAGGGTATTCTTTTGACAAGATGCAAAAGAGCTGATGAAAGGGTTAAAAAAAAACTAAGAGAGTATAATCTGTTGCAACTTGCAACTAGCAAAATGACAGACTAACTTAGCAACATATGGTATGCCAGTAACATCAAGATTGTTTTTTTTCCTCGAATGCCATCAAGATTGTTGCACAATGCATTCTGACGGCATGAAGCCATCAAGCCATCATCTATCACTGGCAAACTCCAATCTGAAGGAAATGCCTAGAGTCTTATGCTATTACCGCAGGTGGGGAGGCCTTGATCCAAATGGATTGCTTCCAGGAGTAGCTGGTGAAGGAATTGTCGGTGAAGCCTGCGATGCTCTCTGAAAAAGTGAAGACATCAGATCCATTGTCGTATCACCATTTTCCATTCTTCTGAATTCAATATATTTTGGGGGAAAATAGAAATTTGAAGAAAATACATATCATAAATGATGGGCACAAATGAAGTATAAATTAAATGCAATTTATCCTCAAAGAAACAATTTGAACCTGGACCTCATCCTAGAATTCGCCAGTTTCCACACGGGCAAGTTAAATAGTTAGCTGACTGAGATTTTACCCTATCCAAGAAGAATATATGGACAATAATTTACAGTATTGCTCTTCAGGTGTCTTAACAGAAGTATAGCTTGTACTAGTATGTTACAATATTAGATGCTAGTTCATATGTAAGTTAACATTGCTAACATAAGCCATAGAATGGATGTGGATCCTGCTATGCACTAATGCACATGCTACTTCCATTCAATCAGCCACAATTTGATCAAACAAACGATCATCAATTGACTGCAGCAACAAAGTTATACTTCTTATATCATCAAACAAGTTCTTTTCTTCAAAATGGAACATATACTATCTAGAAGACCCCTCTGGCCTCCCCTTTGCTCTCACAAGGCAGCTACCTGCATCCTACATCTAGTTTCAGGAAAAACAAAAACCAAGCTTAGCGTATCAGATAGAAGACACGTCTGACCTCCCATTTGCTCTCAAAGTGACAAGGCAGCTACATGCATCCTACAAACATCTAGTTTTGGAAAAAAAATATTAAAAAAGCTAAGTGTATTAGATTCTCTAGCAGACCCCTCCAGCAGTCCGGCCTCCCCTCCGTTGTTAGAAGCAAGCGACCTATATGTGTACTTGCTACAGTGGCACTTCATAGAAATAGAGAATTCTATTCATTATCTAACTGTAACTCCGGATGACAATAAATTACTAATAAATTAGTACAGTCAAGAAAATAACAGAATAAATTGTAAGTTCACCTGTAACATTCCTGGTTGAGTGATATAAGCCATGAACTGTTCCTTTTTCTTGCTGAACAAATCCTTAACTTGGTTCAACAAATCTTCTTGTCTTTTTATATCCTCGAGAAGCCTTTCCTTTTCCCAATTCTTATGTTTAACTTGCTCCTCCAGTTCAGTGATAGTTACGGGTAAGTTTGAGACCCCAAGATTTGCAGTTACAGGAAATTGTATTCCTAAGCTTGCCCTTCAAAAGTAAGGTCATGTATAATCATTAACAAAAAGAAGAGGTGGAATTAAGCTTAATATGCTTGTTACAGAACAGTGCAAATTAGTGTTACCAGACTTTATGTAGTAAGCAAACCAGGGTAATGTATCACGCATATACTCATAAAATGAAAGGACAATTAAATATCACCGAAGGACCCACAATATGCAGAACACTAATGATCAAATAAAAGTATATGATGTGATGTTAAAGGATAAATCCATATAATTGCATACCTATTACCTAGGCAGAATGAGCCATTAGGTCTTAGTATAGACCCATCAAGAGAAACAGCACCATCATTTATCAAAGGAATAGCATTTCGCAATTCAGCTCTAGTCTTATAGACTTGCAACTGAGAAAACAGGCTGTAAAATAAAGTTTCCCTAAGACCGTGGCCCCCAGCTGTGAGACAACTCAAATTTGCCTGGTCCAAATGTATCATATTTACTGCAAAACCAAGAAAACCAGGTGGGAACTCTCCACTAGGCAACCTTGGTTTATGCAAAAGAAGTTTCCTCTGAGGATCATCGATCATAAAATCACCAGAAAATGGCCTGCAAAGTGTAATAGTTATAATGTTAAGGTGTCCATCCAGTAGAGTCCAAAATATAACGGCACAATGAAAACACACCTTATATTTTCAAGACAAAAGACAGTGAATCTTCCATCTAAAAATTTTCCAATTGTGCGACCTAGTCCATGAATGCCACTGGTTTTATCAACCATACCTTCCTTGTCATATGTTTCAAGACCCTCGACACCATCATAAGTCTTGCAGACGACACCAAGCATATTGTCCAATCCCAAGTACTCTGAGAGTACCCTATAACAAATTCATGGTACCTCAAAAGTAAACAAATAATTCTGCCCATTAACTTTGCACCAGTTGGTGCAATAAATCTTATTATATGTCAAAACAAAGAGAGAATAATGACCTGCTGAGGTTGTCATTATTTATTTTTCCCAAGGTAGCTACGACACCAAGGACATCTTTCATCAGTGGCAGCTTTGATGCATGCTGATAATGACGAATCTTCAGTTGGCATATAATCCCAGCTGCTGTCTCGTCCTGTTTGAGTATACTTTGAATAGTGCGTTGTTCAGCTTCTTCAACAGATGTGTCATTATTTGCAATTGCCGCCATCGATGAATAATAATTGCCTATTTTAACTGAGAAAAGTTCCAGGGTTCAGCATATAAATAGGGGCAATAAGATAAAGAAAAAGTATATGGAATTATGGAAATGAGTTAAAGAAAGAGTATATGGAATTATAGATAGCTTTGATATCTTTATCCAAATGGTGTTACTTGCATGATAAATTCAAATTTACCACAGCCATCTAATGCAATAATCCAATGGTGCTAAGAACATTAGATAATAGGAATGGTGGATATGTTAGGCTCATGCAAAAAGATTCAATTTCCAACGTGATAATAAAAAGATTTTGCAATAGCTTGCTAGTCCTACCACTAATGCAGAGATGTTGTCTCAACAACCAACTTCCAATGTTCTACTCAAAGAGGCCTCAATTGATTTAGATAGATGCATATGTCATGCGAAGTAGTAGCACACTAGCACCTAAAGGCACACACGCAGAAGCAGCAAATGCCACAGTTGGCTTGCCATATGGACCTTAGGATAAGCATGGGTAGTAAGTAAGACATGAATTAGAACGCAAGTTTTTTTGGTCTACCTCTACCAAGGTATGTCAGATTTGCTTGTCAGCATTAGAATTATTGCATTAGGGTGTATCAGTTCCTACACATGTTACAGCTTATCATATACTCCCCCTGTTCTTAAATAGATGCCGTCTCAGAATGTGTATAGTCAACCTCAAAATTTAAATCATCAATATATACAAAAATATTAAGATATACTAATATGCAAAAAAAATTGATATTACAGATTCACCATGAAAAACACTTTCATGCAATTATATTCTTAATATTTTTTATAAATATATTATTAGAAATGTTAATTATCAAACATATGCATTGGATACTGTATTGATGCCCAAAACATCAAGTAAAAAGGAGTAGAGCTAGTATAAAGTAAACCAAGACATTAGCTACTATTGGGCAAACAACGGCTCAACAGACCTGTTCATGTTGACTGTTGAGTCTCTATCTCTCTCTACCTCCACTGAGTACCTTTGCTATCTTAGCTCTTTCTACATTAACCCATGCCTACTGGTCACATCTAACAGTAGCTATCCTCCATTGTGTACCAAAGTACAGGACAATGCAATCCACTCACAAGGATGCTCATTCATCCCAAATACTGCGAGTTCCTCTTCCGATGACATCACTAACTACATTTAGGTATTTTCACTGTTTTAAATATTTAAGTTGGTGATGGTTGGTTTCACACCCCATCCCTCCTCTCATAAATATTTTCATGCCAACATATGGGTCATTCATCCTCTTCACAGATCCATGACTCCACATCTGGCCAACTTGAACATACATATAAAACTCAAGTTTACAGAAAATATATCTGACATACTAAAAATTAATGACCACAAGCTCCATAGTTAATAATTAACAGGCCTTATTTACCAGAAACTAGGTATCGCAAGGCTCGAATTATTCACTATAGTGTTTAATTAATGATCTACGCAGTTATTCTGCATCATGGTACCGATATATAGCATTACTAGAGTACACGAATATAACCACGAATCCGTAAATTAAAAGTATATACAAAAGCAAGGTGTCACAGGGCATTAGGATCTCACTGCCCAGGTCAGCGCACGAGTCCTCGACGGCATTGAGCTCCGACTTGAGAAACCTGATGTTCTCCTCGTGGTGGTTCACCTTGAGCGCCAGCTTCTGCAGCTCGTCCTGCATCACCTGCAGAGCAAGGCGCGCGCGCACACCCAATATCAGACACGAAGAATTCCCATACTCGCTCGCATCAACAAAAAGCATTGAACCGGATCAACAGGCGGCGGGCGGCATCACCGTCACCGGAGGCGCACACACACACAACCTTACTGTTGAACTCGAATATCGACAGCGTCAGAGGTGGAGCCTCCACGCCGCGCTCTGCAGATTGAACCGCCATAGGTAAGGAAGCTAGGCGACCAAATCTGCAGGGGCGGCGGATCCAACTTCAATTGAACCCCCCCAAACTCTTTTTTGCGGGGGAACAAACAAACTCAAACTGTTATTAAGGCTCTGAAATTAAGAGAAGAACTTCTTGCAGATCTACAAGAGAAGCTAGGGTTAACGAACGCAAGCGAAAAAATCGAGGGCGGGAGAGAGAGATGAATCAGAGAGAGGAAGTGCGATGCTCACCAGGATCCCCTCCGCGAGATGGCGCGCGCGAGGAGCGGAGGAGAGGAGAGGAGACGGGAGGAAGGAGCGCGCGCGACAGAGAATTTTCGGTGTGGGGGCGCAGGGGAATAGAAATGGGGAATTTTCGGATTGATAGGAGTATATATATACGAGTAAAGATATCAATTTTTTAGGGCTAATTGAATGCACTTTAAAAGGCCCCCAGACCCAACTGAAAATCCCCAATATACTACTCCCTCCGTTTCAGGTCAAAGTCAAACTGATTTTAATAAGTTTATAGAAAATATAGTAATATTTATAATACTAAATTAGTTTAATCAAATCAATAATTGGATATATTTTCATAATAAATTTGTCTTGGGTTAAAAATATTACAACTTTTTTCTACAAATTTAGTCAAATTTAAAACAGTTTGACTTTAACCAAAGTCAAAACGTCTTATAACCTGAAACGGAGGGAATATTATAAAAAGTTGAAACTAGATAGGTGCTACTTATACTTCTCTAAATTAGAATATATCATTATATATGCCTCAGCCACCCTTGAGTTAGTTTTTTTACTTAGTATTTTCGTATGGACCATATTGCCCCGATTGTATTGATTTGATTTGATACATGTGCCCTCTATCCTTGGAGAGAGTCGTCATAATTCAAGATGGATTATAGGTGGTTGGTAGGAGAGGGAGGAGGAAGATGGAGAAGCCATCATCACACATGAGGGCTCTAGATGCTATGTCCTCTTTCGGTCCTGCCGCTCACATCGCCGGAAGAAGACGATGGTCGCAGGGTCCCTTTTATTGTCGTCGTAGGAGATGATCATCCTGAAGTGCCTCCCGCTGATGGATCTAACCTTCCTGGCCTCGACCTCTAGGGTAGCGACAATATTCGGGGGTCTAGGACTACGAGACACACAAGTCCTGCAGGCACAACGTTCATGCATGTGATACCTTATGCACATATCGTCGGCTGACCGGTGAAGGGTGTATCGATCAATTAGCGCTTGGCTCCATCCTATGCAACCCTGGAAGCAGGGGATCGATGCTACTGATGCGGAGGCGGAGTTTGGCTAGGTTGCTGAGAAAGGCAACGACGACCACCGCCGTAGGGTCGTCGAGGTTTTCCACCACCGTGGTGGTGCACGTCGAGGTCCACATCGAGGGAGCTTCACGGTGTGCGATCGACAAGCAGGTTGTCTCCATGGCCTACTAGGCAGTCTGCTGGCGCCAACGAGGAACAGGGATGATGTGAGCATCAGCAGGGGCAATATGACCTATCTGAAAAGTTGATTCAAGGAATGGTTGGGGTGTAGTATATGTTAGCATGGTTCTAGTTTAGAGAATTCTTAGTGGCACTGTTACAGACTTGTGTGAGAGAGAGTGAGAGGGAGATGGGCCTGGTGGGCCGTTGTATTCTGAGTGTGAGGTTGGCGCAGGTGTGAGGTTTAGTCTTTGGCTTGGTGGCGTGGGAGTTGGGGTATATAAGGCCGAGCTTTGTAAGAGACAGATTATCGATGAAGTAAAGAACAAATCAAACTCAACTACCTCTCCTACCTCGTTCTGTTCTTCCCCAAACTCTGCTCCAAACCTGCAAATCCTCTCCTAAATCCCCAATTCTAGCTCTCAAACTAGCGGAGATCCGTAGGTTCGTCACAGGCACACACCCGGTTTCAGCCTTTGCAGTGGCATGATCTAATTAACCTCATTTTTAAGAGCATTTACATCGTGAGTTGTTTTGGTACCATATACTCCCTACCTAAAAAAAAAAGCTAACCTTATACTATAATATTAATGTGAATGAATCTATGTCATATAGTATGTTTAAATTCGTTGTACTAGGATGAGTCACATCATAGTATGAGGTTGTTTTTTTGGACGGAGGGAGTACTTATTAAATATTATTAAATATATATGATATGTAGGTTTCGAGCTTCGAAAGTTATCCTAGTTAAAGGAGGAACATGTGCTTTTTACGTTGAAAACACTATGCTCAATTTTATTGCCATTAAAGTAGTGCTCACTTGTCAGAGAAGATTATGGCGGGTCATTTAAGATTTATCATTTCTTCAACTCACATTAGTCGAACGGGCATACAAGTTTTTTTTCACTTATTCTCTCTTGCTATCTTCTTATGACATATAATATACACACTCCTCTCTATGTTGAGTTAAAACTACAATTAACATGTACACAGACGAGTTTTATCTGGTTTTAGAAGTTGTGGAACAGGCTTTAGACCAAGAAAATTCCCATTATCACTATATCCACTAAAATTAAAATACAATGATCTGATCTCTAGATAGCAATTCTCAAACTAGCTTGAATGCTTGATCATCCATAGGGGACTCGATCATCATATTGCATGTTGCATTATGATGTTCAATTCTGTTATCTAGGAAGAATTTGATCTTTGTGAGAGATTCCTGTAGAAGACAAAATCATATAGGATCATGTTTTTTACTCATAAATTAGGGGACCGATACAGTACTACGAATTCTTTGGCTGCATCAGTGAAGAACTGAAGAATCTTCCATGTAATGTAACTCAGAGATAAAAGGTACTATATGTTGATTTGCTGGAGAGCTAATTGATCCATTGGATTGTTTCGTAGCCAGTTTCGTACTAGACCTCACAAAACACCCTACCATGTTATTAGTCATATTGATATTTACAACCTGCAAGAATTATTGACGGCATACGTCATTTGTGCACATTTGATTGCTATATATATCCAGTTAATTGGTTGCTATCCAGTTTGTTAAACCAATCCACTAAAATTCAGTTCCATGTCTACGGAATTTAGTTCTTAAAAAAAAAGAAGTCTATGGAATTTGCTTGACTAGATCCTACAAGCACGAACCCTTGATGCTGTTCCTCCTGACAGTAATTCGTTCCAGTGCCTGAGATGTCAGGCGATAATCTCTAAACTCCTCCAGGATCAGAATGGCAATCCCCATCCAAAATCTGGGCTGTCGTGGTTCTTTGTCCTTTTCAATTGCTTTGCCCCCAGTTCTTCTCATGCTCGCTATTGATGATTCACTCGTTTAACCTAATCCAGAGGAATCACGCACTGAAGAAGGTGGTCCTCTTACTTTTTTTTTACACCCGGTTAGATTTGACTTGCTTTATATTGATAGGAGAGGGTTAAAGTACAAACAGCCAAAAGGCTAAGCAAGGAAGAAGAGAAAAAACCGTACATGCCTACATGCAAACAAGCAGCTCTCCTAACTTCTCATGGCAACATTCTCCCAATATGTTTAGCGCCGGCCATACCTCACCAACCCAACTCCTCTTGGATGCGATCATCTAGTGTACTGTCGCCTCCTTTTCTCTGAAGATTCTTGTGTTCCGTTCCTTCCAGATTTCCCAAGTAATGAGCAATAAGAGAGATACGAGTCCTTTTAGTTTTGTTACTTATGGGTCGCTTGTTTCTTGTGTCTACCAACCCAATAGGTTTCTATTGTTATTACATTTCAGGATGTTGTGCCCTTGACGTAGCTGTGTGAGAACGTCAAACCAGATTTGCTTCGAGATCGGGCATTCGAACAATGGTTGACAGTTTCAAGATTCCGGAAGCATAACTGACAGAAATAATTATTTGGTCATCTCCTGATCTGCAACTGGTTAGCTGTCCACACCCGGTTTTGAAGCACTAGCCAGCTGAAAATCTTGCAATTTGCTGAAGCCCATTCCTCCCAGGACAACTTTGTTGATGGCGATAGTACCATTCCGTTGAATTGGAATTGATATGCAGATTTTGCACTATATTCCCCATCGGTTGTCCATCGCAAGACAATCAAATCTTGTACCTCCTCTGTTAGTTGTGGGGTGTCACGGGCTAGAACTTCCCATAAGAATTCATCAAGGAGGGGGATAGTGAGGTTGTGGCGGATGTCATTGATCCATCTTCTTTGTTGCAGAGCTTCCTGGATGGTGCTGTTTTTCCTCTTCGAATGCCTATAGAGGTTCGGCACTTGACATTTTACACTTTAGGTACCAAATCAATTAGATTCTTAGAAGCTCGCCTTTTGCCCATCACCAATTTGGACTTTCATCGATGCATCAAACGTATCCTTATCCAATTCATCGCAAGGAGTTTTAGTTCCAATCCAAGGCTTTTCTGACGTGCTCCATTCAAACCATAGCCACCTTAGCTGAAAAGCTATGGTAAATTTTTCTAAGTTTGGAACCCCCAAGCCACCATACCGAACGGAGAACAAACCTTAGGACCAATTGAGCTTAAATTTCCCACCATGCATGTTCTACTTTTTAGTACTCTTTATTAACATCAACGACACATCTTTATTATCACTTTCTCTAATTACATCTACTCCTTCCTTAACCTCTGCTATTCCATGTAAAAAAAACTTCAAAATAAAAATCAGCTTAAATCAACCAAAAAAAGGTAAAAAAAATAAACTTGTTTCATATATCAAATTAAACAAAGTATCTTGCACAGACATGTGACTTGTCAAAAAAAAATAGAGAAAGAGCACATCTTAAAACTGCAAATACTTTGATAAAATTATCACAAAACTACATATTTACGATGTTCTATCACAAAACTATATAGATTTAACACAAAATTTCTCAAAAAATACATATTTAAGATGGAGTGTCAAAAATAAAGATTGAGTGTCACAAAACTACAGGTTTGGTATCAATTTAATTAGAAAACTACAAATGTTTATAGCTCTAACATAACGGTAATGATAGAGATTTAAACTAGGATTGTGATAACTTCAATACTAAATATGTAGTTTTGTAATATTTTATCTTACTTTATTGGTAAATCTATATTTTTTTATACAACACTTTTAAATCTACTGTGGCCCTGTTTAGATCCAAGAGATATTTTTTAGCCTTTCCTCAAATAGCTCAAAAAGATCTAAAAGTTAAGCTATTTTAGGGTTATTTGGAAATAACCCACCCAAAAAACTATCCCACCCAAGAAGTGTTAATTGGAGCTATTTCAAGTGGGGCCACTGAAAAAGTGTCTTTTTTCCTCTATCTCCCTCTATGGAAATGTACATTAAAAGCCAAATAACTCTCAAAATAACCTTTGAATTCAAACAACTTAGGGCTATTTTATTGGATGGCTATTTCCTTGTGTTAAAAAATAGCTCTCAAAATAAATCTTGGCTAATTCTCTAAACAAGGTCAGTGATAGTTTGGTTAAACTCGTACTACTAGAATTTACTCTTTTTCATTATTAACAAAAATAATTTACTCTCTTTCTAAAAAACAAAACAGTGATGTCCAGAACTGAAACTTGTCGAAACACAATTCTCCAATCATATACCGACTGTTGTACGTATATTTTACTCCGATCCACCGCCGATCGCCTCCCCAAGCAAGCAAGCAGCCGCTCGGAGCGAAGACTGAGGCGGCGGCGACCATGGCGGGGCTCGCGCACCTCGTCCTCGCCCTCCTCCTCCCCCTCGCGCTGCTCCCGCCGGCCGCGCGCGGCACGGAGGAGACGCCGCAGTACACGACGGTGCACGCCGAGTCCGACTTCGAGGTGCGCCGCTACCGCGACACCGTCTGGATGTCCGCCCCCTCCGACGACATCTCCTTCCACGTCGCCACCAAGCTCGGCTTCCACCGGTAAGCAAAGCCCGCCCCACCCCGATCAGATCCGAGACCCTCGTCGCTACGATTTGGTCCGGGGGATGGGGGATCAGCCGCGCTTGATTTGGAGCCTGTCTGTAATCATGTGCGGTGGGTGGTGGAGTAGGTAGGAGATGATGATTTTTTTTGGTGAGCACAGCTCTTCGATTTGCTCGTTTTGGGTGTTGGTTGCTCTGCAGGAATGGAAAAGATCGGTGAATTGTAGAAGAGATTGATGAGTGAAATCGATGGCTATTGTCGGTTGACTTTAGCAAGATGCTTGTTCATTTCAGTTGAGAATCGGGAAGAATGTGGTCTTGAATTGAGACAGTATTGTGATGTTAAATAATACTCCATCCGTATTTTAATGTATGATGCCGTTGATTTTTTAACCAACGTTTAACCAAACGTCTTATTCAAAATTTTTATGCAAATATAAAAACACTTATATCATGCTTAAAGAATATTTGATGATAAATCAAGTCACAATAAAATAAATTATAATTATATAAATTTTTTAAATAAGACGAAAGGTTAAACGTTTGTCAAAAAGTCAACGGCGTCATATATTAAAATACGGATGGAGTAGTACTGATTTTTTCTAGAAAGAATTGGGTCTTTGTGAGAGATTTCTATAACAGAAAATATGCAGGATTGTTTTGTTACTTGTTAGCCATAAGTTAGGGGCTGCACTGCCAAATCTTTTAGTTGCATCAGTAAAGAGCTCTTCATGTAATACAGAGATAAAAGGCATTATCTGTTGATTTGCTGGAGAGCTAATTGAATATATTAGCACTTTTGTGATTATTTTGATTCCTAAGACAACAATTAACAACATGGTAGCCTGTGAGTTCATCAGATTCACTACTACATTGATCTTCATTCATAATTCACTCTCATTTACACCTTTCTGAAATTCAGTTTCCCTGTCGGTAGAATTTATTTTACCAGATCCTACAAGCACTAACTCTTGATGTTATTCCTGCCAGATTGTTCCAGTACCTGATGGGCGCGAACCTTAACTCCTCCAGGATCAGGATGACAACTCCCATCCTAACTAGCATCGTCCCAGGTGCAGGGCCGCTACACTCGTCTGCCTACTTTGTGCGGCTCTACTTACCAGCGAAGTTCCAGGCTTCCCCTCCTGTGCCTCTCCCCGAACTGAACCTCCACCCGGATAGGTGGCCAAGCCACTGCATTGCAGTGAGGAGCTTCTCGGGTTATGCACGGGACAACAATGTCGTCGAGGAAGCGGAGAAACTTGCGTTGAGTTTGAGCCGGTCACCATGGGCTAATTCCACAAACTACCCTAGCAAGAGCGCCTACTCAATTGCGCAGTATAACAACCCCTTTCGCATCATTGGCCGTCTCAACGAGGTATGGTTCGATGTTGATTGCAAGTCTACTGGTGTTGAGGCATACTAAAACGAAGGTTTTACTGTGCACCATCACCCCAAAAAAAAAAAAGGCTTATTGTGTGTTAGTACCACATAAGCCATGTACATCTTTGTATATATGTGTTCATGGTGATGAATTCTGATGATAAAGCTGGGGGGTGTTTGTGGTGTGTCAATCCATCAGTGATGAAATGACACAGCAGATGTCAATTGTAATGATCCACTATGTACTCACATCTTGCAAGCTCGAGTGCTCGATTCAGACTGATCTTGCATGTCATTGTGTGGCTAATGTGATGTTTCCACTGCAATTATCAGTTGTCACAGCCCTGATTCCCAACTTACGAACGAAGAAAGCTTACAGTTTAACTAAAGAGTAAGTAAACAAAATTGTACTTGTATAACATAACTGCTCACAAATACACAAATGGATTTTGTACAGATGAGCTGAACCTACTAAACCATCATCTGTCAGGCTAATTGTATCTGTGATTCTGTAAAATAGTGAAGATCACTTTGTCTAGAACAAATGCTACTCGATATTAGTCAAGTACTCGAAATATATATACAAGTAGATACTGCATGAATTCTCTGTTGCCAATTTGATTTGCTTGGATCTGCTAGTTCAGAGAAGGCATGGAGCATACTTGCTCAGTTCAGATCTACAATCTCTTCTACCCCAGAGATTATTTGACACATAGACAGTTCATGCAAGAACTGACACTTGCAACAACGACCACTACCAAAATTGACTATTCCTACAATGATTTAGAAGAATCATTACAGGAAAATTACCTGCTTTCTATCTGGTCCTACAAGCTGCGTTAATAGATCATAGGACATGGTCACCTCATTGGTACGGTAGGCAGACGAGAACAGCAACCAGCAAGACTAGGAATGCCGCAAAAATCCACTTCCAGTTCAGGATTTTTGGTTCAATGGACCTCACCGTGTTAGGTGTGCTGCAGGCACCGGAATTATCCTCTGGTGGAGCAGTAATCTCATCTTCCTCCTCTCCAAGAGTGTCAGCAACTCTCTTCACCTTTTACCACATTAATAAACATCGTAGGGTGAATTACCAATAAGAACATAGTAATTGTGCTTGACATAAGTTCCAAAAGAACAAAGTTTGCTTAAAAGAAATAAATATGTTAACCCTTAACCGTTGCAAGTTTTGGTCCTGAGACAAGAACCCCAGCTGTGAATGCTTATAAAATCTGAGTTCTGCTAGTAGAGCTTTGCGCTATCAGGTGATTACTCATGGAAGAGAGAGCATGGTGGGTGGGCAATTTCAATGTAAAGAGTTGTTTTCTACACTGATGATTGTCTTCAATGATGCAACAATTGTGGTCAATGTGAGAACAACAAAGAGGATCAGACCCGAAGAATTTGCTGCTTCTACATGTTTTAAAACAAGACACCGCAAGAACTTACCTTGGTTTGTGTAGGTGAAGAATCTGAGACCATTTCCTCCATTACTTTAGTAGTCTTGAGTTCACCTTCACTGGCAGCAATTTTGTTGTTTAGTAGTGTAACTTCAGTAATATTTTCTTTGCACTTTTGAGCCAACATCCTGTTCTTCTTCGTCAGTGTAACAATCTGTACAGAGAAGATACCGGGAAGCTGGTTAAGAAGCCAGGAGTACATATATTCTTATTTATACTAGTAATTTCTGCAACACTGTTAACTGAGAAAAGGAGGATGCAGTCATAGGATTGATATCCAAAGGAATTTATTAATAAAATATCTAATTTTGGTTAGCGCCAGTCTGTTGAAAAGTCTGATGCCTTAAAAAGGCTAAAACATGCCAAAGAAAGAGCAGAACATTCAGAACTAAAAGGAGTAAAGAAACATAATGCAGATGTTATGAAAATGAAATACAAATATGAACTATTTTTTCAGTCTGTTCAGTGTTTCTACTCAAAGCATTCAGAATCTCAAAATATGAGCTTGGTATATTGACTAGATGACCGTGAAAAAAATCCTGCGTATGTCTATCTATGATTAACTGATTGCCTGGCTCCAAGAATAGCCTTCATTCTTTTTATCTTTTGGCGCTTCTGTTTGAACCGGAAGTCCAGAACCCCAAAGATATTATTTGAACAATGTGAATCATAAGCATCAATTTTTTTTGGTAAAAATCATACAAAGTACTTTTGGTAAAAATCATACGAAGTACAGTTACATAACATACAAAGAACATAAATACACAGGACAAAGTTAAAATACTGACCACAGTATTTTTTTCTTGAATAATAAAATTTATACCTGTAAATGAAGGCACTCTCTTTCCAATGCAAGTTTTGCAACTAAGTCAGTGATAGTTTTAGTTTTAATGCCAATATCTTTTGCTGCGGACATCTTCAGTTGGTTGGCTTTGCACAGTGAATTCTCTAAAGTGTCTACTCGACCTCTCAGAAATGACAACTCTTCACTAAGCTCTAAGTTAGTGTCTGTCAGCAATGTACATTTTGATTCAGCATTCTCAGCTCTGGTTTCAGCTTTCAAATATTTTTCCTTTAGATCATCAATCACCTGCTCCATATCAGACATTGAAGACTTAAATATACTGTGCCGTTCGACAATAGCCTCAATCGATGCTTTTGCATGCAGTAACTGAGTTTCTGACTCCTTAAGCTTCTCCTCCAGTAAGCCAGCCCTATCTGACCCCTGACTTTTGAGGGATTTTAGCTCCTCATCGAGTTGTATATTAGCGTGAGAAAGTTGTTTGCACTTTGCTTCAGCATTCTGTGTTCTACTTTCTGCTCTGAAAACAGCATCTTTAATATCATTAACAATATTTTCGAATGTGCTCATCTCATCTTCGCCGACTTCATTTTCTCCTGTTGATGCAATTGTCAATGGCAATCCAGACTTAGATTCCCTCAGCCATTCCTCTAGTTGCTGAATTTTATCCTGCAAAGTCAAGAACTCAGAGTCCGGTTGGGCTTGAGTCGGCATCACTTCCTTTTCACTGTCTTGTTTCATCTTCTCTAGAGTGCTATTAGAACCATTCGATTCTGTCAAGCTTTGCTCTAACTTTGATTTAAGGTCACCTTCCCGACGAATTGATGCACTTAGGTGGAACTGTATTGTATTAACTTTACCGATAAGTTCCTTTGACGCTCCAAGAAACAATTCAGATGCATTTTCAGCTGCAAACATTCTTTCAGAGATCGCTTCAACAGATTCCTCCAAGAAATACGATTCATGTTCTACATGATGCAGCTTAAGCTTGAGCTCTTCCACAACGGACTCCGAATCATGTAACTTCTTTCCGAGATCCAGTTCACTTGCTATTGACTGATTTAACAGCTGCAGAGTATTTCTTTGTTCCTCGGCAGGCATGGCTGAGCGAGATGAACCATGACCATTTTCGTATCCACCATCTTCACTAGTTCCTGTACAAATGCAATTGTCAGGAAAAAAAAACATACAGCAAACAGCTAGCACTAGTAGCACCAGACTAACATGAGCATACCAGAGTTGTCCTGAGAAGGGTCTATGACATTCACAAAGTTTGCCGATTGTCTTCTAATAGCAGAAATAAGGTCCTGCATCTGGTTCAAAGACACGGCTGCATCTCGGAGCTTGCTGTTCACCTCACTCACCGGATCTTCATCAGAAGCCATCATCTTTCCACCATTCCCGATATCCACTTCAATGGAATCAACTAATTTCTCCAACTCCTTGACCTCTGAATCTAGGATACAATGCAAGAGGTCGAATTCAGAAACCCTCTGAACCGACTCGGCCGATATCGACTCTGCATCCAGCACGAGGGGCTCGATCTCAGTTGCGCGATGGGCGATCTCCATCAGCAGCATCTCCAAATTCAGCAGCTTCTCCGAGCCAAATGCGACCCCGAGGTCCACCGTTGTCTGAATCTCCGCGATACTCCCTCCATTCCTGTCGTCGTCTCCACCTGACAGCAGGATGTCATCACCATCCTGGATGCTCTCGGTATCCATATGATTCTTGCTTTCTTTTTGGTCTTCAATGTTGCCTGTTTGCACATCGTGTAAGCGAAGAAACAAGGGAGAAAACATGATAAAAAATGAGAGACACGTATGAAATGGAATAGATGGAAAGAACTCAAAAGGGAAGTAGGAAATGAAAGAAAAAAAAAAGGGAAACTCGGAGGAGCAAATTCGTCGTTAGCCCCCAGTGCATCGAGAACTCGAACCACGCGCATCGCCATCATCACAACGCGCAGCTCGGGCGAGCCACACAGACCGACCACTCGGCGGCGGTGGCGGCGACCGATCGTGAGCTAGGTAGGGCGGGAGATGGGAGGAGCGGGGAATCGAGGAGGATCCTTACCCGGCGCGAGCGCGGGTTGGCGTCGCGATCACCGGGAGAGAGAGAGAGAGAGAGAGAGAGGGAGAAGGGGGGGGATCGAGGGTCGAGGGATTTTGCGGGATTGATTTGTGCGAGAGCGAGGCGAGGCTGGAGGCGAAGGTTTTGGTTACCGTTTCTCGCTGATTCGTCGGGAGCGGGGCCGTGTGGCGGAGGCGGAGGCGGAGCAGCGCCACGAGCCACGAGGTGGTGATGTGGCCGGCGTGGGTTGGGCAGAGGCCGGTCGGCCACGCAAGCAGCACAGGTGGCATCGCCACGACAAAAGATGAAAAAGGTTCCGTCTACGATTTTGGTGCTTAGTAAAAAAAACTCAACGGGATATCTTTGTCCATATTAATTGTTCTCTGAGTTTTTTTTTAGAAAGGGAGTCCGTAACGGAAACGTTTTGTTCTCTAAGTTTTTTTTAAAGGAGTACGTAACGGAAACGTGAGGATGCCTTTATCCATATTCATTGTTCTAGAAGAAGAGGTTGAGTTTTTTTTTTTGACAGAGGGAATACGTAACAGAAACGTAAAAATGACGAACCTCACGATTCCATTCAACACTGTGTAACCTTCGTTCAAAATAAATAAATCTATAAGAAAATACGATCCACCGTAATATTACAACGATCCACCGTAATATTACAAATCTAGATTTATTTAGATTTATATTATTAGCATATATCACGCTCTGTATTATATTTATTTATTTTAAGATAGAGAAAATATATAAGGATTTGCAACACCGTGCGGTAAAAGACGAAGAGAGTAGATCACAGTTTGCATAGTAACCGTGCAGTTCCCACGATAATGTTGGGGTGACAGTAACCCATCCAAAACAGCTTGATGAAGCTATAATCTTAGTGCAAAGCAAACGAAATTACGAAACGGTAGAAATGGGCAGATGCTATAGTAGTAGCTTGCAACGGCTCAATGCATTCAAAAAACAGAGCAAATGGCAGCAGGATCGCGAGCTCCAATCGAGGTTCGCAATATTTTTTGTAACCCGACCTAACAAAGGGTGATGACCGATGACAATATACTCCCACGCCATATACCATTTCCTACGCCAGAGCAAGGCATTCAGCCAACAAGGGCAAAAAAATTACAGCAAAGTTCCACCAGGATGGCACATGCCTACGCTGGCAATATTCTCGGGGTATCCTCCACAATGTTCATGTTTTCCGGGGGAAACAAACCTCTTCCACACCAAAAAAGAAAATTCCAAATTCCAATCAAAGAGACATCCTCCACCACAATGTTCATGTTTTTCCACCACTATATGATTTCGACATCCTTCCTCTCCCAAGACCAACCTACACATGCCAGAAATATTGCAAGGATGAAACCGAAGACCAGCTTGACCCGATAGACCGACCGACCGATAGACTCCCCTGAGACATCCTTTGACAAAACCCCATGGAAACAATGCAAATGCCTTACAGCAAAGCCATTGGCTCCTGAAACATTCAGAGGAGGTTTAGAGAAACTGAAATAAACAAATAATATAGCAGTTTTGCAAATATTCTAGACAAGGTACTACCAAAAGGAGATATTCAAGGAACAAATAAGTAATTGGCATGTCTGCACTACAACAAAGCAAAGCATTCAGGATCAAGATAACTGCTTATCATGATTCTAGCTAATACAAGACCCACCAAACAAGCATTTCCCTGCAATCTGCATATAAAGGAATCACGAATGGAAAATATGTTCTCAATTTTATTAAATAGTAGCCTCTATACTTTGGTTATTGCAACTCGCTTACATCCTAGATAATTGCTTGCATTGAACTGTGTCCATATGCTTTTCAGTAAGTTACATCCATCCCAAGTCATGGAATATGTACTTGCAGAACAATCATGAGTAAGATTCTCGCTAGGAGAGTTTAGAACATGATCTTGAATTTGCAATATTTGGATTCTGATTCACATTTGGACGGTGTTTCCTAAGGCTCATGATTGACACCACAATAATAATGGACAAAAACTAGAACATACTAGAATAAGTTCCAATGTTCATCACTAAGACATATGTCAGGCTTGGAGGGGTTGTTTTATTTTTGCATCACCATATTTCTCAGGAAAAAAAGTTCCTATCAACAAATTATGGATGTACTTCTGCCTGCAAGTGACATGAAGCATAATAACTAAATAATATTTCACATTATGTTTCAGACTGCCATTTAATTAAATCCTAATGGCAATTTAGTACTATATTTCCCAACCCATGTCTGAACACATAGCACTCAATTTTCATACAAAATTTTGATTATTGAGGCAACTAAACTAAACATAAAAATTTGGATGCAAGGCCTAATGTCAGTGCAGTTTAAAATGTGAAGTAATAATAGAACGTTTATGGCTTTAGTTATGCTCCAAGATGATACAGAAAACTTGATAAAGAGTTCTTTACACCCTAACCAAAAAGAATTGTTAAGTGTGGGCCCAGGTGTCCTGTGTGGAAGGGGTATGCCAGGGATAACAAACTCATAGTTTAACTCACAGGAACTCCCACCTACATAGTTGTCAGTTATTGTGAATTCTGATACTATCTGGGTATTTAATCCAATATGTGACCAATTCTACTTTGTGACTCAAAAAAAAAAACACTTTGGTGCAACATAAATCATGGGATACTAAGATAACATAATCTATTGAATGAATAGGTAAGACAGAAGCTATTAATGGGCCTAGCCACAATGTGCATAATAATATCCTTTTCTACACAGAACAAGAGGCATCTCTATTATACAGTTGAAGCACCAAACTAAGAAAAAAAAGTTGTACAAAGGACAACATTGCAGTTTATAGGATCATCAAACTGAGATTTTGTTGCATGTGTCCAATGGAAAGTTCACTTACAGCTAATATTAGAATTTATAGATGAAAAACTTCCATGTTTTCAAGACAACAAATGAAAATGCATTGGATTGACTCGATGCAATAAATGGGAAGGAACTGAGAGGTTGTTTACCTAGACAATGTTGGTATTGTAAGCTGCACAAAGTTGAATAAGAGCGCCTTTGTTTGCAGGATCCACGTTCTGCTCAATGATAGGACCAAATCTCCCTGGAGATTGCGCAGAAAGAGTAGCCAAGGAGGTGACCAGAAACTGCTTTGGATCATTTACCTCTTTCAACAGATCATCTTCACTCTTTCCAGCATATTGAAGACGTACAAATGAGACAGAATAACCTGATGTCCTCTGACTATCTGCATCAGCACCATCATTCTGATCTTGTTGTGCCCCATCTTGATCCGTTCTGGACAGCAATGCAACAATACTGTCAAGCAATTTGCCCCAAGTTTGGGCTGCTGCACCATCCAACAGCAGTGCAGATTCACAGATCAACTTCGTTGATGCAACTGATGTCAGCTTAACTTCAACAGTCCCTTTGATGAATTTAAGATTGGGAATCCAAAAGCGCTGAAGGATTGTCATGAAAATATTTGGCTGAATTGCATCGACAGAACTGACAAGAACACCTGGTCCATATTTAACCACCACCAAGGACATGAAGACCACAAGAGAATTCACAAACTTCACTGCCTGCCTTGTCTGTAGTCGAGTAAACAAAGCACTCCATATCTCATTTATGTGAGGATTCATGATGTCAAAACTCACATTTTCCACAAGTGTGTTAAGCATGTAGAAGGCAGAATCTTCAGTACTGCTCCGCGAAAGGAGACTGCGGAATATCACTAAGATATTCGGTAGCCTGCCCTCTTGGTTAAGCTCATTTGGAATTTTCCGAAGGAATGCTCTCAGCAACCGAACCAAGGCAGGGACACACGGTGGACGGTCCCAGGTAGCATTACTGAGCAGGACACCAAACAGCTGCATGTAGTTCTGCGAGAGAGGTGGTCGGCTCAAATTGACAAGTTGTGCAAATATCTGGAAAGCATATGGCCAGAACTCTGAGATGTCCTCAACCAATATCCTCTGAAGCACCGGGAAGAGGCTTGCCTCAAACACAGGAAGTAGTGCTGGGTCCTGCTCACCAGCCCGACCAATCACTGCTGCCAGGGCTTCAAACAAGTAATGGTTAAAATCAGGGTTCTTGGGGTTATTGCACACTTCCATAAGAATACCCACAAGGCGAGCAGTAATCTCATGAACAATTTGCCCAGCAATATTAGCAATCCCAAGCACTCTCATCAGGCACTTCATCAGATAGGGGTTCTCATATGATTCAGGAAAACTTAGTGCCTTGGACAGGTTCTGAACAATCGGCTGGGCATATGGGTTGATATCAGCAGCAACATAGCGTGGAGCCCTGGTAATCACATTTGCACTTGGTACTGGTACCATATCCTTGATGATCAGAAGGTTCTCAATAAAGGTCGCAGCATATGAATGGACAACATTTGACTCGTGTATCAGGAACCTTATTACACTTGGAAGCAGTGCCAGTGCAGTGGCTTTGGGGATTTGATCCTTGAATTCCTTCAAGAACCTCAGCACAGTTGCCTTCAGCATTGGTTCAGATTCCCAATCAGGGGCCTGCAGCTCAGGCACGATCACAGATGTAAAGAAGCTCTCCATATCAACCACCGGTGTCCCACCTCCTGTGGCACCAGGCTTCTGCATAAGAGAAATAACAAGGTATATTGCAGCATCCTTCTCTTTCCAGTTGTTCGTCCGATCAGCTGCATATGCAGCCAACATCTGCTGGACCTGTGCTGACACAAGTGCAGCCACCTGCTCCCGGTAGTTTGCCGCAAGCCCCCGCAGCAACCGGCATGCAGCCCGCCTCAGTGTATCCGCATCACTCCCCTCGGCATCACGCCTAACATATTCCACCCAGTTCCCCTCAAACAGCTCCTCATCATCATCCCGTAACCGCAGGTTAGGAATTACAACACTATCGCATATCTGCTTCATTGCATCAGGGCTCCCAAACAGCGCGTGGTGCACGCTCTCAGCAACCGTTGTCAAAAATCTTATTGCGGTCACCGCAAGCTGCCCGCGGGATGGTGAGACAGATGGTGCCATGAGGAGGCCCCAGACCGCCTCAACGAACTCCTTCAGATATCCCCTGAACTCCTCTTCATACTTCTCCATGTACAGCTGCAAGTTGTCACACACGGCGGCGCGGAGCGCATCCGGGGCGCCGTCTGCCTCTATCGCTGGCGGGTAGGAGGTGGTGAGGAACGCACGGAACTCCGTCATCCACTCACGCATGTGGTCCTCGAAGAACTCGGGCAGGTCGATGGAGTTGAGCGAATAGAAGATCTCGCAGCATAGGCGAAGGCACTCAAACACCGGGCGGGATTCAGGCGGGGTGACCGTGGGTGCGGCAGCCTGAAGGCGGCGGGAGGTGGAGAGGAAGACCTCGAGTAGGGCAGCGGCGAAGTTCTCGAGGCAGTACTTGAGGTCGAGGCGGATGGTGTTGCTGTCGAAGGCATTGCGGAAGCGGGAGAAGAGGGAGGCCGCGGCGGCGAGGAGGGAGTTGGTCGCCGGGATGTCCCCGGCGGAGAGGGCGGTGCCGAGGGAGGAGACGATGGAAGGGAGGAGCGACTCCCACCTGGCAGGGAAGTCGGAGGCCGCGGCGGCGGCGAGGGCCTCGGAGAGCTGCGCCTGGATGAGGGGCGGCGCGGTGAGGAGGAGCTGGAGGAGGTTCGCCTTGATGATGGCGCAGTCGGAGGGCGGGAGGTGGTCGGCGTCGTCGTCGCCGCCGCCGTCGGGGGAGGGCTTGGGCCAGCGGCGGCGGAGGAGGTTCTTGAACTGGACGGAGGCGGCGAGCCGCGACTGCGGGTCGTGGCGCGGGGAGGAGGCGAGGCCGAGGAGCGCGAGCCCGAACCCCGGCGAGCACTTGGCCGACTCGATGCTCTGCTCGGCGGCGCGGCGCGCGGCGGCGTCCGGGGAGAGCGACTGCGCGAACCACCCCGACAGGGTGTCGAGCGTCTCCGGCGCCACCTCCATTCCCGCCGCCGCGGCGATCTAGCAGAAGGCGGCTAGGGTTTCGTGGAGATCGGGAGTGGAGGTAGGGTTTTTGAAATTTCTCGTGGGGAAGGAGAGAGAGAGGAGAGAGAAGAAGAAGAAGAAAATGCTTTTGCTTGGTCGGTCGATGCGAGGAAGAGATGGGGAAAGAGGAGAGAGCTGAGCCGTTGGATTTGGGCCGCCCTTCTTGGAGAAGGAAAAAGGCTGGGCCTGTGGGCCCCTGGGATCCTGGGCCCAGCCCACCAAGCTTGCTAGCCCATCTCAGTGAGGTCTTGTGAGTTGTGACGGCTCACCGCCACTCGTTGGGGACGCACCGTCGGAGGCAGCATCGGCACGGGGATCGATTGCGCGATGTGGGATGAAAACGGAGGGGATATAGATAGATAATGCTCGTATCATATTTGTGTTCATATTCTTTACCGATATAAAAACAAATACGGATAGCTCGAATACAGAAACAATACGGATTATCTCAAATACGAACAAAAATCGAATATGATCGGGCACGAATACGGAAACATTTTTTTCTCGGAACACGAAAACCAACTCAACTTCTAATAGAAATAAATATCAACATATATAATTAGCTCATTTTATATAAAATGAAGTATAATTTATAATTTTTTAAAAAAAATTAAATAAAGTATGTATATATTGATGTATTGCATATCAATCACTTTGCAATCAGAAAATTAAATTAAACAACTTTTTTTCAAAAAAAATCCAAGATAAAAAGGGCATTTACTTCCCTCTCGCCCTAGGCCCCCAAAATGGTAGGACCGGCCCTGATTAGGCCCCCATCTTTTTCTCTATTCATCATCAGCCAATGCCAAAATTTAAATTTTAAAGCTTAATTTTGAAGATGAATTTGAAGTTTCTTCATCAAAGTTTATTTTTTAGCATTGGCATTTAAGTCGCTAAGAACATATATATAAAAATTTTACCAACAATTTACTGTATTATTATTTTGCTAATATGCCATATGGCATATTATCCGTATTATCCTTAGGTTCTGCGAAGACAAATGGTTGGGAAATGTAACCCTGCGAGAACAGTACTCGTTCCTCTACAACATTGTCAGGCACAAACATGCAACTATCGAAGATGTCTTTCAAAATGGATATCCCAATTTTCATGGAGAAGGGATCAAATTGGATCGAAGTTAGTCACATGGAACACCTTATCACCACACATCGCTAATATTGGTTTAATTTAGGAGCAAGATGAGTTTCCATGGAAGATGACCCCTAATGGACAGCTCCATATGGAGTCTCATTATCATCTCTAGTTTATAGTGACATCTCGAATATAAATAGACGCCCTTGGAAACTAAATATGCCATTGAAGGTTAAGATTTTCCTTTGGTACCTTCATCGTAAAGTTGTGTTAACCCAAGACAATCTAGCTAAACATAATTAGCAAGGCGATCAAAACTGTTGTTTATGTAATAATAAGGATACAATTAAACACATTTTCTTTGAATGCCTCTTAGCCCATTTAGTTTGGTCCATCATTTTTGTGGCGTCAAGAATTACTCCACCCGATAGTGTTTCACAAGTGGTCACTAGTTGGCTTTCGGGTTTTCAAAAAGATATGTAACCATATGTCCTGTTAGGGGCGACTGCCACATGCTAGTTGCTTTGGTTACGTAAGAACTATATAGTTTTTGATAGAAAAGTTATTTATCACACATACATGTCATATTTGTAACTATCCATTGGATGCACACCTAGGTTATTCTTAAAAAGCCGAGCTCGTGGGATTTGGTTATTGCGACGTGTCTACACTTGGAGCGGGTGGTCAATGAGTGTTTTAACTAGGGACATAGGTGGTGATCTAGTCTTAGGATGATGGTCCTTGATGCTTCTTGTACTTAATTTCTTTTAAATTGGTTCATATGTGTTTAGTTGTGTGGATCCTTGGGATGCAGAGGCTGGGAGTGTTACTTAGCGTAGTAATATCACCTTGATATAATTGACCGAGTTCAATAAAAGATTCCATTGTCAAAAAAAAGCAACCAGTTACCATGACTATGCACCCGACACCTGGCTTCTCGCTAATGACATGTGATTGGGAGAAATGCGTGGTGGCCCAAAGACTTGGCACATATGCATGCAACCAACTAATTTTTGACCACAAAGCTCCTGCGGTCCTAGGCCATCGCCTTACACTATTTAAAGCAATCACATCCCACTTTCATAATAGCAAGCAGCTCATCAACCTAGGTTAGCTACTTCTTGTTGCATTGAATCATCCATCATCAAATCATTGGGATATATATTCCACGATGGCCAAGGTAATCACACTAATCCTTGTCGTTATTACAGTGTCAACCATGCTAGCCTCACCTGTGGAATGCACCAAGATTCCTGGTGCCTTTCCTATTGGAATGTCTCCATACAACTTTACGACAATGATAGATATCTTCAAAGTGGCCATGTTAGTGCCAACGGAGGATTGCACCTCCAATGTTGAGATGTGCATAAGTGAGACATGCTCCTACATCAGAAAAGCCCTCGATGGTGTTGTTGATGCTGCCCCACCAGCAAAACAGGCGGAAACTAAGGAGGCCACGGCCAAGATGGCTGGGATTGCTGCTACTATGCTCGACACAGCCATGGCTTCAGGAGAAAAGAGACAAGTTGCCGCAGTTTCCATTGCCTTCATGCTTGCTGCTGATGCGATTGACGCATCCGCACCTGCTGACAAGTTTAGAGTAATGGATGAAACATTCAAAGCAGCCGCTTCTCCTATCGCTTGAGCAAGCAACACCTCGTCTTATCCATCCATCAATAAAATTAGCATATGCTACCACAACCACCACCAGATGTACTGAGTGGCATCACGATACTTCATGTAATAGCCGGGTTTTTCCCTATAGTCTTAGTCATGCTAATGACTTGGTCACACTGGCTCGAAGCGGCGTTGATCGAGCCATATGGCTAGATAAGACCTACTGATATGTTGAATTTTCTCTTTTGCTTTGTATAGCAATTTATGAATGGAATATTTAATGGCCAATATTAAGTCATATGCATATGCATCATTAAGAGTTAGACTAAACCTTGTGAGAGTGGGTTAAGTCAAATGTGGTTCATGCATGCCATGTGTTTGTGCAAAATCACACCAAGGTATTGTATGATTCCTACCCACGAGTGGGACTTGTGATGACCGTAAAGTGTTTGTGCAAAACCACACTCACAATCAAAACAGAAGGCATCTCTCAATTAGCTGTCAATGTCACTATCAGGCTGAGACCCCTAAAGAGATGTCTTGTTCTTCAAAAGCTAAAGCAAATTGTAAAATCAAATCAGTAAACAAACATTCAGTGACACAAACTCAAAGCAAACTCGCTTGAGTAGAGTGTTGTACCATGTACCGCAGGCACAGGTGTCCCAGCACTCAGATAGTGATTTTAGTGGAGTATCACATAAGCCAACATTTATAGTTTTTCCATACTTCGCGGCATCAGCGCCGGTAGTATGAACTTTAAGCAAATGCAGTGTAGTGTGCTGATACTGACTTTATCGTAGCAGACTATGCAGTGTCCTTTTTTTTCACCAGCTGGGTGCAGTGGCACGTAGCTGCCCATCCCATCTATCCATGGTAGACTGTGCATCAACATGTTACAATCAGTCAAAACAATAAGATTACAGTAAAAATGCAATTACGAGAAACACATGCATAACTTACATCAATTCTTTCGCTGTCTTTTTTTGCCTGCACCTTTTTCACAGTCCTTTCCAGTCATATCTTCTGCATCTTCACAGTTCTTTCCGGTCATACCTTCACAGGTGGAATTCTAGAAAAACAGAGTATACTACTATACTAAAGACAGGACGTAGTACTGACGGAGAAAAATAGTTACAGTTAGGCTTGTTTGGATTAATGTCGTGCCAAAATTTTTATAGTACTAAATCTTAAATAAGTTTTAATACTGTCGAATTTTTAATAGGTTAGTGATATCTCAACTATATTGACATCTACTGCAGTACTGACAACAAAAAATGAAAGGGCAAAATTTTACATCAATGCAAATATTATCCGCTAGTACTCCTATAGTCATATGCTAGTTCTCCCTCCATTTTTAGGATTCAAAATTTATTCTCAAAAACTTGTCACTTTATATTTTTTTACCATCAATTAACTTTAATTCAAAATTTTCTTCATCATACCACTAACTACCCACCCTCTCACATACAATCCTACATTATTTAATAGGGGCACTGATTTATTTCTTACTAAATTTTAAACTTTAATAAACCTTAAACTTTGCTAAATACTTTCTCTGTCAAATTATAATGAACCCAATTTTTTTTAGAAAAATCAAACTCAATAAATTTTTAACTAATGATCATATTAATCATATCATGTAATGCTAATTTTATATCATTTGGAAACATAACATACAATAAATTAATGGTCAAAATATATCATTGAAAATAGTGTAAAAATAAGTATTATAATTTTGGAATGGTGGCATGTACCAAATAGGATTAGTGAAGTATGGCAAAATTTGAAATCATATACTCATCAGCATCATACAACTAAACAGGAAAAAATATATTAGTAGTAGTACACACTAGCCTTTTTCTTTGGTCGCGCTGATGCAGCCAGTCGTTTATGCGTTTGACACATATTTTACATATCACTAAAACATCGGCATGCCGTTGGCATGCTTGCTACTCAACCTATATATACTTACCACTAGAAAATACTAAATGATAAAATTGGTGTGCTCACTATTTAAAATATGTATATACTTCTTTTCTTATTTGAAATTTTAGAGTTTTTATAAAATATTTTAAAAAGAAAATTGCGAACCACTATTTTAGTTTGACAATATTTATTATGTATAGAAGTGAAAAATATATTTGTCATAAAAAATATAAAAATATAGAACTTGTATGTCATGTCAAGTAAAAGTACAAAATTTAATCTGTCATTTTATACATAAGTTTTAATAAAATCTAAACAAGTAAATTTTGAGATTTGTCAAAATTAATTAGTTCCAATATATTTGTTTGTGGATTTGAATATTTGAAAGATCAATCATTTAGTATATTCAGAGTTTTTTTAAAAAATATCTTGTCTAACAAAAAAACACAATCGTTTTTTTGGCTGAGGTATTAATGATCTTATTTCATGACATAAGAAGACAAGGTTGCCTTCTTTCTTTGTTTGTTTTCGATTTTTTTTTGCATAATAATGTCGAGTTTACTTATATATTCTATAGTTATATGAGTAGTACCGAGTAGGCGTAGTATATTTAAAGAAGAAAATGAATGTAAATTAGTTGTTTTAGATTTGTTTGTTTCTTAATAATTTTGGGATTACTATATATTCTAAAGTTATAGGAGTAATATCGAGTAGGCGTGGTATATTTATACAAGGCAAAGGAGTACAAGTTCGTGTGATTGGAAAGGAAAGATAGTTTCGGAAGCCTCTGAAAGCCTCTGAAATCCATATGTGATACTTTTCTCTAGATTTTTCTCACATATGATTGTTAGGTTTTTTTTTTCTCTACTATAAATTTATGATTTTTCTTCAAAGTAAGAGGTGCCACGTGGACCAATCAAAAGCTAGCAAAAGAGCTAGCTTTAGATTATTACTCCCTCCGTTTCAGGTTGTAATACGTTTTGACTTTAGTCAAAGTCAAACTACTTTAAGTTTGACCAAATTTGTAGAAAAAAGTAGTAACATTTTAGACCCAAGACAAATTTATTATGAAAATATATTCTGTCAGGGTTATGGATACCATATACCCAATAGTAATTGACTAAGCTAGGCGGGGCCAACCATATACCAAGTCCTATACGAAATCATACCTCATATATAGAAGGAGTTCCGGATAAGGGAGGATGAGTAGAGTTCCATATGGAAACTACAAGGAATATTTGGATTTTATCTATATTGGTCTCCCTAGTTCTACTTGGACAAGGAGATATCTATGGGTATAAGTACAAGACCCCATAGGAGGAGAGAAGGGACAACATATCAACGCACAAGCCAAGACAAGCCAAACATCGATATCAGAGATAAGCCTAAATAAACCCTATCTGGTGCCTGCGGAGGTCGACAAGAGGGATCTAGCGCCATCTCTGATCTCGGCGAGTTTATATTCGAGGAGGAAAACTATCCTGTCGTCGACTATGTGTTGGTTATCTATGCCGCCAAGTCAACGACATCTAGATGGGTTATCCCAAATATTGTACTTGTATGATTCTGATGAATATAGAGTAACACCGGCTTCGGCCAACAGGAGTAGGGTTGTAACCTTCCTGTGAAGGGGTCCGAACATGTATAAAATCCTTGTCTCTGTCGCTTTTGACTCAATCTCGCATATACCCTGGTACTGACGATCCCCATACCATGCAAATACCGTATTCGTCTAGTCGAGACCTCAAAAGTCGACGTATTCAATTATTGATTTGATGAAACTAATTTAGTATTATAAATATTATAGCACCCTCTCTCTTTCCCCTCTTCTCTCCCTTCTTCCTTTCTCTCTCTCTCACTTCTCGTCTTATAGGCAAGTCGGCCGGCAGGGCGAGGGCGCGAGGCGGGAGAGGAGGAGGTCTGGCGGTTGGCGACGGGCGACGCAGTCACGTAGCGGCGGCAGCGCGGGAGCAGGCGCCTCGTGCAGAGTCTTCGTCGCGGCGGCACTCCTGATCGCAGTCAACTTCCGAGGAGTCCCTGTGGTGGGAGGAGGAGTCACGATTCGCGAGGAGGGTTGGATAGGGGAGGGGCGGAGGATCACGTGGAGCAAGTCGAGGGTGGAGCAGCGCTGATCGGTGACTATGGCTTGATGGAACTTGGGTATCTCCATGCCATCAGCGGTGCGATTCATGGTGGCGGCGGCGGGATTCGTGGAGGAGAGGGGACTGGGACCCGAAGCGCCACTGCGACGACAACTCTGCACGCCGCCCGGCCCTACCCCTGCCGCTGCTGCACGACAACGACTCAGGGCCCCTCCCGTCAGCCCTATCCCTGCCGCTGACACCGCCATGACCGCCGGAAGAGGCAAGAAGGTAAGGTCGGAGGAGAGGCTCATGGCTCCCCACCGACTTGCCGTCCCGGGGACACCACCGCCCATGCTAGAGCCATCTTGGACCACGACATCGTCGACCCTTCTCCCAAGTTGTTGCCACCGCCGTATTGCCGTCGCCGGCCGCCGACACCCTCCTCCATGCCTACGGCCTCTGCAACCGATGTCTCCCTTTCTTCCGCGTCGCCGCTGCATCGCCTGTCGCCGGCCACCGACGCCCTCCTCCTCTCCTGCCTCTCCCCGCGGCCGACTTGCCCAGAGAAGTGAGAGAGAGACTGAGAGGAGGAAGGGAGATAAGAGGGGAGAGAAGAAGGGAAAGAGAGGGTGTTGATGTGGAAATACTGACATGTGGGGCCCACGTGGGTCCCACGCTGACTCAACTGCCACATTAGACAAAACTAGGGGCAAAACCACCTAAGGACCTAGAGTGATCCGGTTTTGTAAGTTAGGGATGATATATATCTATTTTGCGGTTGGAGGATGATTTTGTAATTCGATGACAAGATGAGGACCTCATATATACTTTTTCCTTCCAACAATAATAAAAGATGATTCAAAGTCCGATCAGTGACGTATCAGGTTAAAAAGGTCAGCAAATTTGCAGGGCATTCTGTGATACATCATTCAAACAGAAAAGACAAAAACATGCGAGTTCATTGTGTTTATTTTAAGAAGATAAAGAAAATATTAGGATCGACTTTGTAATCTTATATACTATAGTTTATTCTTATTAAGTGTAGTTAATACATTATTTATCTCTTCTCTCATTAAGCTATATTCCCCTAATTATTTCTAGCCTTTGGATGATAGAGCTATGGTCCAAATTGTCTCTTCTTTCTTCTATCTTAAAACATGCAATCTTAATTATTTTTAGACTCAAAATTGTATCAAATTATTTTCATTTTGATAATCAAATTACATTTGTACATATTATGCAACGTAATTTTTCGCAGCAACGCGGCGGGATATTCATCTAGTTTAACAAGAAAATAGGCACCCAAATTCAACTTGATAAAACTTTTGGTCTAGGTGTACACCCACACTAGCTATCGACCAACTAAGCTGGCTTAGTTCCTTACACAAGAGACAGCAGAAATTAGGAACGGTGCACAGGTACGCAATGTTTGGTCGCTGCTTGTCAAAGTGGCTTCATCAACATGCTTAATTGGGTGATTGTGAAACTTTTACTGCACATTGGTGATGGCCAAACTACACCTGAATATGATGGACCGCTAGCATGCAGCTCGCTTCCGAGCTCTTTTTCCCAACACACATCGAAACTAGCAAGCAATCTAAACGCAGAAAACCGTTTCCTAGTACCTAAACTCCCAATGCAAGCTGAAGAACAAACAAAAGAATTGCAAGACATCATCTAATTAGTTGACCCTTATAGACAATGCCAGATGAGACGATAGAATGTGCACCAGGCTGGGAAAACAAAGAGAAGATGAAGAGTTGTGACGAATGCCATTCATTTGGTGAAACAAAACCCCATCCCGAATAAGAATTTTTTTGCGTGTCTGCTTGCAAAAAAGACAGATTACCAACGTGAATAAACATTATCAGCAAGAAAATTGTGCAAACAGCCTTCAGATATATGCAATCAGCAAACTGAAGATTCCTGAACTTGCAAGCCCAACATAAGTTTGGTGCAGGAAATCTACAGCCGAATCGAACTTGCCAAAGCATTTGAAAGCAAACACTACAGAATCTTCCTCGCTTCTAGAGACCGAAGTGACGCAATAGCCTACCGCATCAAGAACTCATCACACAGCACACATCGAAACGCTAAGAACCAGCCACAGAAATAGATTGCCATTACCACCCCCAATCCCGACAATTAAATTGAATTTGCGATTCAAAAAAAAAAAAGGACACACCGATCCGGATACCACCCCCCACCCCCACACACAAACCACCTTGCTTCACAAACTCTCAACCGAAAAACCGGCCGCAGAGAAGACGACGACGAACTAACCAGAGAGCCACGCCTCCTGCTGCTGCTGTGCCCACCTCCCGCGCTGCGGTCGCCGGCTGACGCGCGCAAACTCCAGCCGCGCTTCCATCGACGCGACGAGTCCTGCAATGCTAGATGTCATTACTCGCGAGAACGCAATATTCTCAGGAAGAGAAGGTGAAGGAGAGGGGGAATCGTACTGGCTGTCGTCCCGCCCCGCGGTCGCCGCCGCCGCGGCGGGGGCGGGGGTGCGCGCCCGCCCGCTGCTCCCTTGTTCGCCTCCGCGCCCCGCGGCATCCTGTGGATATGCCGATCAAACCGCGAGAACTAGATTCTCATAGACAGAGAAGACGACGACGTCGACGAAGGAGAGCGAAGACGTACAGGACGTCGTCGGCCGCGGCGTCCGCTGTCGCCGCCGTCGATCGGGCGCGCGCCGCCTTCCCCTCCGCCGCCGCCGCCGCCGGCATCCTACTCCTCGTGCCGCGCGCGTGCAGCGTTGCAGGAGCGAATCGTGATTTGAGTTGTTTCTGAGAGAGCGGGGGAGGAGAGAATCTTCCAGAAACGAGGCGGGGGTTTAAGCTTGTTCACAAGTATTAAGAAAAGGTGCAAAAAGACCATACTACCCTCAATGATTATTCCTGTACTAAAACTCAGTGGTGGCGGTCTGTTTGCTGCCATCAAACTCACACGTGCATTTCAAACACATTGGCGCCAGAAAGCTGGTTAAACACAGTAAAAACCCACTCACACGCAAATTAAATTTTAAACTGGTAGGCGGCAAAAGCACATACGGCAATACAAACTAGTACTCTATTCTTTTCTTCTTTTTCACTGATAACTATGCTGAGGGGTAGAATCGATAGATTTCTGGTAAAAGTTGTACTAGGTTGTAACATTTGGGACAAATTTTGAATGCCAAAACTTGTTACATATTGGGACGGAGGGAGTAGCTACTAATAAGCTTCCGTGTGGCGTAAGCACCAAGCCACCAGAAGATGTTGTTTAGTCTAATAATCACTTAGTAGACTTAATCTAGTGATTAGTTTCATTAATACAGACTATATTAGAGGCAAAATGAACCTTCCAACCTTATCATATCTAACGAAAGAGTAAGAATGGTTGATGACTGATGGTGATAATACTAGTATTACATACTCCCCCGGCTCGTCCTTGCATATTAACTTAATTTGTTACTCCGTCTCTCATAATACACATTCTCGCTAACTTATTTTATAATATTCTATTAACGATCATAAAATTTACAAATTATTTTTTCTTTGCAAATATGTTGTTTGGTTTATTTCATGATGATGAATAAACCAAACGATTGGACCGTATATGTGAGGATATTAAACATATTATTTTCAATGTGATAGAGCTATATAGAAGTGTGGATAAATATGTGAATTTGAAACAAAATTGAGAATATTGCCAATATTGATCAATCGGGTTTTGTTTTACTAGAAGACAATCGTTTTACTAGAAGACAATCATGAGAGGAGGTAACCACACCTCAATGATTTGAAATTTGCTGAAATTGTTTCGATAGGGGAATACGGTATATTTGGTGGGAAAGGAGGCAAATGGTGAATGTTGAAATGATTCAAATGGCTACTAGATCAGCTATATCTATTATTACTCTTGCACTAAATTATAAAATGGCAAGCAAAAAACAGATACAAAACCACATGAAGGATGGCATAAACCACCTCCTACAGGAAGAAACTCTCAAGGTAAATGTAGATGCTTTGTTTTTGACATTCTTTCGAGTACAGAGGAGCCAGAGCATACGAGATGCGCAAGGAAATTTTGTAATTGGTTCTTTCAGGTACTTACCCCATGTTGTTGATGGGGAGATAAGCCTACGCCCTCAAGGAAGGAGAGGAAAAGAGAAGATTGAGAAAATACGTAAAACGAGGTGAGCCATTAGCATATGATTAATTAAGTATTAACTATTTTAAATTTTAAAAATGGATCAATATGATATTTTAAAACAACTTTCTTATAGAAATTTTTTGCAGAAAACACACTGTTTAGTACTCCCTCCGTCCCAATATGTAACAAGTTTTGGCATTCAAAATTTGTCCCAAATGTTACAACCTAGTACAACTTTTACCAGAAATCTACCAATTCTACCCCTCAGCATAGTTATCAGTGAAAGAGAAGAAAAGAATAGAGTACTAGTTTGTATTGCCGTATGTGCTTTTGCCGCCTACCAGTTTAAAATTTAATACTTGTCCACGAGCTTAAAACTTGTTACATACTGGGACGGAGGGAGTAATTTGAAAAGCATGCGCGTGGAAAACGAGTCACAATCTTCCCTATCTCTCCCTTGAAAGAACGCAGCCACACTTCCAAGTGGTGGAAACAATGCGGCTTTTCGTCAACAAATTTATATGAATGCAATATTTTGACGTGATTTTGCAAGTCTCTGTTGAGCGCTTCGCCGGGAAGCCAAATTTTTTGGCACATGTTCTATCTAAACATACATCTAATTTGATTTGAAGAGTTCTTGTATTGATGAGCCCCTTATTTTACTGAACGTTCTGTGTTTTCATATCAATAAAAGTGTGCAAAATGGCTTTCTAAAAACATGGTCCAGAGTTAAATTTAATAGGAGCATTACTCAATTATATCTGTTTCTTGTGCTATGTTACGTAGACAGTTTCTATTGATATCTCGCCCACGTTAAAAGGAAAAAAAACTCCCTCATTTATTGCATATACCGCTTTCCAAACTGATCAACAGTGTATTTAAAAAAGAGATAATCCATGAAATGCCATTGACAAGCGTCTAAGTCCTAGAAATGCCATTGACAAATGTGAGTTCCAAGAAATGCCATCGTACAAACGATTTTGTCCCAAAAATGCTATCGCCGTTAGGATTCCGTCCATTCCGTGCCGTTAAACACACTGTTCATCCTATAGAACTTAACGGCGTGAAATGAACGGAACCCTAACGGCGATAGCATTTTTGGGATAAAATCGTTTGTACGATGGCATTTCTTGGAACTCACACTTGTCGATGGTATTTCTGGGACTTAGACGCTTGTCAATGGCATTTTATGGATTATCTCTTTAAAAAAAACTATAAAACTACTTAAAAATCATGTTAATATATGTTTAAAATTTAAAATAATTAATACTTAATTAATAATGACTAATATCTCACCTCTTACGTGTCTTTTCAATTTTCTCGTTTTCATTCCTCTCACACACACTAAGAAAATAAGAACCGACAAAAACCTGATATGGAAATGGATGAGAGTCACCTCCCCAAAAGGTCACTAGATTGAAAGAACACAGATCACAGATGTGCCTACTGGCCCATGTAGCCCAGCTTCCCCGAGTAACATGCCGAAGTATAAACACCAACTCACTTGAGATACAAACAAAAACACAGAATTAGCAGAAAAGCAGGTGACTTCTTTCCCAACTCATGCATTTGACGAGATGTACTGTTTATGGTTCTGCCACAAGCAATAAACTAAGAACATGGTATTCTCCCCAATAAACAACAAAAAGAGAAAAACTACACCGACCACAAAAGCCTACCATACAACAATGGCAGTTTTAACTTGAGAGCTTTGTCTTCCCCTTGGATCGCTAAGTCAGAATCTGAGCTTTCTTTCTCTGCCTACAAACTTCTTCTATCAACAGCGCTGAAAGGTGGGTGGATGGGTGTCCGTCCAACCGACTGCTTGCTGCTTGTCTGCAACCAGCGAACGAAGTAAAGCTGCCTCTACCGGTGGCGCCCACTCCCCAACTGATTCTACCCTGAGTTCATCACGCGAGACATGGCGGCAATCACCTTCTCCCTCGTTTGCTGTTCGGCGCCAGGGCACTTGATGATGAAAGAATGCACGGCCGTGCCGTTGTTGCTTGTGATCTTCGACTCCCCTGCATGGACTTCTGCCTCTTCGAAAGCTTGGAAGATGGCCCTGACAGGGTGGCTTTCCATGGGGCTCATCACTCGGACTAGAACCTCATCCTGAACCACCTGAATGTCCACCTCAGGTCGAGGCGTCCGATCCCTCGGATCGATCATTCCAGACTCGATAAGCCTTTCTCGCTCTACCTCCATCTCTTTGAGCTTCTTCTGTAGGTCAGTGATGTATGTTATGGCGTCACCAAGGAGGGATGCCTTGTCCATTTTTGATATATTGGGTACAACGGCTCTCAGTGCATAGAATCGCTGGTTGAGCTTCTCCCTCCTCTGGCGCTCGGCCTCAACATGATTTAGTGGCTCTTCCCTCCCGTTTGCAGGCTTTCTTCCCCTCTTTCTAGGCCGCCGGTCTTCTAATGCAGGTGGCGGACCTTCGTCTTTACACAAGCCATCCACCTCTGCACCATCCCCATCAATACCAGCTGGTTTTTTAGTCAAAACACCAGGTTTGGAACTGGTCCCAGCACTGAAATCTATTTGCCTGGGAGCTTGAGGCTGCAACTGTTGCTGACTCACTAGTTGCTGTGGCTTTACTAGCTGATGTGATTTCTGGAGCTGTGGTAGTTTCTGAAGTGGTGGTGCTTTCTGAAGCTGAAACTGTGTTGCAGTAGAGCTGTCAACTCCTCCATTGTTGCGCGGTGTGGCTTCATTGCTCACAATCAATATACCGTTGCCAAACTTCTGCTGATGAGAATTCAGGCCCCGAGCCTGACTCCAAGTGAAATTCTGCAAACCTCTTTGGACATTGGGGAGCAATGAGCTCCCACCACCAGTCCTTTGTTCCCACGACCTTTCATCTGCCTCTGACACGCCAGTTCCTGGGCCTGCTGAAGGCCGGCCAAGGTTAAGGTCCTTCCCAAAAATCTTTGCCAAACCTGGTGACTTATCTGTAGGGCCACTCCCCTCGTGTCTCTGAACTCCAGCTTTATTGCCAATTGCCCCAGCAAACACAGATCTTATGGTCTGGAGAGTGTCAGAACTCTCCGCTACCTGTTGCATCGAACCCAGTTCAAGTACACCGGTCTCAAATGGAACTAGCACAATAGTTCTAAATCCTGCAGCATTTGCAAGGTATCCCCGGTAACAGTAATTGGCAGGAAATACGTTACGTTCAGTGTTGGGAATCCACAGGGGCACGCCTGCTGCAAATACTTGACCAGGGCCACCAGCACGGCGTGGAAATGCAAAGTACATAGATGCTAGAAAAAACATCTCTGTGTCTGTCACCTGATCAATGCCTGGGGCATAATCCTCCTCGTCAACACCTCCGAATGCTGAGTGCAATCGCTGCAGCACACGCTTGCGCATCCTCTGTTTGGCCTCGTCACTACCTGCAGAAGCAGCAGGTCCCATCTCACCATCATGAGGCTCACGGCAAGAGCCATCCCCCCATCCAAGGACAAGGTCACCGGACTTTGTGCGCGACAGCTGCCAGAATATGGCATAGTTCCAACCAGCACCAGGACGATCTGATTCGACAAGCTCCTGGAGTCTATTTTGCAAGTCCACTGGCAAAGATGCAGCAACAAGGCCCTCGGATATGGCACCACCTCCTTTTGTCAAGTAAGCAAAAGCATCCGTTCCAAGCACACTGGCGGTGAGCGCTCGGTCCTCGTCAGTCCATGTCCCACCAGTTCCGCCATTGGCACCATCCTCATCAGCCTCCATCTTCATCACCATAATACCTACTCAAGATAGTATATATATCAGGCCAAATATAGCACTAAAAATGCGTAATACTCACAAGAATTGACTGGCTGGACGCCACAAGCACAGTTTTAGACAAATACACAAGCAACAAAATATCATTTGGACTTATGAATAATCGGGTGCTGAACTCAGAATAACAGGAACAAAACTCTCAGTTATCATCCAGCTAAAAACACACTGTGATGAGTGATAAAAAAAATTCACTGCTCTTACGTCAGTACAGATTATATTCGCGGACACATAATCGCTAAATAACCCACTCAAATAACAGAAATCGTCCACAAAGTGTGCAACCAGAATTTATAACTAATCCTGACATTTCATATGGCACCATTTCAACGGATAAAAGACATGGAGGGAAAACACGATTGAATTCTATCCAAACCTGACCCAGCAAAAAGTGATACAACCAGTAATTTTCCTATCTTTTTCACGCTATAGGATACAGCCAAAACACCCGTGCCGATCGCGGCCAATCAGATTCCACCCTAAGCAAACCCTCCTCCCGCCTCAACCCGCCCAGCTCGTCAAACCCCAACCATCCCAAACCCCCATCCATTCCACTGTTTCCGCAACAGCGAGCAGCCACATCATCAACAACAACAACAACAACAAACTAGTACAGTATAGATACGGCAATTCTCACAGTGCAGCAAGGCAGCGGGGGAAAATCTCACCGTGCTGGGGCTCCCGCGCCCGAATCGGCGCCGCGGCCACGGAATCCAGGACGGGCGGGGTCTCCTCCGCGCCCCCCCAAGAAGAAAGAGGCGGGCCCCCCCACCCGCCGCTGGCTGAATCCGAGCACCCTCCCCCCCCCCCGGCGACGGCGACGCCCGGATCTCCCCCCACCCACACCCCACGCGAGCGCGAGGGTCCCCCGAATTCGCCGCGCGCGCAGGAGGCGGAGGCGGAGGCGGAGGCGGTGGTGGTGATGGTGGTGCCTCAGGTTTCTCTGGTTCGCGAGGGGATTTCGGGGGCGGAGGAGGAAGGCGACTTGTGATGTGGAGAGAGAGAAGAAGAGGGGGGGAGAGGTGTGAAAGGAGAACGAGGGTGCCTTTGCCTTTTCTACACCGGTGGGATTGGATCCCGAGCCGAGCCGAGCCGAGCCGGTCCGCGGCTCGTTAGGGGCGGGGGAGCCGGCTCGATCGCCGACCCATGGGCTCTTCTCGGCTTTGCGCGCTGGTGGTTTGTTCATACACAGTGTGGTTGCGTGCTCTACGAGCATTCAAGTCGAGTCGATGGAGAGTGGGAAGCATATGGGTTGATTTGTTAATCGGGTTAAGTTAAAATAGGGGATAATTGATTTATAATATGGTTATTATTATTATTATTAATGGATTCTTTATTCGCTTGTTAATAATTGAGGAGCTAGAAATGGTAACATTTATATCTCATGAGTTTCAACAAATTTAGTCTGTTGAATTTCAAAATCATGGGGCTGGTTCCCCTATTCCAACACACCATCATACTCCCATTGGCACTAGCATGTATAAGATATTTACGAACATTCCTAAAAGTAGCGATGTTGCAGATATAGGATATCGAGCCGCTTTGTGGCGTATGGGAGAGCCGGCTCGCTTCAAGCCATTGTTTATATTTGTTTGGGTCCGCATGTTTTCTTTCACCGATGGATATGGTATTTGTGATATTCATTCAGGCAGGGACATAAATGAATTAATGAGTAGAATTGACCACTGCAGATAATTTAGATGCAATTGGACCCTGCTGCAAAGTGTTGAATGAGCAAGCCAAACTAGTGTTTATTCCCCTTAATTGTAACCTCACGAGCTCCCTGAATTCACCAAGATCGAAGCATGCGCAGGGCTGAGGAGCTGGGGCTGAGGCTAAGGCGGCGTGTTGAGGAGATTTTGAGGAAGGGGAAGGGGAGGAGGAGACAACGCGTGATGTGTGAAGAGGGAAGGTGTGAGAGGAGGACGAAGAGGGTGCCTTGCTTTCTCTACCCCCGGTGGGACTGGAACCTGAGCCGATGGATCCGTGGCTCGTGGGGGTGGAGAAACTAGCTCAATTCAAGCCTTGGACTCTTGTCAGCTCAGGACAATTGGTTTGCTCATATAGTGGCCACGTGCTCTTTGATCATTCGAGGAGACGGAGGTTGAGGAGGGATTGGTCTATTTGTTAATCAGGTTAAGCCACAAGAGGAGATAAGTGATTTATAATGTAGTTTTTTTTACTAGAATGACTTTGGTTTATTAATATTTGTATCCTAATTAGATGGATTCTTCAATCTTATGTTAATATTGAAGGAGCTAGAAATTGTAAAATTTACTGGTGGGTAAATGACAATGTTTTAAATAAATTTAGTTTATGAAATTTCAAAACCAGGGGTTTTCGTATCCATGTCTACCTTCTTCAGTTCTTCCTCCCCTTAGGCACTAATGTGTATAAAAAGGTTGTATTTAAACTTCCCTATGTTTATAAGTGTTGATGGATGTAGGATACCTAATAACCCAAACCACTTCATAGAGCATAGAGGACCGGCTCGCTACAAGCCATAGCTTACCTCTTGCTTACTTTCACCAATGGAAGTAGAATTTGTGATATTTATTAAATTTCAAAACCATGGGGTCTTATGCCCTTCCCCACCCTCTTGCTCGGTTGGCACTAATGGATATAAGAAAGATTTTGTACTTCGTAAGATATTTTTGGACTTTCCCGGATATGGCAATGTGGCGGATATAGTATGCCTAAGCCATTCAATAGCGGTTTGGGGCTTTGGGGGAAGGGGGAAACTCGCTCCAAGCCATTTTGGTATACATTTGTTTGGGACATATTGCTTTCTTTTACCACGACGGATGTGGCATTCGTGACATTTATTTGGGCAGGGACAAAGATGAATTAACACATTAATAGGATTGAGCAATGCAAGTAATTTTAGCTATTAAGATTAAATCTGATTAAGATGCAATTGAATCATGGTTGTAAAGGTAGAATAAGCAAGCCAAACTAGAGTTTCTTCCCCCTCAATTGTAAACTTGGAGAGAAATGCATTTATAGGAACAACTCTAAACTCTCTTTTCAAATTGTGCTCTTTGTTTGCCCATTTGGCTGGCTAGCTAGCCAAAAAGATCCCTCTTCAATTCTCCATATTTTATGTGTGCTCCAACAAGCTCTCCATCTATAGTTTCCACTATGATAGTGGGACCCACATGTTAGTCTCTCTCGCATACTTCCCCTCTGCCTAGTTCTCCTCCATGCCATTTCTCGATCTACCCTCTCCAATGACTACTTCTAGCCTTCTATCACCAATGAGAAGACATCGTCTACATAGACAGCCTTGCAAAGGAGGAGACGGGGATGTAGAGCTTGGGATTTGGAGGACGTCATCGGCCCTATTGACCTCGCTCCGTCCTTCTTAACAACGGGTGGGAAACTATGAAAGAAGGCCACACTAGGAGGCTAGGAGAGGCATCGCCTTAAGTCGGTGGTGATAATGGACGATGACGGAAGATGACGATGTAGTAGTTTGGAGCAAGGCATACTTGGGCTAGGGGAGGGTGGGTAAGGTGGCACTAGGTGCCCGGGGGATGTGGCGCTTGAGTTAGCGATGATGATGGACTACAACAACGGTGGCGCTGGGACAAGGCGAGCTAGAGGAAGTGCGTGTGAGTCACGTCTTCTCGCAAAGGTGATAAAGGAGAGAGAAAGAGAGGATCAGCATGGGACCCATGAATGGCCATTGATTATGGCTGGCAATTTTGAACATCAAAGGGAGGCATTTGGCCAACTGGTTGGCAAGTATTTTGGAGGTTGATTTTTTGATATTTGCTAAAATTTAGCTTGGAGAGCCATCTAGTGAGTCTCTTAGTGTTGCTCTAAGGATTTAATCAAGGAACCTACAATAATTCTATAGTGTAATGAAATCTCAATACCTTGACGAATAAGATTTACACACGTTGGGGGTCTTGTGCTACACCTAAGATAAAAACTTGAATCAAGTATTTCCCCTCCACTAGCATGATCTCTGCTGAGTGGTTTGGATCTTGACACTTCACTGTATAAAGCATCGCTTGTCGACCCAGACTAACCATAATACTCCCTCTTGCCGCTTCCCCCTTCTTCCTTCATTGCCTCCCCTATTTCGTGCGATGCCTTCAAACTCCACCATATATACCGACGAGTCCTATCGGCTTCCTTCGTTACTGCCAATCCTCTCTCTAGCCCTCATACTTTTCATAGGAGACTAGCGACAATAAGATTGTTATGCCCTTGTTACACATGTTTAAGTCGTTTGTGCTCGTCACCTCAACCTCCCCTGCCTCTAGGGGGTGGTGGCGAGGGTTGCTAGTGAAGTTGGGCGTGGTACTATCATGGAACCAAATTTTGGTAACTCGACGAAGGTGAGAAGGGGCACAAATCTTCATGCACATGGAAGGTAACTGTTAATAGCAAGATTTTGTTCTTAAAAAACTATATGTGTATAGGAAACGAAAACATTAGTTGTGTTAGTGTCAAAGCCAAGACCCGGCCACTAGGGACGGTTACCTAGGCCGACCGACTCATGGTAAGAGGCAGAAATATGCGTCGTCAATATCAAACAATACCTAATATCACAAAAATAATCCACAACATATGTGTTCAAAATTCATCGGCACCTGTTCGACAAGTTTTAGATGAACTACCAAAATATTAATCTAGGAATTAGTAGCTTTATAATAAAACATCACATGTGACATGGCTGACGGTTGTGGTTAGAAAATTTTTTATAAAAAAAATACATTTGCCCTGTATGAAAAGCATATCTTCTAGTAGTAGCATAATGTGGTTGGTAGCGTACAAAAAATCTCATATGCTCATATACGCTTCTCTCTTACCTTCACGGCTTTGCTCCAGCCGACACTAAACTTCTAACTTTACATCTGTATACACATCACCAAACTACGGCTATATGCTCTTTCGGTTTCACTTAAAACAAATACACCTCCTTTTTCTTTCTTTTTTTTCCCTTTGCCTGATCACCGCAGAAGATCCTGGCCGCTACGCAAGTCGACCCCTCTCGTCTCCGCCTTCACGTGAACCCACACCGGCTCGGCTCAGCTCAGATCGGCTCCAGCCGTCAGCCGGGGAAGCCTCGGCTCTGGCCCCCCTCCTCCTCCGCGTGAGCGAGCACGTGCGCGGCGCGTGTCGCTGGGGGATCGGGAAGGCGACTCAGGGGGGGCTCGTGACGCCACGTGACCCGTGCGCCCCCGCCCGAGGAGGAGGAGCCCCCCGTTTGTGCTGCACCACGTCCCCGTCCACCCCCAGATCGCACGCGACGCTGACGTGAGGGGACCACGGTTAGGTGGGCCCCACCTCGCAGTCACGCGGAGGCGGGGTAGGGTCGCCGGGTGAGCTGGGGGGCCCATCGGGCGCGTGTGCGCGTGGCGTGACGAGGTGGTGGGAAACGTGAACTCTATTTAAGGAAAAACGTGACACGTTTTCAGGGCACCCCCCTATCCCCGGCGCTAATGCTAATGACTCTGCCCTTCCCTCACTCGTGCCGTGTCCGCCACGGGAGGCTGACGTGTGGGGCCAACGAGGGGGCGGGGTGGTGGGGGCCATGTAGGCGTGACTCAGGCGGGTAGGTTCGTGGGTGCGCCATGACGCGGCTGGCCCCCACCCCGGGTGATTAGAGCAGCTACAATAGCAGACTATCAGCGCTATAAACATATTTTAATAAGATAAAAGATAAGAGAGAAAAGCTGCGGGCTACAGATTTGTAGCCAGCTACAGCATGGACTCTAAAACGCAATATGTATATGATATGTGAGACCATATATTAGGGCACCCGTAATGGTTATCTATAGGCTCTCTAAAAGAGATCTATGTCAGCATATTTTTCTACTTGGAATAAATTAAATAAAGAGAGAGAGTAAAGCTATCTACTAACATGGAGATAGTCTGTAGAGAAAAACGAGGCAATAGAAGAGAGAGCTATAGATACCCATGTAGACATACTATTGAGGTGGTTTACTATTAATCTAGTCTATTACTGAGATGTACATGTTTTATAGAGAGCAACTTACTTTACCATTGCGGGTGCTCTTAATAATATAGTAAGCAAATATTATATGAACTGGCTATTAGATTAGTTATAAGTGAATTGGAACTAAGTATTGGGCTATGCTATTAAACTTGCTCTTATACTGGATGATGATTTATTAGCACCTAATGCATGTGTTAACCCTCCGAAAACAAAGTGGGGGGGGGGGGCGAGTAGGCGACACGAGAAAAGGCGTGCGGGGATTTAGATGTGGGGGCCAACGTGATGGGCGTGCACCTCATGACCGCCCGCCCCACCACGCCGGCGCGCGCCGCCGCCGCCGTCGAGGCTCCGGTGGTGCACGGCAATTGGGAATTATCTGCTTCTTTTCTGTTGTTGTCCGTTTCGTTTTACACGTCATGGGCTCGTCATCTCATGGGTGTGGTGGTGTGTCTCATGTACCGTGCTAACCAGCTATTTGTCTCGTTGAAAGTCTATTGTTGCGCCTTTCATGCGTGGTTACAGTGATAGCTAACTCTGGCTACGATTCTGGATACATACATGTAGGTTCGTTGCTAGAATATATTTTTTTAAGGAGGGGTATGTTTGAGAAGAAGAAAAAACGCAGGTTATTTCATTGTATCGAATTATTAGCATAACGTGATGATTTGGTTATTTTCACCGGGTTAACTGATTTTGGAGAATATGTATAAGTTGTATGTATCTTTGTATTAAGATTTTGAGTAAATTTCATAATACTACAGGTACTTTAGTTAAATCATCACAAAACTACAAATTTAATATGATGTATCACAAACTACAAATTTATAACACTAAATTTATCACATAAGTACAAATATAAGGTGGATTATTACAAAAGGATATCTACAGGTTTTATATCAATTCAATCACAAAGTTTGGACATTATAACTCAAAGATAACGTTAATGCTAAAAATTTCAACCCCAAAATATATTTTAAGATAATTTTATAATAAAATATATGGACAATAAAACTACAAGACAATAAAACTGTAGTTTTATGATAAATTTATTGTTAAGTTTGTAGTTTTGTGATATACCATCTTACATCTATAGTTTTACAATAATTTGGTCAATATATATATAGTTTTGTAAAATTTACTCTAAGATTTTAGAGATTTACAATAAGTTTTGCATAGAATGAAACCGAAAGAAAAAAAGACCTATATCTGGTGGCATTAATTTAGCGGCCAACTACCGAACGTTGAAAACGCTAGCTGGGCAACAATCTCACTCTCACCTCACGTCAACGTGTTATTTTTTTTTAAGCTGTCAAGCTCACCACCTCTCTTTTTCCTTACATTCTCTCGAGGTTCCAAAATGTCTTGTTTTGAATGAAATAAAGAAACGGCTTTGACTATGTTTTTTTTAATATTTTTTCACTTAACTACCTATCTAATGTGGTGCAGCATTTTTGAAAGAGTCAAAACTTGTAGTATATAAATTCATATCTTATACATTAAATTACATACACTTGTAATATAATTTCCAAATTATACAATGTACTATACTCATTTTATGTACGATAAATATGGAAAAACGATTTATTATCTATTTAATTGTGAGAAAAAAATATTAGTTCAAATTAACATATATGTAAAAAACAATATGAAAGAATTAGGGGAAATACTAATATAGTTATGCACATATTGATAAGAGAGAATAATCATATATCATGTAGTGAGAAAAAGGAGACCACAATTGAATGTTGTACTATTAAGCAAAATTGATGTTATTGTTTTTTATTTTTTAGCCAAATCTATCCAACCATAATTAATCAGCCCGTGTTAGCAGAAGCCCATATCATCACACGCCAACATATCATGAGATTATTAGTAGTAGCTAAGTAAACCGACCAATCATATTATGTAGAGACAATAAAATTATAGTGGGCTTAGCATAGCATGGAACTATCGGCTAACGAACAACTCATCTTTAATTATGCCAGAGAAAAAAAGTAAATTATATTTTGTACTATGTATTCTTAAAAGTTTTCATATTATATCATCTTTAACCATTATTTTCTTTGACAACAACTAACTTTACAATTTTGTTTCAACTTGGACCATCCCATTATATCCATCTCCAAGTTCGGTGGCTCTATCGTCACTCCACCTCCAAATCCAATGAATCTGCCACCGCTTCACACACTAACTCTCTCTCCTCTTTTTATTCTTCCCTTTGATTGCGGGAGAACTACCGTATATAGTAAGGAGGAGCCCGAATCTAGCATCTCCACTCTCTACCAGGTCGACTCCTGCCTCCCTGAGTCCCTGTAAGCCTGACACCCCCGGCCTCAATGATGACCATAATAATAGCGTGCATGATGATAAGGAAGGATAAGAGACATATTGTTTGTCACATTTTTCTCTCAGTACTGTTGATATATGGGTCACCAATTATTATAAAAAACTAGCTAAAGGTCTGTGCGTTCAACATATTATATATTATAAGAGATAAAAAGTAAAAGCACAAACTATAAGTTTATAACACAGTTAATTGATTAGGCATACAATGCTATATAAAAAAACAAAAGTATTCACGTGTGAGGATCTTGTGGTCCCACATGATAGCTTGTGATATTGAAGGCGAACTTAGATATCATCATTAGCATCATTTAAAGTACTTCATCTATTTTATATTATATAAGTTGTTTTGACTTTTTTTTAGTAAAATTTATTTAAGTTTGATCGAGTCTATAGGAAAATATAACACAAATCAAACATATTACCAAAATATATTAATCCTAAATTTAACAAAACTAATTTGCTATAGATGGTTGCAAATACCTTTACATATTGCTAAAAGAAAATACCATGGCGTATAAAAGAAAATCTCCCGTCTCGTCTCCTCCGCTCTTGCGCCATCTTGCGGCTGAACAGGGGAGGGGCGCCGACCTCCATCTGGCGAGCAGGGGAGGGGAGGGGATTCTGGTGAGCATCCACATCCTCTTTCTGATTCATCTCTCTCCCACCGGGTGTGCTTTCGTTTGGAATTTGCTTGCGTAAACCCTAGCTTGATTCATCTCTCTCTCCCACCGGGTGTGCTTCCGTTTGGAATTTGCTTGCGTAAACCCTAGCTTCTCTTCTAGATCTGTAAGAAGCTCTTCTCTTAATTCCAGAGCCTTAACCTTAATATACAAGTAACAGTTTGGTTTGTTTGTTCCCCCAAAAGTTTGTGGGTTTAACTGAACCCCCCATGTCCCAAGTTGGATCCGCCCCTGTCTACCCAAGCTGATGAGAGCATAAATTGACCAAAGAGACTTCGATTATAGTTTTTTTTTCTATTTGATCGTGTGTGCATTGAATTTAACTTGTGTAAGGGTACGAATTCTTGATTTTAGTTATATTGGCTTAGACTTTTGAGCCCATCCTCCATTTTTATCCTGGATTCGCCACTGCTGCAGGCTGTGCATTATGTAGCATAGTGGCAGATCACTAATCTTTGTTGCTCTCTTTTCTTGTGTTCAGGCAGGGGAAGACATGGCTTCACGCTCGACGCCTTCGAAGAGGCCGTTTCAAAAGAATTCTTCAGAGCAAAATGGTCGGGGCAAGTGGCAGAAAACAAAGCACAATTCTTTGCAGCAGCCTCAACTGATAGTGCAACCTGGTGTTCCTATTTTCCGCATTCTCTGCCCTACTTCAAAATCTGGGAATGTCATTGGCAAGGGTGGAGGCATCATTGCAAAGATAAGGCAAGAGACTGGAGTAAAAATCAGGGTTGATGAAGTTGTCCCTGGTTGTGACGAGAGGGTTATTGTGATAACTGCCATTGATAAGGACAGAGAAGTTAGTCATGTGCAAACTAAGGAAAACGACGGAGGTGTGGCTTGTTCTGTTGATGGCAACCATGGAATGGAGAAGGACCACACTAAGGAAGAAAAGGATGAAAGTAACAAAGAAATGGATGATTCAGAGAAAGGCCTTGGTAAGGAAGAAAAGGATGATTTAGAAAAAGATCATGATAAGGAGGACAGGGATGAGTCAGGGAAAGACAATGATAAGAAAGCAGATGATTCCTCTGTTGCAAAAGATACAAATTCTGAGCCAGAGGCGCAGCTGGAGCTGGAGAAGGGAATGCCATTAGCCGTGAAGGCCATTTTGCTTGTATTTGACCGGATTTTTGTAAATGAAATGGAAAATGGAACAGGAGATGCATCTGGTGAGAGAAATCATGTTTCATTGAGATTATTGGTGCTAGACAGCCAAGTAGGTTGGCTTTTGGGAAAGAATGGTAGTGTGATTAAGCAAATGTCTACTGACAGCTGTTGTGAAATTCGAGTTTCAAAGGACAAGCTTCCATTATGTGCTTTACCCCGAGATGAACTTTGCCAGGTAATTTTTCAGAATTGGATTTCATTATCTTGTTCTCTACTGGTCCTTTTGTAATATATCTGTTAGATTTTGCATCAGAAAATCATTACATACTCCCTTCATATATCATTTCTTCAGATCACTGGAGAGCTCGACTCAGTCAGGAAAGGTCTGAATACAGTTGCTCAGTTGCTATTTACTCATCCTCCTAAGGAGAGTGATGTTCTTGGTGCTCATAATTCTGGTTCATCTCGTTCATTCTTCAATCAACCAGATGTTCTTCCTCCAGGAATGCAACCTAATCTCCATCTCCCTTTTCAAGGGCCAAATGTTGCTCATCTTCCCAATTTTCCTGAAGCTCTAATGCATGGCCATGGCTCAGTCCCACCTGAACCCCTTACTTTTAGGTTGTTATGCTCAAGTGACAAGGTTGGAGGTATAATAGGGAAGGGTGGAAACAATATCAAGTCTATTCAGAATGATACAGGCTGTGAAATAAAGGTTCTTGATACTGTTCCAAAATCTGAAGATCGCATCGTATTTATCTCAGGACCTGCGGTAACCAGCTTCTTTCCCTCTTGATAATATTCGTTTGATCAATATCAGTTTAGTCCATTTGTAACCTGCTTTGTAGTAGCTAGTAGCCCATTAGTCCTAGAAATATATTCAGGATCCATCTGTCTGAGAAACATGGCATTCAGTAGAACTATAGGGCGTATATCTTTTTCATACTGCATCTCTAGCATTTGAATATCTAGATTCTCTGAAAAATATTAGTATTGTATTTACATAATTTTTTATTCTCCCATTAGTTCTGCATTTGTACCACTGTATAGAAATGGAGAAATATTAGTGTAACATAGTTGCGAGGCAGCTTGCCATAAATCTCAACAAAATATATCCAACAGATGCATATTTCTGCATACTGCACTGTTTCTAGTGTTTTGAATATTTCAATGCTCTAAAAAATTACTCACATACTTTTTGATATTCCGTCTTTAATTATGCATTGGCTACCATTGCATAGAAACTGCAAAACATTAGTGCAATGTAGTTGCCGGGCAGCCTGCTGTTAATCTTGAAAAACTCAATATTAAAACTCCAATAGAACTCTTGTTTTTATGTGCACCGAGACAGGAGAGGGGCATGCATAGTGTGCTAGAAAGTTGGATGTAACAAAAATTTAATTACATCTCCTGTGTTCTGCACTAATTTTCTCTGCTTCGCAGCTTTTGTTCTTAATTTTGACACCTGAGGCAGTTGTTAGAAATTTGTAATTTGCAATGGACTTAGCTCTGAGCAATCTTATTATTACTGTCTAGTGTGTTCTCAAGATAGATAGCCACTGATGACTAATGTATTCAAATTCATTTGTCTCTATTCTGTAGCATCCGGGTGATGGAATTTCCCCTGCACAGAATGCAATTCTGCATGTGCAGCGTAAAATTGTACCGACCTCCAACACCAAGGAGGGTCCTGCGATATGTAGGCTGATTGTTTCACCGAACCAAGTTGGTTGCCTTCTTGGCAAAGGTGGTAGTATCATAGCTGAAATGAGGAAGCTATCAGGAGCACATATTATAGTGCTGAGCAAAGACAAGATCCCAAAGGGTGTCCCAGAAAATGATGAAGTTGTTCAGGTCTGTTTTATATTGTTGTCTTGCAGAACCTACACTATTTGGGGTTGAGCATGTAGCTCAGTGGTACAGCACCTGTAGAGATGCCACACACCCAGGGCTCGAATCCTGGTTACCGCATTTGTGCCCTGCATAAGGTTTTGGTGGGCCCCTTCTTTAAAGCAAAGTCAGGGGGGACGTCCTTCCCCCTTGATGGGAGTTCTTTTAGATCTTATATGTTCAGATTCTACTTTGTTATTATGTATCTTGACTTGCCTGTGCTCCTTTTTTTTTCTATGTTTTTTTTCCTTGTATGAGTATATGATACTTCTTTTTTTCTTTTGGATAATTGATTTGCAAAATTGGTATTCTTTCAGATTAGTGGGGCCTCTGAAGCTATTCAGGAAGCTCTAATGCAGATAACTGCAAGACTGCGGAACCATCTTTTCCGGGACAGAATGGCTTCAACAGTCCCTAATGTGCAGCCACCTTTTGGTTTGGTGGATCCTCAGTTTGGTTCATATGCGGGAAACCATGATTCTATATCTCCTAGGATTTTTCCTAATGTGCCTCAGTTTCATAAAGATTTTATAGGACGACCATTGGATGAGATGTCTGCTCCTTGGACCATGAAGGTATCAATCTATGTATTTTTTTTTCACTTTAAGATGTCATGGACCATGCATGAGAATGCGAGTTGCTTGAATCTTTTTTCTCCATTCTCCCTTTGTTGAGATGCTTGCAATGCTCTCAAAGACCAGCACAATTTCCTGTTTTATGTATATTTGGCACCAGATGTGTTCCTACCTTGTTACAAAGTTCTGGTGGTATTGCCTTCAGCCTGGAGTTCCTTTGTTGTGTTTGCAATATTAAGCTGAAGTCCCTATGAGTGTCTCTTAGGATACAAATTGAAATGGTACTATCTCTGTTTTTTAGATGACGCCGTTGACTTTTGACATGTTGTTTGACCATTTGTTATATAAAAAAAAATAGTGCGATCATGCAAAAATATAAGTCATGCTTAAAGTTCCTTAACGGTAAAATAGGTCACAGCAAAATAAACGATATTTACAAAAATGTTTTGAATACGACGAATGGTCAAACGTCATGTCAAAAGTCAAAGGTGTCTTCTATTAAAAAACGGAGGGAGTATGTGTTTACCTTGCTTTGTTTGACAATTTGGCTGGGAACCAAATTTGGTTACCCATGAGTGTGACATTCCACAAGATCTGTTCTTGCCTTCTTGGTTTTCGGTGCCATATGTGTCACCCCTTTTTCTGAGAATAAGTAATTTAAAGTTGGTGTCAGAAGTGTTTTATAGTCACCACTAGAGTAGGAAAATTGTTGATGGTTGAAGATATGTCATGATGCATTGGTATTGTAACATGGTAAACAAGTATGATTGGGAAGAAAATAGCTTGTATACTACTATATACAAGTTTTATGATTTTCCTTACCATTGTGGTCTTTACTTTGTAGGGCATGCAGGTTGTTGGTGATCCAATTTCATTGCCTGATATCCCAGGAATGGCGCATAGAGGAATGGGTGGATTTCCTGGGTTTGTTTCTTGTCTTGGCTTGAATATGTTTATCTGTTGATCAACAGCAATGAAAACATCATGTTTTTGATTGTATTGCAGGCCTGGTCAGCCATCTATCGTATCAACCATAACTGCAGATGTCATGGTCCCAAAATTAGTTTTACCTTCTCTATGTGGGGAAGATGGAGGCTGTTTAAACAGAATTCGTGAGGTTTGTATTCGGCTAGTGCATTTTGTAGCATATCCAGTAAATGGTTGGATGTATCATCTGACATAATTAAGGCCATGTGCAGTTTTCAGGGGCTAAGATAACTGTCGCAGATCCGATGGGTAATGCAATGGACACTGCTATTTTGATATCCGGCACACCAGACCAGATGCATGCAGCCCGAAGTCTTATTCAAGCATTTGTCCTAAGTGAACCACTAGCCCCCTGATATTTCAAATACCTGAAGGTAGTGACCATGGACTGGTTGAGTTGCTGGTGATGATGATTGTGTGGGCAATGAAGCTAGTGACCTTATGTGTTCATATTTATGAATATGCGTGCCCTGTTTGCAGACTTGCATATGGTCGAAGAGGCTAATTATGCTGAATAGTGACTAAATTTCAACATGATGGATCTTTGCTAGGTTCTTTGGAAAATATCCCAGTCTTTTCATTGTGAGATAGAAATGCTATGGTTAGCTGCACAGTTCTCTTTTCATGCAAGCTATATGCTTGGAGCTTGAAAGCTTCAAACTTTTTTTTGTATGATGAGCCCATCATGTTGATTTTCTAAACTTATATTAAGGAAACTAGCCTAATTATTGCATTTTTGTTTGATATGTACATTGGTGAGAGAATGTTATACAGCTTCATGTCTCTATTCCAGTACCCTGATATGAATTAAGTATATGGCACCTACAAGCCTCAGTTTATTTTATGATATATATAAGTAATTTTCCAAATGATAAGATGCATAACAATGTGTGGGAGTGAGGCTGCTCAGTGCTTATGATAGATCCAGGACTCGTAACAGAATGATAGTAGAAGAAGAACAGTGATAAGCTGGACCTTACCCTGCTAGATGGAAGAAGATTGCTGGAAGAGATATTGGCAGTAGGGAAGACTGAAGGAGAGAAGATGAAGATCAAGGCCTAGTCCGTCTTCCTTAAAGCTCGTCACTGAGGCGATTGCCCGAGTACTGTTGTCTTGTTGTCTATTGCAGGAAGCTCATTGTGCTCTTATTAGCTGAAGGTAGGTTTGGTGATGCATATGGTCCATGGGGTCCTCCCTGTGTACGTCCGTGGGCCTTTTGTGACTGGCTGCGGTATGTAGATTGGTGATTTCTTCTCAATTCTTATATCTATCAGGCATTATTTTGTGAAGTTTGAGACACATATTTCTACTTTTATCATTTGCAGAAGCTGTACTGGTAGGTCCTCCCCTGCTGTATTGACATAATTTTTCTGAGTAGTGAACTCAACAATTTTGCAACAATTTAGATGGTAGAACCATAGAAGTATGTTGATTTTACATATATGTGCTAGTTTCTAAAATTATTTAAATATACAATAGAACATCTACTTCATTTATGCATTTAGGAGAGAAACTTTAACTTGTTTACGCACCAGTCCTTTTTAGTCATGTCCAATTTAATTGATATGTTATGATTAATGATTCGTTTCAATTCATGCATTGTGTGAAACAACCCAAATCATTTGTTTATGTCCTTGAGGGGAAGTAAAAAAGGCTACAAAAACAAATAAAGAATTGCAGGAGCTTGCCAGGATCAAAGCTTCAGTGCTGCCGTGTATAGAACTCAAATCTTCCATGATCATGAGTTGTATGTAGCCAACTGAAACTCCTGACCTAGTGCTTGTAATGTGAACAATAATCTAAACTTGATCTCATATGAGTATTATACTAGTACTTCCTCCGTTTCAGAATGTAAGACTTTCTAGCATTGTCAACATTCGTATAAATGTTAATGAACCTAAATATATATATATGTGTCTAAATGCATTAACATCTATATGAATGTAGGTAATGCTAGAAAGTCTTACAATATGAAACGGAGGGAGTAGTATGCAATTCTAATCGTGGGAGCTCGATGCCTTTAAGGAATATATGGAGGATTATGGTAGTGATTAGTGATTGTCTTTCCAAATGGTGACTGTTGTATGGGGTTACGTTTTATCTTTCAAGGTATATGAAATCATCATTGAATACTAGGATTTTAGTTGCAACCTTGAGAAAATTAGTGAATCTAATGTACCATAGTTTATATAATCATGATGCTTTTGGACGCTTTGAAGCAAATTTTCCGAATGGACATGTTGTGGATTTTTGTCTGCTTTGTTTGTAATGCTGATTGATCAAATAAACTATAATGGGTATATATAATTAGCTTTTATATTTTCATCCGCTCTTTTAATTCTTTATCATCATACCTACTTTGTTTGCTATTTGCTTTTGAGAGCTAGCTAAACAGTGGAGATACACCAGTGACACCTTTCGTTACTTGATGAACCTTGTTTCCCAAGGTCGGAAATTTGTCGAGGTATCAGCCGATAGTTCGGTTTCTTGTTTGCAGTCTGTTGTGATCTTCTTATATATACTTGGTTATCATTGCTATATCAGCATTGGAAGCTGCACTCCAGAAGGTATGTTTGACAACTTTGTTTGTCTACCTAAGAAGTGTTAATGGAACGAGCTATCCGAATGTTTTTCACCTTTTCTTTTGGTTGGCTCTCGTGCTATGTTGCACAATTGACATGGATTTTAGTGGAACCAGCATCGTTACCACGAAGAATGGTTGCTTGCACAATTTTATTACAGTATCTTTAGTTTTAGGTTTCCATTAGGAAATTGGTTTCTTTTTGCCTGGTTGTACTGTTTTGTATGATTGTTCTTTTTTCCTTTGCACTTTCTTGTGTCCTCTTTGTACATACCATTTCAACATTAGTCCAGCTCATCCTTGAATGTGCGTGCTCATTGTTTTTAGGTTGGTTTCAAAAGTTAATATAACACCCTGCCTTCTCTTCAATTGGCATTTAAGGCTTCCCTACTCTAATCATGTTATTGAAAAATATTTGTTTAACGATCAAGCAAATTTGACTAATGACTACTTTGGTTTAATTCTACAGCTCCCTTACTAGCGCTTGTGCCTCGCAACAATGATTTTTGAGTTTGGCATTTATGGCTACATGTTTTCGTTATATTTTGTAACCCTGTTTATAGTACTACAGTAGTTCTTTCCTGGGCTATATAGTACTTTTTTGCAAATTGGTTAGGCATATGCTAAGTTTTTATTCGACTTGCAGTTCCTACGTTCTCCCTACTATGGCCAGGGTTTAAAAGCAGAGATGGATTAAATCCGAAACTTTCCTAATTTCGGTTGTCACCTGAAACCGCCCAGGTTCTTTTGTACCAAATGGTGGCCAATATGTAGATTACAATATTTCGAATTGAGTTTTCCAGCTTTTGGTGTTCACAAACGATTCATAGGCCCTTCGTTGCCAGTACAAGTCTTGGCTCCTGGGCAGTTGTGCATTTGTGCTTGCTCTGTTATGTCTGTGTTTGTAACCAGTCACCCGATGTTCCCAACCTCTTTCCCTCGTTTTCCGCGCGCACGCCTTTTAAACTACTAAACGGTGTGTTTTTTTAAAAAAAGTTTCTATACGAAAGTTGTTTTAAAAAATCAAATTAATCTATTTTTTTTAAAAAATTAGCTACTCCATTTAATCATGGGCTAATGGACCGTTCTGTTTTCCGTGCGGAGGGAATAAGTTCCCATCGAGCTCATGCGAACACAGTCTAAGTATCTTTTCCATAAAACTTCATCTGTCTGTTTTACGTATATATACTCTCATTTCTTTAAAAGTAAATCAACAATCAAACCATGCCATGTTTGGATGGCCTTCAAGGCAGTAGAAACAGCACCTCAAAAAATATTTAGGCTGATGTTTGCAGATTTTGGACAATAATATCTGTACTCTTCTGTACACACTACATGTACATTGGCCTCAAGCAACCCCATTTATTCTGGTGATCCAGCTTCCAGCTATGCATACTACAGAATTGTCAAGCATTGTTGCAGAAAGAGCTTGTGGCAAAGAACTGCACGAAAATGACATGCACAATGCAGCCAAAGATGAAACTACGTTGGCTAGTTACAGTTTACGCCCAACTGTTTCCAGTTGACTACATGGGGTCTCATACTCTCATGACATGCCAAGAAACGTCATTAGTAAGGTGGGCCCACCTGCACAGTGACGTCTGAAATTCTGAATGCAGCAGCTTGTGTTGGTAAAATACGAGTAGTGGTAAAGGTTTACTAAACCGTTATCGCCACTCTAAGGTTTGACGGTAACCGTGTGGTTATCATGTAAACTGTAAGGTTACTGTGAGGTATATTATGGTTTTAAAAACTGAAAATGTTATTGCACGTGATAACCGTAGTTTTGTAAACCCTGATAATTCTCAGGAAAGGAAGGACGAACTAGCAACATAGTTTTACCAGTTGGGAGTTGGGACTATCCTGTTAACTTTCAGCCTCAGGTTTCTACTTCGCTGTCAAACAACCTGTACTGCATCAGTTCATGGGTTTTCCGTGAATTTAATGCTGCTTTTTTTTTTTTTACTTCTGCAGTTTCACAGCTGAGATGCACTGTGACGATACTTCGATATCGTGAGTCTGCAACTAGCTGTGAATCACGTTTCTTGCCCCTGTTATCTTTCGGGCATTCAGGATGTAAAGGTCTCTGATCTGTGATCTCCCTGTTCTTATCCTTAGTTATGCAGTAATAACCAGTTGTTTGCACTCTAACTAACTACTCCATCCGTCTCTAAATATAATAAATTTTATTGGATGTGACACATCCTAGTATAATGAATCTAGATAGGCTTCATGTCCAGATTTATTGTATTAGAATGTGTCATATCCAATCAAAATTTCTTATATATAGAGAAGGATGGAGTATTGAGTTAATCAACGTATCTAGTTCCGGCTTTGGAATATGATTTTGCTTTATGGTTCAGATGGTTACCAGAGACACCTTTATCCAATGACTATGAACCTTTTTTTTTGAGAGAGAGAAAAGGACTATGAACTACTCTCTCCGTATTTTAATGTATGACACCGTTGACTTTTTAATAAACGTTTGACCACTCGTCTTATTTAAAAATTTTATACAAATATAAAAATACTTATGTCAATGCTTAAAGAACATTTGATATAAATCAAGTCTCAATAAAATAAATTATAATTACATAAATTTTTTGAATAAGACAAAAAGTCAAACGTTGGTCAAAAAGTCAACGGCGTCATACATTAAAATGCGGAGGGAGTATTTGAGATGTTCCACAAGTACGTAGTATTATAGCCAATTATCCCATCGTTTACCTTTTGAGCTTTTAGCTTATGTAAGTTGTAGCCAAAATTTAAATTCTAAAAATTTTGGGATTTTTCAACATAGTTTATTTTCCAACGTTTGTGTTTAGATTGCTAAACACTCACACATATATACAAGTTTTATTTACAAATTATTCTTTAATTATCGATAGTTTGTTACAAACAATTTCAACGTAGTTTATTTTTTCCGACATTTGTGTTTAGATTGCTAAACACACATGTATATATAAGTTTTATTTACAAATTATTCTTTGATTATTGATAAGTCGTTACAAACAACTTGTAATCATTGTAAGCGAAACAATAACAGTACAAGACAACATCATATCTTGTAAGCCCTTCCAAAAAATACATTGGGTGTTTGGTTGTTTGTGCCACTATAGGCTCTAGCTTAGTCCATACTTCTTTCATCCTAAAAGGAAAATCCAATTCTAGCAATGATTCTAAACATATACATGTACGGATTGTGATCCTTTAACTTAAATCACATGACTTTCAGTTATTGACATATGGACCCTCTTTGTTACGTGCTCACATGTTAGTGAGCCTAAAGTCACTGTAAATATTTACAATAGATGATCTCAATATATAGAAATATAGAATAGTCAGGATTAGATTTTCTTTGGAATGCAGGGTGTACGATTCTTCGGTTTTCACCGTGATTTGGCTGATTAGATGCAATTTAGTCCTGCCACTGTGGCTAAGATTGATATCCTGTTTGGTCAAATGCACGCTCTTTTTTTTTTTTTGGCTTAACCACTACCACTGATTTTTCGAGAACGAGAGGAATTCAAATATGAAATGAAATCTAATTCCAGTGGCGCAGAGGTGCAGAAGCAAAACTCGCCAAGGAGAGCATTGACGTTAACCCGGCATGAGCCGTGCAGCTCTCACTTGATCATCTTATCGCTACTCAGCCACTCAAAAACCATCCTTAATTTGCCTTTCCCTCCACAACTTGAACACAAGAGAGAGAGAGAGAGAGAGAGAGAGTGAGAGTGAGACGCCATCACTAGCTCTCACTTAGCTCCAAGCTGAGCTGAGCTGAGCTTAGCCATGGGGTGCGCGGGCTCCAAGGACGTCACGGTGGCCGACGTCTACCGCCCGCCGCCGACGAGCGTCTCGCTGTTCGACATCAGCGCCATCGAGGAGCCCTGGCTCATCGCCACCGGCAAGAAGAACGACGAGGAGGAGGAGGAGGAGGATGAAGAAGAGGAGGAGGAGGAGGAGGAGGAGGAAGGCAAGAAGCCGACCACCACCGTGATGCCGCTCCCGCTGCTCGACAAGCTCGACGGCTACGACCTCGCGCCGGCGTCGTGGTCGGAGGTCAGCAAGGCCCTGGAGGACATCAAGCCTGCGCTCAGCTCCAACACCACGACGACGGAGAACGCCAAGAAGAAGACCAAGAAGAAGAAGAAGAAGCAGCCTGCGCCGCCGCCGCAGCCACCGACGACGACGACGACGGTGCTGCCTGAGCCGGTGAAGGCGATCGAGGCAGCTGCCAAGAAGGCGGCGGCGGCGCCGTCCGCGCGTGGCGCTAACGAGGAGGTTGACAGGAGGCCTCCGCCGCCGGAGCTCACCGGGCGGCGCGTCGTTAAGGACAACCCTTTCCTGATGCGCGACCGCGAGAACAAGGGGAACGACGGCGGTGCCGCCGCCGCGGCGGCGAGGTGGCGGCGGAGGGACCCGTTCGAGGGGTACCCCGAGCGGCGGCCCCCGGGGGCATCCGGCGGCGGGGTGGTGCTGTACACCACGACGCTCCGCGGCGTGCGGCGCACGTTCGAGGACTGCGAGCGCGCGCGGAAGGCGGTGGAGGCGTGCGCCGAGGCCGTGTCGGCGGCGGGCGGATCCCCCGTCGTCGTGGACGAGCGCGACGTGTCGCTCCACGGCGAGTACCTGCGCGAGCTCCGCGGGCTAGCCGGCGCCGGCGACGCGCCGCCGCGCCTCTTCGTCATGGGCCGCTACCTCGGCGGCGCCGACGCGTGCGCCGAGCTCGCCGAGAGCGGCAAGCTGCGCGAGATGATGCGCTGGGCCAGGGCGCGCGGCGAGGCCTGCGCCGCCAAGGACGGCCGCGGCTGCGAGGGCTGCGGCGGCGCGCGGTTCGTCCCGTGCTGGGAGTGCGGCGGCAGCTGCAAGGTGGTCGCCGCCGGCGCCACCGCCGCCGCCGCCGACGTCGAGCGGTGCGCCAAGTGCAACGAGAACGGCCTCATGCTGTGCCCCATCTGCCACTGATTGTGCTCCACCGCCGCGAATCCTTCTAGCGTTTAATCCGCGCCCATGTATATTTATCCATAATATACTCGTATAATTGTGAGTTTAAACTACACTCTATTAGTGGTTTATAAATGAGAATTGAAATGGTATATAGTGCTTGTAATAGTATTGTATAGCAGTGTATTTTTTGTAAATCTTTTTTGATTAATTATTGGAACAAATGCTAATAGTTTCGTCTTAATTGTTCAAAATTAGTAATCTATCTTAACCAGTCAACCATCCCAGCTCTGTACTACATCTGTTACATCTGATAGTGTTATAGTGAATAATAAAATTAAATAAATAAATATAGTAAATAATTTGAGCAGGTCAATCTAAACACGCTGTCAAGGACTAGTACTAGTGGAAGGGAGAGCGTTGAGATCCAAACGCCAACTGCTCCCACATGGATGCCCGTTATGAATTTGAATTAATTTCTATTTTTTCCTTCGTGGATCTAGTAATCTATTAGGCCGACATAATTATTTAGTATGGATATGTGTTGCAAGCTTGCAGCTGAAACGGTCCCTAGCCAAAAGAAAAACAAACATTAGCAGAAGATTATGAAAAATGTCAAATCTCGATCATGTACCACATTAAAACACCAAAAGGGTTTCAAATTTTCAAGTTGATGGATCACAAAGTGAGTGAGTAAGGTCAACTCAACAAACTACAACCTAATACTCCTACATAACCAACAGTTCATGCCATGCCACCAAAGCTAAACTACTAAATTCAGGAACGTTATTTTTCTTTAATTGAGATGTGTATGCTAGTACTTGTTTATAATCTCTGTCACATAAGCGTTTAAAATTCGCCCAATGAAAACTTTTGTTTCTAGGGGTTATAGCCGATCAGGTACGAATAATTAATGGAACACCATAGTTATTTTTCCGTCTGCTAATTTATCAGATAATCACTATTAGTTTTATTCCGTAAATCCGCATTAGATCATTTGCTTTTTAGTAAACTTAAAAAATAAGAAAATAAAAAAAAGAGTGAAAAAAGTTAAAGGAAATCAATTTTTTTAAAAAAATATACACATTTCATTATCTTTCTTTTTTTCCTAAAAACTCAAATGTGAACTAGTAATAGAGAACTAGTCCAGTGTGTCCAGTCTGGCTCCCTTCGTCTCCATTCCGTTGCTGTACCAACGACACCGCCAGCCACCGCCACCTCCTCTTCTCTTCCCCCCCGAAATCCTCGTGAATCTCTCGCTCTCTCGCCGCCGCCGCCGCCGCCGACGACGACGACCACCACGACGCTGCCTCGGATGCTCCCGGCCTCGCACCCGCTGCTCTACGCCTGCGCCTACCGGGACAGCGCCCTCGTCGCCGACCTCGCCCACGCCCCCCCGCCCCACGACGGCGGCGCCGCCGAGGACGACGCCCCGGCGGTCGCGGCCGCGCTCGTCGCCGGGGCGCCCGCGCACCACCGGCACGTCACCCACACGGCGTCGGGGCGGGCGCACGCGGTGCTCCTCGCGCCGCCGCTCGTGCTCGCGGCGGTCTCGCGGGCCCCGCAGCTGCCCTCGTCGCACCTGCTGCTCTTCCTCCGGCGGCTCCGATGCCTACCCGGGAACCGGATGCGGGACGAGATGCCGCGGCTGGCGCTGCGCCTGCCGTTCCCCGACGAGGAGGCGCTCGCGCGGGAGGCCGGGGAGGTGGCCGCAGCGGAGGCCGAGGCCGAGGAGGCGGAGCGGAGGGAAGGTGAGCTCGCGCGGAGGACGCCCAAGAGGGAGCGCCGCGCCCGCAGCGGCGGCGCCGGGTGGACGTGGAGGCGGAAGCTGTGGCTCATCGTCCTCGCGGATCTCGTGCTCCTCTTCGTCCTCTTCGCTGCCTGGCTCGCAGTGTGCAAGGGATTCAGCTGCATTGGCCGGTAAATAGGTAAAAAGGTAATTACAACTTCTCTACTTCACGGAATTGATCTCGCGTTCACTTCAATTGTCTAAATTTTTGATTCGGCGGTGGAAAGGCAGAAAACATAGTTAGTACTCTAACAACAACGGTTGTGAGGTAGAATTGCAGACTACAGACCGACCAAACTTCATAATTCCTAGTTTCCTACCACTGAATGGGTTAGTTGTTGGTGTTAATTACACCCATTTGGTTGGATGAAGAGTAAAGGAACTGGAACATCATGGTTGTTTCAGTGGCATTCAACTTCTTAACACGATCGCTCATTGCATTCAAGTAGTTGAATAGCATTTGTAGTCTGTAACTGGGAAATGTTACCTTCAAGTAAGTAACAAGCACGATAATCTGATCTGGAGGGTCAGGGTTTAGATGGAGATTACCTGAAAGGATGATGTGCAAGTCAGAGGAGAAAGTGGCAATGGCTGATCCAGTAGTTGGTGAACCTTGTCCTGCCTTAATTCTATGCAGCATGGGATTTGCAAAAGAATGTTACATATCTCCCTTTATTCAAACCCTGTGTTTGAGATATCAAACTAATTTGAATTCATCTTAATTAAACTAATTTGAGCTAGTTTCAGTCTGATCTCTGAACTTAGTTCAAAACTCATTTACAATAAACATACCAAATGCATCATACATTTCATATCCATCATAGTATCATACACATGAATCAGACAATTTTTAATATGGGTGCCTACTGCCTAGTCTGCGGAACATTAATTAATTTTCAAATATCTTTGTATAACTCTCCATGTTCAAAATTTAATTTTCAAAAGGCATTTTTACACAAGCCTACAGTACTGAATTCAACTTTCCTCCAATTATTTCAATTTAACATTGCAAATCTTACTCATCTTTTGCAGCCAATATGATCAGTATAACATGTTATAACTCCAAGCAACAAAACAAGATTTTTAAAAAAGAAAATTAGTTGAACTAATCAATTTTATTTAAATTAAGACAAATTGATTTTACATTCAATCCTTCATATAATATGCATAGGATTGTGATTCTGAAGGAAGTTGTGAGTTATGACCATTTTACAAACACTTCTAAAATTCTGATTCATTGACTGATTCAAATTGAGTGTGCTTCCTGGGATCCTCGTACCCTATAATCCACTGCAATCATGACAATATGGCTAAACCGGATATTGTGCCCAAGTTCTTTGAGTGAACTAGAACAAAAAGGTTGAGTGCATCTGTCCTGCTGTCACCGTGCCCCCGTAAGCTGCGAAAATGATGATGGCCCGACTGGAAAAGGGAATCTCTAACTAAACGTCAACCATTCATCTGGATGTTGTCCACAAGCTCTGTGCTTTTGATCTGGGTACAGACCTGACCAAGATCTGTGCTTTTGATGGCATTCTCATGGCTGGATACGATGACACTGGATATGGTAGAAGAGCAAAAAATGCTGGTTAATTTGAGGCTGAAGGTTAAATAGGATATTTGGAAACTAGGCTGATGATTCCTACTTTTAAGCATTAGATGCTGGATCTGACCAGCCCCAATATCTAGGAATCACTCATACTAATTTAGTTTGTCTTATTGTTGCCATTAATATCATAAACTGCAGGTGATCTATGATTGTCACAAGCCTCTGTTTTTCCTTGAGAGATTTCTTAACTAGCACAATCAGGAATATTGTAGTCCCTATATTCTCGCACCATTCTCAGCTTCCTTTTCGTAATCGGCAGTTTGATTGTGCAGATACCATCTGCTGATGGAAGATCCAGAATTTCGTGTTAGGGGAACACAGTTGAAAAGAGAATTGAACAATTTTTTTTTCTATTTACAATTTAGTATTAGCAACTCAAATCAGAAGACACAATTTTTTTTTCTCTAGAAGTGGCACCGAACAAATTTCAGATCTTTTATTGTACGTATATTTTTATGTGCTCCTCCTTTTCTGATGGAACAGAAAGGCAGGACCTCTGCCAATCAATTATTGAGGTGAGGAAAAATACAGTGATGCAGGGTACAACTCCACTGCCAAGAGGCCCTCCTTGAGCTAACTCGTAAGAGGGGTGAGGTACAAAACAGCAGAAATACAGAGAACAAGTTCGTTTGTCCTTCTGATGGAGCACAGCATATGCTGTTGCTCGATGCCTTCCATTCCTCTTGTATGCTGGCAATGTCCTGGGCAGTGGCTGATATGTGTTGGAAGATCTGTCTGTTGAGTTCCTTCCACATGTTCCACATGATGTAGATGATGATCCCCTTAAGTTCCCTCTGCATGTCTATGGTCATTAGTTGGGTCACTTGCTATTTGTTAAGTGGATCGGGTCCACTTGATGGATGATCTCAAAATGCCCAAATCAGGGCTAAGAACTAGACTTCCATCGTGGAGGGACTGAGGGACATTGCAATTTGCAATATATGTGTACTACGGTTTCTTGGTGTGTACTGAAAAGGACACAATTTTGTTGATAATACCATCTTCGAATCACCAAGTTATCCACTGTTAGAATCTTGTTTTCAACTAGAAGCCATGGGAAGAATTTGCATTTGAGTTTTGTTGCAGAAGCTTGGGAGATTGAATCCCCTCATCTGTTATGCCCATGATAGTGTGGCAGCCCTCCACATTGTCTGTGGTTGTCGCTTGACTACCGCACGCCATACTAACAATTAGAGCTACTCAATAAACCCCACAAATGGAGCTAGATATCACCCAGCACCCTCCCATGCACACACACAAAAGTAAAATACCCTAATTGGCTGACCCAAAGTCATGGACCAGTTCTAGAGGAGCACTTGTAAAGTTCTTTGGGTTTTGGCTCTTTCTTAGATCTAGTACTGTAAGGTGCCTTACTTTTCAGTGATAAAAAAAAATGGTGCTTTAACGCCTGCTAAATCTTTACTGCTTTCCTTGTTCATGTATCATATATATGATATATAGCCAACTCAAGGGTAGAAGCAGACCCCCTCTTCATAATGACAATGCAGCTTCTGAAAACGAGCAGAGCTCATTTGGTAGAATGGCTATGTTAACTACTTCATGTGGAGTTTCCAGTTTGTGCAACCCACGATTCAGTGAGCTAACTAGATGAAAAGAAAATATGCTATCCCATAGTCCCTCTCCCTGTGTAAAAGCTGTTTATAATCTTTATACTCTAAAATATAATCAATAGGTTTGTTTATATTTGATCAGGCTGAATCGATCTATTGAGCAGATATTGATTTTTACCCTTTACATTACAGTTTGCATGTACGGGCAGGTATTCCAAACAAAATAGTAATGGTTTGTGCTCACATTCTTCTTCTTCATTTTGGGTCATAAGTGCCATGTGTGTACATATCCCCCTATAACGATGCTTGCGAGCATGCAAAAGTGTGCAATCTTTGTTTCCTTTTCCTGTTGATGTCAGTGCTAATATTATGACTTTGAGGAGGAAAAATGGATCCTTATTTGATTAATGTTTTTCTGCGAGTGAGAAATGTGCAAATGTTTCTGATTTTGAGAGAAGCATGAATTAAGGGTATTAATCAGTTCAAAATGGAAAAGTTTATTGAAAGTGCTCAGCGATTATATTGAATTGTTTCTGATGATCCCTTGCCATTTTTTGTCATGATGCAGGGTGCTAGGTTTCAAGACAAAAAAAGTGTGGAGATTATTTATGCAGTAGTTTCTCCTTATGCATGACGCAATGGAAATTGGAAAGTGATGACCATGTTATCTGCCAGGATTACAAAGTAAAGGCAAATGTTAGCCTTACAGGCACTCAGCGGCAACTGTTAGGGACTTCCCTGTCATATGACATCTTTGAAAAATGAAGCCCAATGGTCTTGCCTAGACTTCATAAGTTTGAATTTGTTGGTTTGGTTGAGGACATCTGTAAACCCAGTAGTGTAATTTTTTCGTTCATTTACTATACAAAGCAAATGTTGAAATTTTGCCTCATTGATCTTGTTTCCCCCCTATGTTGTTCAGGACAGACCCAGATATATCTGAATCCTACTGTCATTACCATACGCAATACAAAGCAAGTGGTCTCTGTTCTGTTGAAAGTGTTACATCCATGAAGATTTATTTCTCCCATCTAAACAATTTGATAATTCAGTTTCAAGATCTCCAGATGAAGAACTATTTGATATTTATGGCTCCAGCAGATAGGTTAGGAAGGAATGAGAGTTGAGGGCTTGAGGCCAGGTGCAATGCTCGTATGTGTAACCGGTGTTGGATCCAACATTCAGATTGCTGGCAATTAACAGGATTTCAATGTGTTTCAGCAGCCACCGGATTACTCCATGCCTTATCATGAGCTTACTGATGATGATAAAAAAAGCTCAAAATAGGAGTATTGTAGCTGGAACAGAGGCCCTCGAACGAATTCAACCCGATTAGTTCATGTCAACAAATTCGGGCCACCAACGACCACGAACGAATTCAACCCAATCAATTCATGTCAACGAATTCAACCCATCTTTTACCATAAACCAATTGAGACCACGAAGGCCAGGAATCAATTAGGTCCGCCTAATTCCTGTCAACGACATCGGCGTACAAATGAATTCGGCCTACGAGTGATTTAGGCCCACCAATGTTTCACCAATGAGTTTATCCCGGAATATGTTCAATTCAGGTCCCTCAGTTTGTCCTATTTCCCTTCAACAAATTCGGGAATAAGTTCACTTTGTGACCCTCAACTGTGATCGAAATCTAATCCATGACTCTAAACCACAAAACCAGATATCTCGACCCCCAAACTCCTAAAACCGGTGCACATGACTCTAAACCACAAAACCAGATATCTCGACCCCCAAACTCCTAAAACCGGTGCAATTTGACTCTCTGGGCGGTTTTGGGAGGCGGTTTTGCTGACGTGGCGCCACGTCGCACCTACGTGGCAATATTGACCGAGTCTTTGTTCCACGTGGCGTTGACGTGGCACCTACGTGGCGGTAGAAATAAAAATATGCGTGGGGCCCATTAGTCATTCACACAAAAAAGAAATGTGGGCCCACTGACATGTGGGGTCCACATGTCAGCCCTTCTTCCTCCTCCCTCTCTCCCTTCTCTCTCTTTCTCTTCCCTTCTTCCCCTTCAGTGGGCGGCGGGCGACGAGAACGAGCGGCGGCGGCGCGCAAGTGAGGGCCGGAGCGACGACGACAGGACGGGCGAGGGCAGGAGCGGCGAACCGTGCAGCAGCCGCCGCCGCCGTACTCCTCCTTCCTCCCTCTCTCCCTTCTCTCTTTCTCTCCCCTTCTTCCCCTTCGGCCGGTGGCACGCGGGGACAGCGAGAGCGGGCGGCCGGGGGGCGGTGAAGGCGGAGCTTCGGGCGCCGGCAGCTAACAAGGAGAGGACGGCACGGAGGAAGGCCCGCCCGCCGTCGTCGCCGCCGCCTCCGCTCGGGCCTCCCTGGCGCCCATCGCTGTCGCCACCGCTCGATCCTCCTCTAGCGCCACCGCCGCTCGAGCCGGGCGGCCGCTGCCGTTTGGGCTGCCCCGTCGCCCGGCGCCGTCGCCTCCGCTTGAGCCGAGCAGCCTCCGCCCATGAGGCGCGCGGCGTGTCGGCCTCGGAGGGTGGCGCGGACGGCCTGGGGCGCGCGAGGGCGCTAGAGGCCGGCTCAATCTGGATGTCGCCGCGGAGCAGGTTGGCGTCGAGGTCGAGGCTGTTGCACGGCGCCTGGAGGCCTCCGTCGTTTGCGCCGCCCCGTCGCCCGACGCCGTCGCCTCCGCTCGACCTGCCTCTAGCGCCGCCGCTGCTCTAGCCGGGTGGCCGCCGCCGTTTGGCCTCCCCGTCGCCCGGCACCATCGCCCATCGCCGCCTGTGGGAGACGTAGGGGAAGAAGGGGGGAGAGAGAGAAGGGAGAGAGGGAGGAGGAAGAAGGAAGGAGGATGACATGTGGGGTCCACATGTCAGTGGGACCCACAATTTTTTTTATGTGTGTGAATGACAAACGGGTCCCACAATTGTAATGCCATGTAAGTGCCACGTCAACGCCACGTGGATCGAAGATTCGGTCAATATTGCCACGTAGGCGCTACGTGGCGCCACGTCAGCAAAACCGCCTCCCAAAACCGCGCAGGGAGTCGAATTACACCGGTTTTAGGAGTTTGGGGGTCGAGATATCTGGTTTTGTGGTTTAGGGTTATGGATTAGATTTCAATCACAGTTGAGGGTCATGAAGTGAACTTATTCCACAAAGTCGACCCACTACTTAGGTTTGCCTACTGATTTCTCGTAAACTCATTCGGCCCTACCACAGACAAATTCAGCCCAATTATTTCATGACAATGAAATAGGCCCAGGTAATTTTCGTCGACATATTCTGCCCACGAGTGAATACAGCCCACTAAATTCTATCATGGAATTAGGCCCACTTACTTAATTTGACCCTCTATCCAATGACTCGGCCCACCACTGAATTTGTCCTACTGAATTCTCGTTAGAACATTTGGCCCACATAATTCCCATCAACCAATCCGGCCCACTTCTCTATTCGGCCTACGTAATTCCCATCGGAATAAGATCACTTTGACTCCCTCAACTGACCACCGAATCTAAATCGTATCCCTCAAGCGTAATACCAGAAATCTTGACCCCCGAACTTACAAAACTGGTGCAATTTGACTCCCTCGGTGGTTTTGGAGGGTGGTTTCACTGACGTGGTGCACACGTGGCAGTGTTGACCTAGTCTTTGTACCACGTGGCATTGACGTGGCGCTGATGTGGAATTAAAATAAAAAAAAATATGCGGGCCCATTTGTTATTCACAAAAAAAAATGTGGGACCCACTGGTCCCACATGTCATCCTCCCTTATCCCTTCTTCCCCCCTCCCCGTCCTTGGCCATCTCCTCCTCTTCCAAATCCAGCGAGGGTTCACGGCGAGTTGAAGCGGCAGCGGCAATAGCTTCAGGCGTCGAGAGGCCGGGGGAGAGAAGTTTAATGGAGGTGGAGATGGAGCACGGCGAGGAGGTGGCGGCGATGGAGGAGGAGCTGAAGGGGTGGGACACGCCGAGGAGGGAGGAGTGCCGCATCCCGGTGGCCACAATGACGATGGACAGCGACCCCTCCTCCTCCTCCTCCTCCTCCGGCGAGTAGACCAGCACACCGACGAGGGAGTAGCTTCAGGCGTCGAGGGAGTCCCTGAGCGCGCGGACGACGTCTTCGAACGGTGGTGGTGGCGGCGGCGGCGGGGACGGGAAGAGGAAGACGTGGTGGACGGGCAGCAGCGCGACCCAGTACGCGTCGAATGGGGAGAGCGGCACGAGGCGGCAGCCGCCGCCATCTCCATGCGTCGGGAGCGCGACGGAGGTGACGCTCCTCGTGCGCACCGACGGCGGCGGCTGCGGCATCTCGGCGACGGCGAACTCCTCCGCCGTGTTCCGAATCTCGCCAAAGTTTGTGGGGTGGTTTGATCCCCACTATACGCCGTCGCCGCTCGGTCCGCCGTCGCCGCTCCGTCCATCGCCCGCCGTCGCCGCTGCCGATCCGGACGCCGCTCTCGCATGAAGCGAAAGAGGGAGAGATAGAGAAGGGAGGAGAGGGAGGAGGAAGAAGGGATAAGGGAGGATGACATGTGGGACAAGTGGGTCCCATAATTTTTTTTTTGTGAATGACAAATGGGCCCGCATATTTTTTTTATTTTAATTCCACATCAGCGCCACGGCAATGCCACGTGGTACAAAGACTAGGTCAACACTGCCACGTGTGCGCCACGTCAGCGAAACCACTCTCCAAAACCACCGAGGGAGTCAAATTGCACCGGTTTTGTAAGTTCGGGGGTCAAGATTTCTGGTATTGCGGTTGAGGGATACGATTTAGATTCGGTGGTCAGTTGAGGGAGTCAAGTGATCATATTCCATTCCCATCAAACGGTTTTAGGCCACAAAGGAATTCAGCCCAAGTAAATCCCCTCAACAATTTGAGACCACAGATCAATTTGGGCCATGCTATCTCGTCGACGTATTCAACCCACCCCAGAATTTGGCCCACTTAACACTCGTCGGTAAATTCGGCCCACAACTGAATTTGGCCTATCGATATCTCACCAATGAATTGGGCCCACAAAATGAATTTGGCCCACCTACTCATTCACAGGCACAGGGCCGCCCGAGGCCCCGACGGCGGCGCCGGCGAGGGCCACCCGAATCTCGCGGCCGCACACCACCGGCATGTCGGGCACACCGCGGCGGCGCGGGCGCACCGCAGTGCTGCTCGCGCCCGCAGCTCCCGGCGTCCCACCACCAGCTGCTTTTTTCCTCCGTCAGCGGCGATGGCATGGCGATGCGATGCTTCCCCGAGGCCAGGATGTGAGACGGAGATGCGGAGGCTGGCGCTCCCCCTGCCGACTCCCGTTCGCCGGCGAGGTCGCCGCCGCGTCCTCTTCGTTGCCTGGCTCGCCCGTGTGCAGGGGATTCAGCTGCATTGGCCGGTAAGGCCCGGTAAGTAGGCTAACAACGAAGCTTCTCTACTTCACGAAATTTCTCTCTCTTTTCATTTCTATTGGTCTCTCTATGATGAGAATTATGCAAACATTTCTGCAGAATGGAAACTGGGTGTCTTGTTTTTGCCAGTGATAAGTTGTTATATTGAATTTTCTGATGAACCCATTGCCCCCTTTGTTTTTTGTCAGGATGCATGGATACTATTTATGCTGCAGTTTCACCTTATGCATGATGCAATAGAAATTTGGGAAGTGAGATGTCTGCCAAGAAGTAGAGGCAAAGGGAACAGGTACTCAGCGGCAACTGTTACCTCCTGTTAATATCTGAAACATCTTTGGAAAAATGAATCCCAGTTGGTCTTGATAGACTTCATAATTTTGAATTTGTTAGTTCATGTGATTGATTGCTTCCATCATCCTCATCTTAGCCTATGGAGCTTTGCTGATTTTTCACTCACATCTCTCGTACTCTTCTTGGACGTTGTGGCGTTGGACATTTTGTTTTCAACAGTGCATTCCAATCATCTGAACATCAATTGAACTGTACAAACTACACCCATATGCTGAACCTGTGTTGAGCTGTTTCCCAAATGTCTGTCAGAGCCACCACTGAGAGTCTGAGACTCCAATGCCATCAAATCTTGTGCAATGACGCAGTAACCATCCTGTCCTGGGTAATCTGAGACATTTGAGATTTTTGCAGCAAACTTATCCATGGTGCATCTTACAACATCTGGACTCAAATCTCTCCATGAAAAAGCCCATGCATGGACAGGGCAGAAATTCTTCAGTTTCTTTTTCTCTTCATCACCAGTCAGTCCCCCATGGTCATTTCAGAAGGCCAAAACTAGATAGACAACGCACATTGCAGAAAGCAAACCATGTCCCCAGCTGCATAAACCCCTCTGCACCAATTCAGCGGCTGCATCACTGCATCAGATAATTGTCTGGATCCTTTTTATTTTTCCCGCGTCATTTCTCTGCATCGCATCAGGTCAATTCTATCACCTAACGCTGGAATGCACATGCTGTTGGCCCATTTCACTCCAACAGGCTGCAGTGCATTCCAAGATCCTGGACAGAAAGCTTTCACTCCCTAATCTGCACTCGTGCTCATGCACATGCAGTAACAGTGTGATAACAGTGTGATCTACTGATCTATGATAGAATCATCTAATTCTTGACACTGAAATTTCAGCAGGGTATCTCCCTGTGCCGTCTCCGTCGCCGATCTTCGGGTGCGGTAACCGGCATAAAAAGGGGTCATCAGCAGAAGTTGGTGTCACAGAAAGAACCCCAGGTGATGAGCCATTTTGATATGTATGGCCCCTGGCAATCAAGCAGGAGATAGGCCAGGAGGGAATGAGAGCTGAGGCCAAGTGCAATGCTTGTATGTGCAGACAGTGTTGGATCCAACATTCAGATTGCTGGCAGTGGCAATTAACAGGATTGCAGTGTGTCTCAGCAGCCAATGGATTTTTCCATGCTTATCAGCATCCACTTCAGGGGGTCTACGGATGATGATTATGATAAACTTGAGCTCAAAACATCAGGAATCAAGGACATAAAAATATATTAGCAGAAACAGGGAAGAAGGAGGCGCGGAGGAAAGGCGAAAATCGCTTTATTCTCGCAGCGCGAAGAAATAACATTCCAGTGATGAAAAATACAGGCAGAGGATGCAACTGTGAGCCGACAAGTGGATCCATATCAATGGCCTTAAGCCGTCCTTTAATGGTCAGAGATGCAAATGCCTGCCTTCCATACTAGAGCCTAACCCCTTGCTAATGCTTCTTTAATTTTCTAAGTCCTTTCCACTAGCCAGCTTTTAGGCCATATAATTATCTCGTACCACGCCAAACACTTTGCTTAATGCTCACATGAACGCATCACCGAAGAAGCATCACAAACCAGAGTTCATTGGATGGGAGAATCGATCGACAGTATGAAAGCTTGCCATGTTATTCTGTCGGGATTGCGAGCAAGATTAGTTTAATGGCAGTTGAGGCTAAGTGCTTGGCTGCTTTGAATCAAGAATGTGATCTTTGTTATCATAACTATATATGAGATATGCAGTCTAAGATATATAGCAACAGATTAGGATGAATTGGGGAAGCATCATGCGAAAATTCACGGTGCACCGGAGCTGAGGAGAAAATATTTTCTGTTCTGCAGAGTGGAGCATGATTTGCTATGAAATATGGTCAAGATAGGTGCAACAACTTGCGGCATATTCTCTTCCAATCCTATATATATAGGGCCTCTTCTCTTCACTATTAGGCTCAAATTGTTAATGTTATTGCCTGTCTATTCATGGCTTAGAAGAAGCCAGTAGATTGTCTAGGGTATGCTTTGCCTCAAAGCTTAGAAAAAGTTTGATAACACTGACATCTTTCCTGCCAAGACTTGAAGTCAATCTAACTCATAGTTGCTAAGAAGTCATTAAACTAGTAATTAACCTAGATGCTGTACATTGTGATCTTTTCTCAAGATTACATGGACAGTTGGTGAAGCTAACATACAGTAAATCATTCACAGTTATTCTGAAAATACTGTGTTCCCTCTAAAATGTACACCGCACCTTGTATTATTCAGATTGTCAAGTCATGTATATTATACAATTCTATCTACTACTTTGGATGGTCCAATGCCCTGTGAGATGGCACTGTCAACTACTAGCAATTAAACAGTGAGCTTAGTGCCAAAATAATCTTTGTTTCTTACAATCTAATGCTAAGTGCTTGTTAGTCAATATCTTCCCATTTTTGTCTTCTTGTAGAATACCATTAGAAGAGCAAAATTGTTTCCCAGATGCTGCTACTTTGATGCCTTCAGCTATAATAGGTGACAACTGAACTAGTCCATTTAGTTGAGCTAGGACTAGTGTCATGGGTCAGTGAGCATAGTACATACATGGACTTAAACAACTGTTGTGATGACCATAAACTAGCATCATTAAGATTAGATTAAGCATTAAGTATGGGGGACCAGGACATTGCCAAATAGAAGGGCAGGATAACTTCCACATAATCCCACTGCAAACGACAGATCCAACAGCATAACATCCGAATAATCTCCAAATTATTGTCATGGCATTTGTTAATGATCAAGTGGATCTGTCTCCTGAATTTTTTTCCTGAATGTCTTCCCCTTCTCTCTTGCCCATTCAGTCAGCAAACTAAACAGGATGCTGTAATGCCTTGTTGCCCCCATAGACCCTTGAATTGGCACTGTCTCATGGTTTGCCTACCATATGATTGAGCTTAATTGGCACAGCTCAACATAGTGGAATTACACATAAACTTCTTGAGCTAATTATTAGTATATTCTTCAGATACTCTCCATGTGAATGACAAAGATCCTTGCGCATCTCGGACCGATTCTCACGCTTTTAGCACATTTTCATGATCCTTTTTAATATTCATAATCCTGTTGTCGTTTTTTTTTAATTCTCTTGGAGTTTAGAAACGAAACAGAACAAAACAAACATATACAACATAACTACTTTTATGTATGTCCAATGGTTTACTAACACCAGGCAACTCGTAATTTGGGCAAATATGTATGATAATACGAGCTGAACTCAACATTTCCAAGTTGTGTTACTGAACATTTTTAGTATTAATTTGAGCAGTGAAAGACTGACGAAAATACTACTGAAGTACTAGGAAACGGTGCATTTCATTTTCAGTACTTTCCAATAGCTTCCAAGCAAGCCGTGCAGTGACAACAATAGTAGTAGGTTGCATGGAAATGTCAGCTTGTGTTGGATAAGCAGGGAGTAGAAAGCAAATGACGAAGACATTAGCACTAATAAACGTTTCAATTTGGTCCAAAGCAAGTACAGTTGTTGGGCACCGTTAGTTAAGTCCACCCTTGCCGTTAGGTTTCCAACAGTATTAACTGACAGGTGGGACCACCCAGAGTGTTAGTACGATATAGATGTAATGCATTGTTCATGAGGATTTTGCAGGAAGTAATGCACTTATTAATTATTAATCACCTACATTGAAGTGTAACAGTGGTTAATTTCCGTCAAATGGCTTCGTCCTTCAGTAAATAATTAATCGTCTATACTTTTTTATGTAATGAAATTTTAACCATTAGTTGGGGCTTCCCCATTTGACTGGCCTATCCTGGGAGGAAAAAAAGAGAATATCGCATTACTTTCACATTGTAGTAAATGCTCCCGGTTGGTCATAATTTTTTCGGTCATATGTCATGTCAACGAGGACTATGAACCGCGGAAGATGTAGAATTATATATATAGTTGACAAAAATAAAATCATGTGATGTAGTACTTAATAACATTGAAAAAAGAAGGTAGTCTTTAGTCTACAAACCTTTTTTGAATACCATATTAAATTTCTAGGCACTTTCATCCATTTTTTTTCATTCATATCTTTGCTGAATAAATGCTATCACTCATGAGAAAATGAATCATCATTCTCAATGTACTAGTAGTTCTTAAAAAAAATCTCAGTGTACTAGTAGTACTTCTAAAGCATGGGCGGATACAGGAGATCAAACCACCATCCACCGGGCCACTAGTTTCATCATATTGTAGTGACGTTATGGACCAATAGCCTTAAACCATGAGTTAATACTTCTGGTTTATCAGGCGTTATCAGAGTCATAGAACTCTGGTGGTTGTATATCCGTCCCTATTACTAGTAAGTTACATATATTTTGGACATTAACATCCTGTTAGAAAGTTGCAGATCTTTTGGGCATCAACATTTTCGAAATATAGTATCGACCAACAATTTATATCATAGTATACAATTTTTATACAATCCTATTGGAAGAAAGCTTAATCGAAGCCATGTCCCAAAACACAAGTACATTTAGTGGAAGAAAAACCCGAAGAATTTTCTTTTTGTACTACAAATTTGTTGATTTTTGTGTACTACACGAAATGATTTATATACAATACTAGGCCTTGTTTAGTTCCCTAATTTTTTTTCCAAAACATCACATCGAATCTTTGTCCATATGTATGGAGCATTAAATATAGATAAAAATAAAAAATAATTGCACAGTTAGGGAGAAAATCACGAGACAAATTTTTTTGAGCATAATTAGTCTATGATTAGTCATAAGTGCTACAGTAACCTACATGTGTTAATGATGGATTAATTAGGCTCAACAGATTCGTCTCGCCGTTTCCAGACGAGTTATGAAATTAGTTTTTTCATTCGTATTCAAAAACCCCTTTCAACATCCGATTAAACATTCGATGTGACACTTAAAAATTTTCTTTTCACGACCTAAACAAAGCTATTTGGAAAAGAGGAAGTAAAACCTCGGCGCCCAATGCCGGGATAAGGGACACGTCGTGTCCTTGTTGACGTCACCATGAGGTAATTAAATCCATGATTAAATGGGTGATGGT